GTCTTTTCCCCCCTTGGAATGAGTACATTTGAACAGCTTGAATTCTATCTCTCTGTTTTTCGATCGCATCCGTTCGTTGTCTATTCTTCTTATATTCGACACATATACGTAAAATAGTCTCGATAATGCATCTGCAAACAAGGCTTGTCCCTCATCGATTTATTTTCTATTGTCCACAATAGGGACGATCATTTGTACTGTGTTCATTACATCCGATAGTAGTTGATCAAAAAAATAAGAACTAAAATGAGATATTTAAGCTTCGTTGTGTAATGTCATCTTTATTTTTCTTGCTCAAATCTTTCTAGTTCTAAGAACTATATTAAACAATGAAGTGTCAAGGGGGGAAAAGCTGAATTTTTGATTGCTCAGATTGGTTTGATTGTCAATGATTGCCCAAAGATTGCCGATGATTATTTTTCTTCTTTGATATCGAAAAATCATCGATTCGAGCCATTTTTGTCAATATAAGTTTGTATCTTAAGAAACATCATAAGAATATGACGACTTTACTCGCCATTGTTCATAGAAAACAGAGTATATACATGATGACAACTACATAAATTACTGCCACGTTCTTTGTAGGAAATATAAAAGCAAATTAAAATTTCTGATGTTACCTAAAATTACCCTTCAAAAGTCTGTATAACTCATCGAAAAGGAAAGATGAGATTCAAATATGAAGAACTGGAATGTAAGTAGATTTTATCAGTTGTTCATAATGCGCTTTAAAAGATCTGAAGACAAAATAGATTTATCACTTGAAAGCAGCCAAGCAGCTGTCTGTTTATGTAAATATATTTTTGTACCATTTAATGTTAATGACAAAGTACGACTTGGTCAAGGTGGGATTAATGGAATCAAAAACTCGCATTCCTTGAAATGTAGTCGAACTAACTTTGAAAAGATGATTATGGATACATAATCCTCGTCATTCTCAGTTGAATATTCATTATCTGTGCAGTTTTCAGTAGTATCTTTATCTCCTTCACCACTACTATCATCTGAATCTGAGTCAAAGTCTGGATCATGTTGGTTAAGATGTGAATAATCGACTATTCGTGATTCTTGAAGTTGAAAAATAGTCAGTTTTGACATTTTTCTTAGTGATAATATTTGATGTTGTTGATACATATTTACGTGACATACTAGACGGCTTGCATAAGAATACGCTTGCGAAATAGTATTTTCGAGTGCTTTAACTGTTAATTCTACGATAGAAGTCGATGATATAGATGATATTTGTTTAGAATCGACTGCCATAGACTGTATGAGATGACGTGAAAATAAATTTTTTTTATTGGAATCATTGGTGTTGTTATCACCAGCTTGACATTTAATAGAATTTAGAAATGATACCTTTTTACGGGTGTGGATGTGGGTGTCGACGAGATCTTAATGTGTACCAAATGAAGATCACACCAACAACCATACCCATACCCACACAAACATCCTCGATACATTTGCTGTTGGTAGAACAGACAAGATGGTGGTTACAGCTGGTAGAACGTAATAAATGATTGATGGAAATCATTGAACTTGTTAATTTTTCTCATTCCGTTTTGAGTAGTTTAATGAGATTATGAACCGATGATTTAAGTCCTAGTAAAAGTGCAATCGTTCATCGGTTAACGTAATGCACATATGCTTTTTTTAGATCATTTAATTGATCGGATTTAAGTTGTACTATAGCACCCAGTGAAAAATTGTTAATTATATGAGATTCTATGAGATTACCATCGGATTTTTGCGCAACAAAATCAAAATTATAATTGATTGAAATCTTCTAAATCAAAGATAATTTGATTTTTAATGAAAAATAATCTTTGTAATCGATTATAATTTTGATTTTATTGGACAAAAAGACGATGATAATCTCTAAGAATCTCATATAATTTGACAATTTTTCACGGGACAGTAACATATTTACATCCAAGGAATGAATCAACTCCATTGCATTCTTGAAAAGCAAGCAATTATGCGACTCACTTTCCAGAAATTTGACGAATTAAATCGTAAAACGCATCATCGCGAAGATCCATGATATTCGAAGGAAGTGAGTTTGTGTAGATTTGTGAATATTTCGGGGTGGACATATTAAAAATAGCGGCATTAATAAAACGAACAGTATATTGATATTGGTGAGTTTGTTTGAAAAGGTAGAAATGAAATGAAAACAAAAATAAAAAGATATTTATACTTTTTCGTTCTGAATTATTGTGTCACATGAGCAAATGCGCACATGAATACATGAACACCCGAAAAAAGAAAAATATCGCCTGAGATTATATATCGAGTGTCTACTGTTCGTCGCGATCGACCGGGATATATGTAGACAATATAAGATGATATTTATTATGATGATACAATCCTTTCTATACTGATAACTATTTAAATGACAGCAAATTTCATTGTCTTGAATATAAAGCATTTTATTCCAAATCATTGGTAATATTTGCTATTGATTGCCAAGGCTGCCAAAGATTGTCATTGATTGCCAAAGATTGCTTTGATTGCAATCAGCTTTTTCCCCCTTGTAATAATCTTTCATAGTTCAAGCAAATTTATAATGCATTAGGAGCTGTTTCGATTATCGTATTTTCGTGATAGGAATTCTTTGTCGGCAAACTTTTTAAGGGTATCATTCGATGATATTGATAGTGGTATATATATATATATATTGTATGCTTATATTGAATTTTATTACGAATCGGCTATAGGCATCTTGTGGTGGAATTGATTCTTAGTTTGGTAACGGTTATCATTTTACACAGTACTGCAATTTTTATTGAATTTTAAGGCTTCTGAAAATCCCTTGTGAACCTGTCCTCATCTTCGAAAGAGCATAAATTATATCAATTTTCAATTCTAATTTAGGATCCGTTGAGATCATTTCGATATCTCATACTGTTCTTATTTTCAAGCCTGGTGAAAAAGGTCCTGTTACACTGTACAACAAATTTATTGAATTTTATGGTTTCTGGAAACCTGTCCTCATATTGGAAAGACAATATTTTATATCAGTTTTCAACGCTGATGTATAATCTGTTGAGATCAATTCGATATATAATAACGTTCTCATCTTAGTCCAAGAATTTGAAAATTATATTTTATCCTATGAAGTCATTTTCAACGTTTTTTTAAAAGGAGGAGGGCGGATAAGGCCATTTTGCGGCCCCTCTGTGATGGCACAAGCGTCACTGGTGTTATCTTAGTGCCCGTTTGTTACTTTTCTAGCTTCCCTTTCTTTTTTTCCTATTTCTTTTCGCGACTAATATTGTTAACTCATTATTTTTATTCTTCTCTTTTTTTCTTCAAGCTTCTTCATATCTCTCTATCTTCACTGAGATATACCTATGCTTATTTTTTCAATACCTTTCGCTCATCATTCGGGTTGCTCCTTACTATCAATCTAACTCGATTGTCCCTTACAATTGTTCCAACTCGTGTCAGATGCTTGCTTGTGGAATTCTTCTTATTCTCAATTATTTCCGTTCATTGAATAAATTATTGGATCTTCATCCAATATTCAATACTATTTAATTTCCATTGCTGTCATTCTGCCATTACCCACACTGTGACACCTGGCATTTTTTATCAGTTACGTCTCTGATCCTCATCAAGGCGTTACACCCCCTCAGATTTTTATTATTTCTATCAGTTATAAATCAGAGATCGTTCTCGATCACTTTTTTCAACTTTGTTTCCCGAAAATCGACACGGGCGAGCTTTTGCCTGCGATACCCACAGGTATCATCGAAAACAAAATTTGCTTTTCCACGAGCCAAAGCCAGATGTAATTGTAGATTTAAGGGTACTGATTATGAATATCCTAATTAGAAGTGTCAATTGCTTCCAAAGTAGCCGAGACCATTCGTTTGATCCTATTTTTCGTTATTTGGACCCTCATCGAATAACCACACGATGGCATTGGGTGCAAAATAATTTCCTCTAACTCATAATTTTTAGTACTCTTCGAATCTGCACTTTTTACATCGAAAAAATCTTACGAATGGCAAAAATACAGGGATTCCGGGGCAAAATATGAACCCTGCTCATCATATTTGACTACCTAGATAATGAAGAAAGTCTTGCCACAGCGTCGGATTGTGATCATAAGTGCAGTTTTTCAAGCTCTATTGACTGAAGATCTCAAAAATAATAGAAAAGTTGAGAACACGATTAATTTCTAGAAGATTGCTGTATGGGAACACCGCCACTAAAATACACATGTATAAGATAATGAAATCAACAGATAAATAGTTCATATTGTACACCTTAATGAACTGTACACACAGTACAAAAATATGGATCTTCGTTCTTTCTTTCGACTCACAAATTCGCTTCAAAAAATGTGTGAATCGTTGCAAAGGGGTAAAATTTTACATAAAATTTTAAATGGAAAGAAAGAGCGGAAATCCATAATTTTTTTACTGTATGCACAGTTGATTAAGCTCTGCAAGATGGATTACATATCAGTTGATTTCAAGATTTCATATATAATCGTAGCTGTGATCCCCTACACAGCAATTTTATTGAACTTATTAGTAGTCTTAACTTTTCTAATATTTTTCAAGAACTCAACATTTTCAGTTAATAAATATATTTTCTACTTAATTTATAAACAAATGCTGTTGTATAACAGTCCCAACAATGAAAAATAGTGTCCATCGAGTGGTCTCGGCTACTTTAGAAGCAAAGTAGCTTTGATACTTCTAATTAGGATATTCCTAATCATTGCCCTTAAATCTACAATTACACCTGACTTTGGCTCGTGGAAAAGCAAATTTTGTTTTCGATGATACCTGTGGGTATCTCAGGCAAAAAATCGTCCATGTCGATTTTCGGGAAGCAAAGTTGAAAAAAGTGATCGAGAACGATCCCCTCCCTCCTTTTCATATCCACACCATCAAGATAGATTAGTATCGTTTAGCTGATTTTACCAGTATATTATTCAAAAACAAACAAGGAGGAAAAAAGACAAAAGAGAAACACAAAAACTACAAATGTTCTAAATGTCGATCTTTAGACTTTCTTCGATGCTTTTTTGAAATTGCTGGTTGTTGATTATTATTATTAGCAGCGGCAACGCTATCACGTACTGTTAATGCACTTGGTGTACGTCTGTTTTTTGGTAGAACTAATTGATTTTGTTGAAAGACATCGCTTAATTTACCGCGTGCATTTTTATTTGGTTGTTGTTGTTGTTGTTGTGTCAATGCGTGATAACGCGATTTAAATACATGATCAAGAGATTTATTATATAGATGACGTTTATTCGATATTTGTCGCCGTTTTATTGCATCATAACTCGTTCCATATGTTTTAACTGAACCCGAGATATAACCAGCCCTAAAAATAAATATTTAATGTGATGTCAAAATTAAACATATATACAATGTCATATATTCTTACATTTGACTTATTTCACTATGATCAGTTGTATCCAAATTTCGTTGCATATCATTTACTTTAGCTATTTCACTCCATTGTTGTGATGTACAAGCAGAATTCTTCATATATCTTGGTCCCTGACCACGATAGACAAGTCCTGTTGTTGATAGATCAGGTTCTGTTGCTTGCATATCATCATCATTGATATCGTAATCAGGTTCAGGTAGATCTTCTTCATCGAAACCTTTCAATCGTTGTAAAACTTTCACTTGTTCAACAGCATCTTCAACATTATCTGCTGTAAAATCACCACGTCGATGACCACGACCACTTTTTCCACTGCCTCTTTGACCCACTTTCAAATCTGTTGAGGCTAATAAATGTAATAATGTTCCATAACGATGCCATAACATAGAAACAAATTGTACAAGTAAAATAGTTGCAAAAAACACTAAAAATCCAAAACCAAGCGGCTCAAAACGTAAGGGTTCATTATGTAAACGTTTTATTGGTATAAACATATAATCACGTATACGTTCGGAGACGAGTTGAAATGAAAATATAATAACAAGCCATAGAGTATTGATCATAAAGAATATGAAACAACCATTGTTACGTAATGATTTAAGATCACGAACGATTTTCTTTTGATGATCTTTATCTTCGACTAATGGATATAGATAACGTTCAATTAATTGTTGAAAAAATTTCACTTCACGTGGATCAAGCATAACAACTTCCGAGTCAAGTAACGATTCATGAAATATCCATGCAGGATTAACTAAAGAACGAAAAAATATGTGATCGAATCAATATCAATTAGTGTTCAATGGAAGAATACCTAATTCATCGCGTTTAATAACTTGTGGAGATTCGAATGGTCGAGAAACACCAGCATAAGACATAACTTGTCCATAGGGTGTACTGCGTGCATTGTTGAGTCCACGATAAACTAATTGTTGCTGAGGATCTATTTGTGGATAACTAGCACGATTAGTAGGTACACCTGTTGTTTGAGGAGAACTAGTATGAGCTGCTAATTGCATTAGACTATATTTAGCATCGATTTCAGAGCCTGTTGGTGGTTTATTTGTTGGTGGATAGAGACCTGTCGTTGCTACGGCTTCCATTTCTTCATCAAATTTATACTGAAAAGTATCGTTTTTTCATTTCACAAAAACAAATATAAATTTGTTTATATTACTTTTTCCATTCGTTCAACAGCGCCTAAAATTTGTTTCAATAAGATACCATTGAGACCTGATTGTTCAAGACCAAGCCATTTACGTGCATACGATCGTACTCGTTGATCATATTTTTTAAAGTTAAAATTTGCAAATACCTTCAATAAAAATAAAAATAAAATATCAATTCTCTTATTTCATTGATTCTTACTTGATTAAAAAAGCCAGCTGATTTTTGCTTCACTTGTGATAATTCTTGCATTCTTGCACGTTCAATTTCTTCTTTGGTTTGATTTTTTTTCACTTTTTTCGGTGCTTCTCTCGTACCCCATGATACTATATTAAGATTACAAAGTGAATAGATGAGTAAAAATAAATATCCACTGGGTATGCATAAGAAATATAATAGACCAGGTACAATACACCAAAATTCTTGTGGATGCATACAAGCAGCAATAAAGAATATAGAAAATAGTAACATTAAAAACACAGCATTCGGAGATGTCCAAGAATCTTCTGCTATTTGAATGGTGGTACCAACAATAACTGACATCATAATTATAGCATAGACAGCCGAGAAAAATGCGGCCGCACGAATTTGAAAATCAGTTGTTGTATGAAAACATAGCAGCAGATAGAAGAATGCAGGCAACACAGACATATACATCGATTGCCAAAGACTTGTACCTATCAGATGGAATGAAGTTTCTGTTTTAAATATCAACGACGAATGGAAAAGAGTCGAAAACATACCAAAACAAGCATTGAATGCACCGATAATCATCAGAAGTACTGTTGCTGGACCAAGAACCGTTGAAACCATTAAGAACAATTGGTAGATTATGTATAAATATGATATGCTATCATTAATAATTACAATTCTTTTATAATCAGCTAGAAAATCCATAATATTTGCAATAGTTGATGGTACCCATCTTCGACGCTGATTAAAAAATTCCTATAACGTAAAAGAGTAAAAATTGGATTTTTCTAAACAAACGAAAGAAAAACTAACATGAAATGATTCTGGTGCATAGGTAAGAGCATCCGATGCAGCACAATATTCAACACGATATCCTTCTTGTAATAAAAGTGTACATAACCAACGATCTTCCCCTATTGTAAACAGCGTTACAATGATTACTTTATAACAAAAAAACAAAACAGATACCTTGATCATATTGTACATAGTGTCGAGCTTCAACTGATTTCGTACAATATGTACGAAGAACATGATCGTCCATTAATGCTGAACCACGAAAAAGACTAAAACAACCTGGACTACACATCTACAAAAACAAAACCGAAGGTGATTGATTTTTAATTCATCAAGAAAAACTAAAGTCTTCACTTACCACACAACCTAGAATATGTTCGGCAGCTTTTTGAAGCCAATGACCAATAGCATATTCAAATTTTTGATACCAAACAACAGGACCTTAGTTTAGTTAAGCATAGCAAATATAAAGTTTAAAAACAATAATTTTCTTACCACTTCCAATTGGATGAATACGTCCACAAGCAGCTCCGACTTTTTTATTTTTTTTCATACGATCGACAAGTAAACGTACAGCTTCAGGATGAAAATCAACATCGCCATCAAGTGCTAATAAATATGTATTTTCCATCTATAGATATACATAGAAAAATTGTATGTTTACACGAATGCATTTTTTAGCAAGACATTACTTGTATACGTTTTTTATTATCCATATTATTCAATAAATTACCAAAACCTTTAAATAATTTCGATTTATTTTTAGATGAATTCTTCTTTCGTTTTCTTTTGTATAACTTTTCTATGATATTTAAATCACCAAATAAACGATAGCCAAGTAAATAGTACATGTACATAACCTGAAAATTTATTGGAAAAAATACAAAAAGTGAAGCAGAAAATACGCTGATCACTTACTTGACTCCAGCGTTTTTTATGTCGTATTTTGGTTTTATCTTTTATATGCGCAATAAGAAAATTTCCACCTGGTAGTATCCATGTTAATCGACCACCATAGGGTGTTGGAGTTTTATAGGGTGGAGGAATTTTCATTGGACATTGATGAATCGCTCTAATATAAATATTTTCAAATTCAATTAAAAAGAGAACTAGAGAGAGAGAGAGAGGAAAACACATACGTAGCAGCACGATCAACAACGCCAAGTAATTGTTGGACAAATTTATTGGGTACTTGTTCATTATTATCATCTTCTTCTGTAGCATCATCAAAAAATATATGACCTTCATATTCGTAGTAATCAAGATCTTTTAGATGTAAATAATTTCGAGCTGTTCGACGTGCACATTGGTCACTGTCCAATCTAGAATATTAAAAACGACAAGGAGATTTTCTGCCGATTTAAAACTTTGAACAAAACAAACCTCATAATTGATTTTAATAATTGTAACATTTCCGTTTCAGTTTCATGCCACATTGTTGCGCATGAATATATTTTCGTATGTACATCGGCACTTAATTTTTTTTCCATTGATAATTCTTCAATACTTTGCTCATCGAATTCGGATTCGCCATTGGTTGTACTCATTTCATCATAGATACCACCTAATAATTCATCGCGTTCGTTTCGTCGTCTGTTCATCATTAACGATTGTTCAAGTAAGGTTGCACAATAACGTGGTGAAACAAATAAACTAATCGAAATAAAGACTTTTTCAAGAAAAATGTTATCACACTACTTCTTTTTACCGTTCTGTAAATGCTAAACGTTGCTTTTTACCAAACCAAATATGTCCACCGATCCATAATTCCGATAGCCACCATAGAAATAAACCACAGATAACTTGCCATTTAAATGATTCTTTTGCATAATCAGCATAACAACTCCAAAAAAGAAAGTTTTGAATGAAAACAGTTGATTCCGGTGCAACTGAACACATAACAAGTAATATTGTTAATGCTAATGGCGTAACTAATGTTATCGGTAGAGCAAAACATATTCGTTGCATACAAAGTTTACATGCTAAACGAGCCATATAAAAGCATAATACATCTGCAAGAATTTTTAATATCATTGGAGTTAAATAAATAATCCAACGATCTTTTGGATTTTGTGCTTCACTTCCTCCATTAGGACTCGCTCCTTCGGCTCCTCCACCAGGCATAGCATTTAATGCTTCATCGTCGTAAACAAAATTTGTTGGTAAATCATTTTCAAATTGTCTTTTCATTCGTCTTAAATATGCCGATGCATTATCAATAGACCGACGTTCACGTGGTGGTAACATCGGAAACATTCCTTGTGGCGGCTGTTGATCGAAATCCAATGCTGCCCAAGAATTTTGTCCTAGAGATAATTTTGGTAATGGATCTTCTAATTGTTCATTATTGCTGCTCATTGGAAAAATAACCGACGTATTGAATATACCTTGATGAAATATATAGGCAAACAAAACAGTAACAATAATTTTCCAACATGTCATTATGATTGATGTTTTAGGTCGTGTTGCAACAATATTTTCTTTCAATAATTTCATATGCACCAATGTGCGACCACCAATTTTAATATCACGATCAACAAAGTTCTCCCACCTAAAAATAAAATTATTCTTGAATGACTATCTGCCCAGAGAGTAAATCTATTTAGTGTCTATGATTGCGTTTTATCTTTCGTTCTGTAGTGAATAACTTACCAACTAAGTGAAACAAGTATTAAAGCCACAGGTAATTCCCATTCAATGTGAAAACCAGCTAAAATAGTTTGTAGATTTTGATCTATCGAACTCATATTACTAGCAGGTGTTGTGAATAGCATATTTTCACTATTTCCACTGAGATCAGCACCAGAGAAGTCAAGATTCGGGCCGATGAAATCATCCTGACGTTTATGTCGATTCGATGGTATAGAATATGTACTTGTGGGCAAGAACAATGATGATAGCGTTGTTTGAATTGTAATGGGTCCATCGTTTTTTAAAAATTGGGATGCTAAGGCAATTCCAACACACGAACATTGCATAACAAATGCAAAAAAATCCATTAAAAATAAAAGGCTTCGTTGAACAATTGATGAATTTGATTTTGTCAAAAATAATTTTAAAAAAGCAGGTACAAGACAAACAGCATTCATGATGAGTAAACTTCTTGCTGCATCTAATTTAGGTAATATATGAAAAACAAATATTGCTATACCAAAACTATGCAGAGTTTCGATTAAAAACACCTATTTACAATGTATGGAAATTAAATTCAAAAACAAATAACTGTGAACATGAAAAACTTACAATGGTAAAAATTTTCACTGTTGGCCATGGTTTATTACCGAATAGACATTTACCCAGACTGTCGAAAAATGTAAATAAATACGGAGCACATACCGCTATTAATAACATCCATACCCAACGTTCTTGATAAGGTGTCTGAAATAGAAAATGAACACGTAGATTGCTTATAAAATGAGACAATCGATGGCAACATTCTATTCTTTGGCTTTTTTTACCTCTTGCACTTTAGCCACTGAATTTGTCATAAGTAATAAAGCTCCTTTACTAACAAGTGCCGTTACTAGTATACCAATATTGAGTACAACATAGGTAGCAATTTTTAACAAACGCATTGATAAACGATAGCAATGAACTGTAGTTTCATATGCTTCTTGAACATTCATTGTCCTAGCTGCATCCCAACACTCTAAATCATCTCTAAATAGAACGAACAGTCAAATGTTTTCATTGAATATATCTCTTCAAAAATATTGTAACAATTTACTCTTCAAATAGCGGTTTTTCATCTTCCAGTTTAGATGATTGATTTGCATTCGCAAAGCTGTATATGGAATTTTCGAATTCATTACTTTTACGTGCTTTACGTGCTTGGCTGTCTTTAAATTTTTGTCTTTGTAACATAAGAATTTTTCTAATCATTAAACGTTTTTGTTCGCACAAAACATCTTCATCGTGTATTGCATTTAGTAAATTTCTTGGTTCTGATTTTGAACGTGTGGCTTTTATTGGTTGCTTTTCATCTTGTCCAAGTGACCAATCTACAACAACAACAACAACAAAACAATCAAACACTTTTTCTCGGTCTCGCTATCAGGAATATTTTACCAGTCATAAATAAATCTCCACCTGTTCCAGAAACTTTCGTTTGTCGCATTAATTGTTCAGCTGTTGTCAAACTAATTCCTGGTGCACCATGAATATTCGGAATCATCGACGTCTTGACACCATCATGAGCTTTTACTGGAGCTTCTAATGTAAATGTTGTATTTGGTAATCCTTGTCCCGATTTAACATTGGTTCCCATGGGATAATGATCATGATGAGTTTGTTTACTAACTGTTGGTGTAAATTCATCGGGACCAAGTGTACGAGTTTCACGTTCAGATAAACCTTCTAAAGATGATTTGTAGTCATCGGATACTTGCTGTTTTAATGATTGATTTGAAGGTGAAGTTATTCGATGTTCAGCACCATGCAATTGTTTGATTTCATCTTTGTCAAGTAATTGTAATTTCTACAAAAATAATTTCATGGGTAACAGGATTTTCAAATATGAGAAAGCAAAAAGAACAAATCCAATTACTTTAGCTACTTTAAGCATATCATCATGCTCTTGTTCGTTCAGTAAAGGAGGATCATTGGATGAGAGTTTTTTCTTATCTTTTGATTTTTTCTTAATAAAATGGCCGGCACGACGAGGTTTATCATCCATTTTTGATGATATCTGTTTAATATATTTAGGTGAAACCTAAACAACGTATTTTGTTTTAGTTCTTTTAAGAAAACACGCAAAGGAAAATATTTACTTTTGGTAAAGATACAAGTTTTTCTAGTGTTCGTTTACCGCTTGAATGTGCTTGACTCAGTAGACTATGACGTTCATTAGCAAAATGTTTAGCTTTACGTAAAAGAGTTCTGCGTACTAGAAACCCTTTAATTACTTTTTGACATTTAATTATATTTGAAATATACTGTTCATAACATTGATTTAATTTTTCGAAATGTTCGAGCTTTAAAAAGACCTAACAAATTTAATACAACAAAAATTCATAAAATATAAAATAGTTATTTATTGTTTTACTTTTGTTTTTCCAATAATATAATCAGTTAAAGATAAATCTTTGAGAATTTTTTCACATGTTATCGTATTGATTCTTATTGGACTACTCTGAGGATAGGCTACGAATTTATATCTAATGAAAAACAAAAAGGGCATATTTGTTGATTTGTTTTTAGAAAATCAAAATTAAGCACATACCGCAGGAAAAATTCTTCAAATGTAAAGCGAACTGGCCAACCTTGATTTCTTATATAAGATATTTCAAGTATACCGTTGTAACGCAATTGTTCTTGAACTAATTCTTCGTCAAATTGATTCGCTACTTTAGCGTGGTTGGGTTTAATACATCTATGAAGACAAATTTAAATAAATTATTAACAATACTCAGTTCGCAAACATATATTTATGTTCAACAATCTGACTATTAAGATGAAATTAAAGTCCGATGGACATGTAGATTGTGGTTAATTAACGAAATGTACTACGAGCGCAGCCGAGAAATACTAATCCTTATCGTGCAATCTTTCCCGATGGTCAGTTAAGTCGAAATATTCGAATATAATACTTTGATGCAAAATGAAAATATAGAATATTTACGCGGTGAAGTCATTTTTTCTATCAGACGATATATTTTCTAATTGTCGTTTTTTCTCTCTCCAATTAACCATATTTTTTCCATGTAAATCATAATTATCTGCAATTAATTCATCTGTTGGTACATGAAAATCGATCGAAACCATTAAACTTTCACATGAATCAGGAAATGTTTGTTCGATGGGTTCTGAAAACGAATCATTCGATAAATGTTTGTCACTATCAGATGTCATCGCTTGATTTGTTTTATTATGAACAAGATTTCGACGTGCTAAGAGAAGCCATTGACCATTTCGGTCTAGTCGACAATAGTCAGTTTGTTCACTCTGAAAACAACAAGATTTTGGTCGAATCGTATAATCATGAATTGTTCCCCAACTATTTGCATTTTTTTCACTGGACGCAGACGATACATAATCAATTTGATTGTCCGATAGTAATGTCGATGTTACATCTGATAGATCTTGCCAGGAATCATTCGATTCTTTTTGTTCAACTAGAATTTGATCGATGGGTAAAATAATGTTTTTCAGATTCGGTTTCGATGCAAACAAATTCAAATTTGACATTTAACATACAATTAGAAACGAACCGAACAATATACGAAATGTCAATAATTCTGCTATAGTTAATCAATTACTCAACGATTGCGACTAATCGATAGATAAATACGGGGAAAAAAACAAAATAAATTACTCTACCTGACTCTTTATCTTTCGCGAAACAAACAAACAAACGTTCGTCGAACAGTAAACTGATCAAAATTTAGGCACGCAATATGGACAAAACACGGGAAAGAAAAAGAAAATACACACAAACGAATTAAATCCTTCTACGGTCAATATAATCATGTTAATTAATCACACGCGTAACGAATAGTAAATATTCGATAACTGAAAAATAATATACGTAAATATTCATCTTATGTTCGATGATAGATACTTGAAAATAAAATTGTCTTATTTTTCTCTTAAATCAAAAACATTCAATGAATATGAAATAAAGATCGAAACCATAAATCTATCTTTTGTTATTCTAAACAATATACTAAATGAATACGTCTACCTTCATAGATGAATTGGTTAATTAGGTTTTCATTGTCAAAACTCTACAATACCATCATTGTCACGAACGAAGGTAAAATGAGAATAAATAGAAAAGAATTTAAAGAGAATGTTGAATAATCTAACCGACTGGACAACGATAATAGAGAGAGAGAGAGAGAGAGAGAAGAGAGAAAGGAAGAAGAACAAAAAAAACCCTTCCTCACCGTTCCTACCACGCATCTACAAATCCTGTTTACACAATGACCTACATACCTTACAAAAGATGGTTCAGCATCCTTCATTTTATCGAGTAATTCAGCAAGAGAATTCTACGAAACGAAACTATTTTAATTGTTCAAATTTTAAAAATAGTTACTTTAAAATGAACGGCAACAGTATGCTGACTAAATCGTTCTTTTTGAACTGTATTAGCTTTCAATGGTCGCCTAAATAAAATCATCATAGAAAAAACAATTTCAATATAAAAAAAAACAACAGCATACGATTCTTGTCGAAGAGATTTAGCTGCTTTTTGACTTAAATTTTCTTTTGTTTGATCGGTATCATAAGATTTTGGGGGACGAGTTGGATAAAATGAATTTGTTTTCGGTCTAGTCATCATTCTAAATGGTGAATTTAGAATAATTCGAATTGATAAAGATTATTTCCGGATAGTCTAATTTTGTCTCTTTAAAAATATTTTTATGAGAACAGAATTTTTTTTATGCAAAGACAATTTATGTACAAGCATTCAACATTGCTCTAAGACCAAAGAGTCTGTACTTACGAAGATGATAACACAGTATCAGGTGTACTACTTGTGTCATCATTAATAGTAAACAAATAGCTAATTAATTCAATGCCACTCTTTTCCATGCATTCGATTAGATTTGCGCTAAGATTATCTCGATTTTTTTCTAAAAATCCTCGAGCATCATACACAACCTAGACAAACCATAGGAAACATGGCACATTAAACATTATTTATTTTTTTATTTTTTCGTACTTTTCCAGCATAATGATGAATTCCAAAAGCTGTTTCATTGCCTCGTGGTCTTATATATCTTACATGATTTTTGCAATGAATGTGAAATTTTTGTACCAATGATTCATCGTTTGCTTTTGGAAAACGAGATTCTTCATCAAGTAATGCAAATATGCCCAATGTCTAGAAGAATTTGATTTTGAGGGAAAAAATAACGAATATAATCCAACTTACGCCCATGAATAAATCAATTAAATCTTCATTATTTTGAAATTCAACTTTATCCGATGATACATTTTCTGTTCGATAATCTTGTTCTTCTTGTAGAAAAATATGCTCATTAAAATAATACTGAAGATGTTCATTTGCAACATTGATACACAATTGTTCGAAGCTATTAACTTGAAAATTTTCAAAGCCTGACATATCTAAGATTGAGCATGTACGATAAATATTATTATCAGTTTGATTATGTCTATTTCATTGAAGAAAATAAAACGTTTCGAATTTTTATTTCACATAAAAATAAAATTACCTTCGATTGGGCTGTAAAAGTGTATTGATTTGTTTAACAATCCATGAAAATAAACGTTCATACAATGCTTTAGCAAGAGCATCTCGACAATCATTAGCTTGATCGAAATTCTTTAAACTTATTACACGTTCACCTAGATATATCATTTTTTAATAAATTCAATTTAATAAAATTAATCTTAGCCATCTACCTTTCGTTATGCTAAATGTTGAAATAAGAGCCATCGTGAGAATTTCTTGATCAAGTGCAAGTAAAGTGCAAACTATAGAAATAGAAACAAGTACCAATATATATATATATATATATATATATATACATTCCAATCAGCAATAGAAACTAATCAAGAAAACCTGTAGAACGAAAAATTGAACTCAGACTCATTTCATTCAAATATCATCGTACTGCTGTCCGAACTAGAACCTATAGAATCACCTACCAACTTCCAATGGATATTCATCCTCAATATAAACTCCATCAGTTTCGTCATCATGTGAAAATTGAATATTTGTTAAATGAAGAATAGCCGACAGAATAGTAAACACCATATTTATGTCCTAAATAAGTTCGTAAAATTTGTCTCCTCACTTTAAAAAATATCTATTTACATTATCAGTAAATCCAACTCTTCCCATAATTTCTTTTTGTGTACTGAACATTTGTCGACAATGTTTAAAATCTGATCGACTTGGAAAAACTTTTCCGCCACATGGATCTTTTAAAATTCTAAAGGAAAACATTTAAATCAAAATATGATCAACAAATCAAACTGGCACTCAATACCTATAAGTTTCAGGATCATCCAAATAAAAATATTCTAACGATTCTTTTTCCAGACCAGCAAATAAATAATAAAAGAAATGAAATGTTCGTTCGCCAGGACCATGTTGAACAACACGAGATTTTTCAAGTAAATAATCATAAACTTTCGCTAGTAGAAAAACAAACTCATAAATAAAAACTTTTCAAACACACGAAATCAATCACTTACCACCAACAATGCGACCTGTATTTGTAAAATTCAATTGCAAATATTTTCCAAAACGGCTTGAATTTTGATTCATACACGTTTGAGCATTTCCAAATGCTTCAAGTAATGGTGATGTCTACAAGTTAAACCATCATCGAAAATGTTTCAATCGATTTCAATACAAACTTCAATAATTCGATTTTGTAATTCACGGTCACCTGCATCACCCGAACAATGAATTATATGGGAAACCATCAATTTTGTCGATTCCGTTTTTCCTATATAAATCAAAATCGATTTTAACTAAAAACCCATCAATCAATCGTACCAGCTCCACTCTCTCCTGAAACAGCAATGCATTGTGCTTTTTTCGATAAACAAAGTTTTCTATAGGCTTGATCAGCCACCCAAAATATATGCGGCGTTAATTGATGTCGACATCGAACATCCTTATAGAGATCATGTTGCTAAAATAAAAATTTTAAATTTGCTTTCTATTTTCTACAAAATCATAAAAACAAACTTGTTTCTCGTAAATGTTTAATTGTTTAAATGGATTGATTGCAATGAGTACATCTCCAATATAGGTCTATTCAGAAATTTAAAACAGATATCTCTAACGAAGAATGAAATGACTTACATAGATGACTCCTTTTTTGTAACGAGCACGTAATTCGCGTAAAAGACTTTCTTCATCAAGAACATTCAATGTTGATAAATCATCAATGTCACCTGAACCAATTTTAAGGACCATTCTCTGATACTAAATAAATGAAAATAATAATTAATGTTTACATTAGTATTAATAAATATTTTTTTGCTACACAGAATCGTTGTCATATAATTTCAAGTGAACTATTTAAGAGTTCTATCTATCAAATTTTCGAACAAGATATAGCTGTAAAAAGCGAAATGAACCTGACCTGACACGATGATTTAATTCACTTGACGAAAACGAAAAACAAATACTTGAGATTCTATGTAAATAAAATAGATTGAACATAACCATCAAAAACAACATAATCAAACTATGTGTAAACTTTATGTTTAGGCTAAAAATGTAGAGAATGTCATCTCGAAGTGTTGAATATTTACGAAACTTCTCAATTGTTAATGACGGATGTGCCTATTTCTAAGTACGGTTTGCATTGCTCTATTCAGCACTACTCAAACAGTGTTATTCCTGTTTCTTTTGAGTTTTCACACGACCATAGATATTTTTTGCTTCTTCAAAAAAAGACAAATATCAAAACCAAAATTGAAATATGATTCTTAAGCTCAAGTAAATTTCTCTAAAACCTTGATTAGTAGTTTAGTTAATACATACTTGTTATTGATAATGCACGAAGCTTTTCTCATTCAATTCATAGTTTAATGGTATTTTAAAATTTCTTTTATGTCAATGTCCTTCCCTAACGTTTTTTTCCTTGTGAAAATTTTCTCTTTTATCGTGAGCTAAATCCAACAAACGATTGTTGCGTATGATTAACTAGTTCATCGTACGGACATTCTTATTTTTTTTTGCCTTTACTTTTGTGTACTTTATGAACAAACGCACACGCAAGATTTCGAATGAGGACACATTCATTCATATATTTGATCAAAAGATTTCGTTTCGATGTCGTCAAACGGAAGAGGAGGAGAAATTGGATGATCAGAAGGAAGAGGAAGAAGATATTCAATCGGACATCTAACAAAACGACGACGAACAAAAATCATAAGATGTCATATTGAAGCGATTAACAACATGACAAACTAGCTGATCGATCTATTTGACCATGTTCGCCGTGATTATTTCTAAAGTCAATAATGTTCATCAATATAATAATAGTGCATGTTTTTATTTTATTCCACAAAAGAAAAAAGTTAGATACCCAAGAATAATAACAAACGAAATAATGAAAGCGAAAAAAAACAGAAAACAGTACGATATACAAAGTGGATGTGACGATTGATCGGCATTCAATAAAAAAAAGAAAGAAACAAAAAAAAACACTTATTATTAATGTTCATGCTGTTAACTTTGTCATTGAATGACTTAGAGCAAGAAAACAGACAATTTTGGCTTTTTGATTAGAACAGCGAACAACGAGACCAAAATGATGTACCAGGTTTTTTATTGGGATCTTGTTTAGGCCTAATACCACCCGATATGACGCGATTACCAGTTTGATCAGTACCCTAAAATAAAATATGAAATTTTTAGTTTTTGTCTAGAAAAATATCGGCGAAATGATTCATACGGCTTTCTTGTCGATTTTTGCTTTGATATCTTTTGCAAGAGAAAGAAAAGCTTCATCCACATTCTAGATTAATTATAACATACAAAAATAAAAACATATTGAAGATATTTTCTTATCATACATACAATATTTCCTTTAGCACTAGTTTCCATAAATTTAATACCATATTCCGTGGCCAGCTAAAAAACAAAGAAAAGAATAATTTTAATAGGAAAAAGATTGATAGAATTACATACATGTTCACCTTTTTCTCGGCTGACTTGTCTTTTATCTTGCATGTCACATTTATTTCCGATGAGCATTCGTTCAACTTCAGCTGATGCATGCTAAAAATGAAAAATAATATTTTGGATTGTCCTCATCAAACATATTTTTTCTTTTTAATATTTATACTTCTTCAATATTACGAATCCAATTTTTAATATTATCAAAACTTTTTTCACTTGTGATATCATATACCAACATAATTCCCTGAAGAAGAAGAAGAAAAAGAAACAAAACGCATATAATTCAATTCAGAAGATATTTTGTTTTTTCTTATTCTTACCATAGCTCCACGATAGTAAGCAGTTGTTATTGTTTTAAATCGTTCCTATAAGAATGATTTCAAAATTTTAATAATAACTTTACTATATACATTCTTACTTGACCCGCTGTGTCCCTATAAAACAAAACAAAACAAAAAAATTATAATATTTAATTTATTTTCGAACAATTCACATACCAAATTTGTAATTTAATTTTTCGTCCATCAAGATCAATAGTTCTTATTTTAAAATCGATTCCTAATTAAACATTAAAAATTATCATAGAGGAAATCAATGTAATTAAATTACCTATAGTTGAAATAAAAGTTGTGCTAAATGCTGAATCACAAAACCGCAGAAGCACACATGTCTATCAACAAAAACTCAAACATTTCGAAATATGAACTAGCTAAATATCAAACTGACCTTTCCAACGCCACTATCACCTTAATAAATAAAAACATACATAAACATGTGATTATATAAAAAGAAATTGAAACATACCAATTAAGAGTAATTTAAATAAATAATCATAGGCTTTAGCCATTATGTTTCTTTGATGATGATGATATTGTATGATAATATGTTAATGTAGATCCATGTGATTTTTTGATATATCTAGAAAGACAACACAACACCTGTTAATGTTCTTTATCTGCTAGAACTACAAATAGAAAGAAAGCGAGAGAAAAAGCAGAGAGATAGAAGGGTGCAAAACAAAGGAAAAATACAGATTGATGGTACTTGTTTTTATCGTCCTTCAGACATGATCGATCAATCAAGCAAGCAAATTCAGGAGAAAAAAACGTAGATGTTTTATCACATCATAGGGCATTCTTTTTTCCACTCATGAATCATATTTAACATCATCATCATCGAAATATATTTTTCGCATAAATGGCGGAATTCTCGACCAGCAGGAAAAAAAGGAATTTACATATTGTCAACTAGCGTACTCTATTTACTTTTTTGAATTATTCCGTATATAACTATATGATGAGATAAAAGTAATAATTTATTAGAAAAATTCTGCAGAAGATCTATATCAATGAATCGATATGGTTTTTCTTATACATCTATAAAACAGAAAACTAGTTAATATATTTTAATTTCAATAGAATATTCATAGTCTTCTAACTTCAAAAGACATGGGCAACCTTTTTTTTGCCATCATTATGTTTTTCTTTTCTTTTGAAATCTATTAGTCATGAAAATATTTTCATTACAATCGAATTTTTTTCACTTACTGGACATAACAGAATTGTTATCAGAAAATATCTCTTAATGATACATGATAATGGAGTGATTTTTTTTCTAGCAATACTTCTCACTAATGTGTGCATCTATAATCAATGCCATTTTTTTATTTACTTCTTTTTGCTGTCTACCATCTGTTTCTTATGAACTAAGAGTGTGTACATTTTATGCATGATTCGATCGTTCAACGTATATAAAAGTAGATATACCAGAGCAATGCCTTTCGTTCACACGTTAACTCTCCAAACTAAATATTTCTATTCATTCCTGAGTGTTCAAAATTCTTCAGGGCTTGAGTATGGTGTTGAGTCAATTGCAACAAGTGAATAAATCAAAGGAATAAAAACAAAAATGTTGAAACTCTAATATAATATAAAAGAAAGTAAGAAAACATGCTTGGCAAGAGAAAGAAGACTCAATTTATGTACCATTTTAAAACAAAATATATGACGATCGAATCCTTCTATTTACAGCGGCATCTATCTATTCTCAAAGTACAACTTCACTTACTTTTTGCATACTTCTCGACAGCTGACAAATCAATAATTTTGTTGTCCTCAGGTGGATATTTTCCTTGAGTCTTGTGTAAATGTACTTGAAATAAGTTTGCACACAATTTATCTAGTGAGCAATTATCACTAATAAAAAGTGCTATTCTGTGAAATAATTCAGCATGGACTATCCACCTAGTCTTGGTGATCCTAATTCTCATCAGGTTTGTCATTTCATTTATGTTAAATTTCTAAATTCAATTTTCAGACTGATCATTATGCATCGCCAACGTCTTTACCTCCATCGGTCACACCAAAAAGTGCTGCTGCTCGAGATGATACACATACAAATACATCAAATGACAATCGTTTCTATCATCGTCCGTCCGTCGCTTCAAAAAAAAGCATTCCAGATATGGGTCCGCCGTCTACAGTTACTTCTCATCATCCTAATTCAGTGGCACCATCAACACCTTTCTCAGCAGCAACACCATTTACACCACGAACAGTTGATACATCACGTGTTCAGCCCAGTTTACAGTACGATCACTTCCGCTTTTCTTTTTTAAATTTCTTATCTAAAAAAATATTATATTTATCTATAGGAATATAGTATCAACTGTCAGTCTTGGTTGTCCGTTGGATTTAAAACGTATTGCACTACAAGCTCGTAATGCAGAATTTAATCCAAAACGTTTTGCTGCAGTCATTATGCGTATTCGTAGTCCACGTACGACAGCTTTAATTTTTACGTCGGGAAAAATGGTTTGTACTGGTGCTAAAACTGAAGATGATTCCATTCAAGCAGCACGACGCTATGCTCGTGTTATTCAAAAGCTTGGCTTTCCAGTAAAAAATTTGAAACTAAAAATTTATTTTAGTTTTGATTCAAAAGCTTTCTTTTTTAGGCTAAATTTCTCGATTTTAAAATTCAAAATATGGTTGGTAGTGCTGATGTCAGTTTTAAAATACGACTTGAAGCACTTGCATTAGCACATGAGTCCTATTGCAGGTTGCATATTTTATATAGCTAAATTAAATTTTTGTTTCTCTAAAAGGGTCTTATTATTTAAGTTACGAACCTGAATTATTTCCCGGTTTGATTTATCGAGTCATTCAGCCAAAAATTGTTTTGCTTATTTTCAGTTCTGGTAAAGTTGTACTAACAGGTAAAGAACATTGATTGTCAGTTGTTTTTAATCAAATAATTTTCTTTTGTCTATCTAGGTGCTAAAGAACGCCGTGAAATTCATGAGGCTTTCGAACTTGTTTATCCAATATTAAAAACTTTTCGACGAATTTCTTGAGAACAGTTTCAGTGTTTTTTTCTGTACTGTATAAAACCTCGACGGTGATCTATTTCACATTTTGTCTTTTTGAAGGCTTAACTTACAGTTTGTTTTAGATGCACGGCTATTTTTCTATTGTTTTAGTTTTAACTTCTTTGTAATTGATGATAGCAGTATGCAGATTCCAGTTGTTTTTATTTACAATAAATAAATAGAAAATCAGAACGGGTGTGGGTAGATTTTTCAACAGAATTTCTAGCAAATAAAAGATAGCATTATTTTAAATTTGAAGGACGAAATATCATGAAAATTAACTAGTCATCAACTGGGTTGCTATGGATTTGAACAGTCTTCATTTTTTTCCTTTCTCTATCTCAATAATCCGCAAGAGACGAATTTACTAGATCACTGAAATATTTTTTATATGTGAGTTATGGAGAGAGAAAAAAACAGATGATCTTGAATAAAAATGTATATAAGAGAAGAGATCAATACAAACAAAAATGAACTACACAGACATTACAGAATATTCATGTGTAATAATAATAAAAAATGAAGGAAACAAACAACCGGATAGCTCAGTATACGTAAATCTGACTGTAAAAAAAAGAAAAGAAATGAGGGGTAAAGTTTTTAAAGTTTTGTAGCACCATGATTTGAAGCATAGAATAGAGAATAATCATCGAGTGATGTTGTCAATTGATTTGATTCATAGATATAATTTGATTCTGGTGCCCAAACATGTCGTGGTTCATAAGCGAGAGTTGTAATATTCGTTGTGCATAATGAATCATCAGCTTCATTTAACAGCGTTGGTGGAGGCGGAGGAAGTGTGGGAGGAGCTGGTGGTGGCGGTGATGATGGCATATAGGCATCAATGAAATGCTGATGTTTAGCTGGATATGGTTGATGACAGGAAGAAGTTTTAAGATGATCATTAGTTGATGCCGAAGAAAATTCTTTACTAGCAAGATAACCAGACGACGATGTTGATGTTGGAGAATAAATCGATGATATACCAAGTGTTTTGAAAGTATCTATGTATTATTTTGAAAATCGATTAAAGAATCATCCAACAATTTAGAAAAAACAACTTACTATTCCAGCAAGCCCGTTTTGTTTTCGATGTTAATATATAAAGAACAAATATGAAGAAACCTGTGAGAGAAGCAAATAAACAGAAAAGCACTTGACATAAAAGACGCATTGGTCCAATAGAAAATAAATTGAATAGGCCAAATATCCACGTAAGACCAAGAACAACAAAACAACTTAACGCAACAGAAAATCGTGATAAACGGCGAGATTCAAGAGTGTGTGTAGTACGCATTTTTTTCCCTGTTTGGCCACATAAGAGTGAATAAGCAACCATTGAATAGAGTATACTATTAATGACAATATATAGAGCTATTGGTAAAATAAATGATAAATAAAATGATGGCGAATCTGACAACCAACAACTAGAAGAAACATCGATGAGTTTTTTTGTTCTAAAATCGAATAAAATACTCTTACATTTTATCTTTGCGTTTGGTATAACCCCATGGATCAAGATAAATTACAATAGCAACAGGAATCAATGGAACAACTACAAAAAAAACATAAAAATATCTTTGTCGGCTAGTGAAGAAGATATATGGGGTACTCATTCTTTTGAGATTCTTTGTATCTCACTGGACTCTACCTTATGCGAAAAAATCTAAACGTTCCCTCGTCAGAATTGTATTAGTTATTTTCGATAAAACCCAACGTTCGAACTGTGATGTGACTTACGTTGTGCAAATGCTGCCGCTTTTCTTGTAAATGCAAGTGTTTGATGCGGAAATACTCGAACAAATAACAAATATTGTATTAAAGCCATAATAAACATCCAACTAAATGATGATAATACGAAATAATGTAATAAACTAGCAACAATAGTGCATAGTAAATCTTTCAATTCATTCGATGTAAATAAACAAATAATCGACGCTAATATATTAACACCAAGAAGATTTATTGATAAAAGTAAAAGAGATTTTTGGCTAAAATGACGACGTAATTTCCTTAAAAAGAAACCTTGTATTATTGAAAGAAAAACTATTTTTATTTACTTAAAAAATATAAACGTTAAAATTGTTAAACATAAACCAATCGATGACAAAACTAATCCTATGAGTGTAATCATTGATAGAACTTGTTCGATATATTTCGGCAATGGTTGTTCTTCGATATTCTTAAAAATTAATTTTATTTGATTAGAAAAAGAAAAATTTTATTTTCTTATACAAACCATTAAAACAGCAAAATGTGTCAAATGATTACACAAGCAAGTAACACTTCTCTCTGTTACATTGGTCGCATTGCAACCTTCTCTTGACCATTGTGCTGTCATATTATCGGATATATGCCAATAAGCACAAATAAAACTATGATTTTTATGTTTAATATCTTTGTCCAAAACGAAATGAATTTTCACTAATGAATTCATAGTTTTTATCAATTTCGGTTTGTCCATTGTTAATGAAACAACGCGTGATAGTAAACGATATTTCTTATCGCCGAATAAATCATTAGTTTGATTGAATACAGAGAATATTAAGCGATTTTGCATCATTACAGTTTCGGAATCAAGAGTAATAAATGTTAAATTTTGATGATCATTCTCCGATTTCATTAGTTTAGTTTCATATTTTATTGGATCTAATTTTTTTCGAAAGAAAAATTTTCTACATTATTAAAATCATAAATAAAAATATTTTAAACACATTTCAAAAAATATCCAATAGTACCATTGTTATCGAATTCAAATGCGTCACCGAATAATTTATATCTCAAAAGGTTTCTTTTAATGAAAAGATATCTTGATAGAGTTCGAGAGTGCCTACGAAGGCATCGTCCTTTTACTATCCGATTAGTAAATTTAGTTATTTCTACGGCTTTTTCTTTCTTCTTTTCAATCAAAAGCTGACTCGATTTCAGATACATACCAAATGAAAATCCAATAATCGGTTCCGACCAGCTATTTGGTTTATTCAGAATTGATACAATGAAATTATTTTTAACAAAATATTTTTCTAATTCATCAAAGACTAAATTTTCCGAATATGTTTCAAGTAATGATAATAATCTAGAATTAAACTTTGACTTTTATTTGAATAGGAAAACAAACGAAAGTCGACTTCTTACCTAACAGCACTACTATTCATCTTTTGAGCTTCTTGCATTTGTAATATTGACTCAACGGATAAAAGTTTATTTGCAATTGAATATAAATTAGACTGCATATCATGCTTAGTTTGATTATTCTTCACTATACGATCTATTATATTGACAACGGATGCAATATCTGATGAAGATTTAAAGCATGTTGTTTCATCATTTAAATACGATAAGACATTAGATACATCATCCGACGTAGTCATAGAGAGCTAAAAAGAACATATTTTCAAGATGATTCAAAGATGAGAATCAACAATCTACTTTTGCTACTTCTTCGATTGTTAAATTATGATAGAGATTTTCATGAAATACTATTGATTTCATCTCTTGTTTAGAGTCCGGAGATTTTAAACAATCGATAAAATACGGTTCATGTCCCCACGATGAATTTGGATAGCACGGTAAATAAACATAAGGACGACCAGTATCTAAACAATGAAATCAATGAGAATATCTATGGAAAGTTAAATCAAACGTACAAGGACATGCTTCTAATGATCCAGCATTTTTAGTAGTTGATTCAACAAAATTATACGATGCCCGTTTTGTTGCATTTTTTAATTGAAATGTTGCTTTCGGACATAGAGCTTAACGTAAATGAATAAATTTCGTTAAAAAAACAAAAGAAATTCTCTGTTTAAAAGATTACTTACCATTTGAAAAAGGTATTATGAGTAAAATTACTAATATGAATTGTTGCATTTTATACATGATGAGTTCACGACCTATAACAACAAAGTATGTACATATTCAAATGTACAGTGTTCGTTTCTTTTCTCATCCATCGACAATCACGATGAGCTGTTTCTTTTCTCTTCTTCTCTCTGTTTTTCATCTATTCAAATTTTCTATAAACTTACAATTTCATCCTCAACATCATACACAATTAAGATATATCAAGACATTTTGAGTTGATTCATTATGTATACTTAAGTTATTAGAACTAAGATTCTTTTCTATTCATTCTCTATGCTCCAATGAACACGCGTTCAATTTGTTTCTTTTTTTTCTAATTAATTGCGACTATGATCAAACTTATAATTAGAAGAAGAAGAAAAAAAAGTACACACACACACATATAAATATATATTCATTTCACACCGAGATATTAACAATTTAGGCAATGTACCAACAAACAATATTCTCTGTTGAGATTAACACCACTTATATTGCTTGTTTTCTTTATAATGCAAACATGTTCTTTTTAAAATAAAATGATTGCGTAAAATGAAATCAATTTAACTATTTTCTCGAGGGATTTCGTCACTAATAGTTTGAATAATGGCTTAGAATGATCAATCACACCGACATAGTAAAGAACTGTCTATCAAAAATGTCAATGAAAATAAAATTAAAATTAAGACTAAATATACCACGAAAAATCATCAAAAAGATTCGATATGAAAAGTCAACCATCGAAAATTCTCGCTCGCTCGATTAGATGTTAAAAAACACTAAATAATGATATATTTACTTGTCCACAATATTTTTCTATTTAACTACAATTATAGATGAATAAGAAAATAATCAGTGAATTCAATTGTGAAAATAGATCATAGAAAAAGATAGACTGAGAGAGAGAGACAGAACATGTATATTTGTCAAATCACAACTATAGATGATACGATCTATGTGACAAGAAAATTATAAGTTGACCAGACCAGGGTCAACATAATACAATATGCACCTGTTGTTTTCGCCTTCCTCAGTGCAATCAATCAGGCTTATCTTAATCAAGCGAATTCGAGTTAGTTTTTTTCTTCTTCCTATGACGAACACGGTTGCATATATAGGTATAGAAATGGTGTGAAGCTCTTATACACATCGCCCATCAAATATCTACGTTGTGTTCGAATGTTCACTAAGGAAAAAAGGATTTAGAGATAGTGATGTACTATTTGTTTAAATCACATTCAACTATGTGAACAATTGAAACATTAGTTTTATCCCTGGACATGTAGGAAGTCAAATAATGTATCTATTCTACTCTAATCTTTCTTACAGAATGAATACGACCAATTTCATTGTTATACTTACAGTCGATGTGTACTAACATGAATTGATTTTATTTCTTGTATTTTTATCTTTTGCGTGTCGCTTTATCAACTCTTAAGAGGTATGTTTAAAAGAGGTGAATACAAATCTGGAATATTCTCTTCAAAAGATTATTTCAAGTGAAGTAATATAAGAAAAGAAAGAAAGAAAGGAGAAAAAAATGTTAATGTATTTCAATTGTTCATGCTGAGGATATGTCGGCGGCTTGTTCACAATTGCAAAATTAGTTCAATGAACGATAATGGTCGGACACGAACGTTTTTGTACATACTTTCATATATAAAATGTTATGTAAACGGTTAAAGGAGCAAAGTGTCGCGAGAAAATGATCATTATTTTCATGCCGGTTCAATTTTTTTCCTTCTGTGTTCCGATATGTCGACTTCATACATTCAGCTGATGCCTGGGACAATTAATATTCTTCACTGATCACTGCGAGTCCATCCATCTGACACAATCTTTTGTGCGATTTTTACATAAAAAGTCACTTGCAGTCCTTCGATAGAAAGTTAAAAAAAGAAGAAAAATCTTTTCACATAAGATCGTAAAAGGTCAATCAATTGTACAATATAATGAAGTCTTTATTAATGTGAAAAAAACTTTGTTTGACATTATCCTTAGGACAACTTGCCCATTATTGTGTGACTATTATTGTCCTTTAAATAGCTGATCAGGTTAGTATCTTCGTTGGATTGTTTACGGCATGTTTGAAACGAAATTTTCATTAAAACAACAAAGACGACTTCGTCGAAGAATGTTCAGACAGTTTTAATTATGCATGAGGTGACCAGTCGCATTGTGGCAGACATATCAATAGTGAAGTGTTCTTAAAGACATAAATCTTACAATGAATAAATTGATTTCGTCATCAATTATACACTTGTCTACTACATATGAACTGCTATTATCAATTTAACAATGTATTGAGTTTCTTTGATATCAAATTTTCATATTATTTAATATCGTTTTACATGGTGGTTATCATTTACTTTTAAATACATAGATTATATTAGTCGGTTCAATGTCATTGAGACTAATATCAAGTGTTTATTTCTTTCAAGCATTAGATTTATTAAACATGTTTGATTGAAAATGAAAGGTATGAATAATAAAACTAGGCGAAGTTTCACTATTGTGAAAGGATAAAATTTTAATAAACGAAAAAATCTCGAACTAGTGTAATAACGTGTCACTGCAATAAAAGACTTCATTAACCTTGGCATGGTTTATGACATAATTAATAGGATCGTTGATGACATATGCTGCGACTTATGCCAAGATTAGAGTAACGTTGTTATGTGTAACATAATGTCTATGATGGAGTCATTGATTTTTATGGTTTCACCATTCGTACAAACTTGTTTCAACAAAGAAAAAAAGCATGAGCAGATTAGATTAAATTGATTTGTGCCGAAACTTCTTTATCGTTATTTCTTTTATATTGATATGAATATCGGTAACAATTGAGAATTACAACACGCATGATTTATAGTTCTTTGTCCGACATTACGCATCACAACTGTAAGACAAGATCAAAGAAACTGTACTGAATATTGATTTGTATTTATAATAAGCTATTCACATTTTGTTCATGTGTCTAACGATTATGTAGTACTTTGAATGAAAGATTTGTCTAGAAAAAAAGTATTTGTGATCAGCGAGTATTATCTAATTTTCGTATTTAATAAAGAAGAAGTGATAAATTATATTGACTTATCTTTTCACCACTTGTCAGATGTTTTCATTAAAAATAAACAATTCTGTGGTACACATTCGATAACAAGAATTTTGAGTTTCACTCAAATATTCTTCAACTTATGTTAACTATTTGATGATCATCGAATTCGTAGGTTTTTTTTAAGTAGCAGAATTTTGATTAGCAATACGTCTAGAATCTTTATCAACATAAAACACTTTTAGTTCAATCGCGGTATATTGGTAAAAAATGACAGGCATTTTTTATTCCAAGGTCTGGTGTTTATGCGACCAAGTGAATATCTCTTATTTAGCCTCACTATTGCTCATATAAGTTGATTCTAACTTTTTAAATATTGTGTTCTCATTTATACAGAATCGAAAATTCTCCGTTTTGTTTGATGCTTAGGCCCTCTTTTTGTAGTATACATTTGTTTTGAATTGACTCAACACTCAGTCATACAACAGTCTATAATTAGTGTTCGTAAAATGCATACATAAAATATGCCATGTTATGTGTGGCATTCAGTGTAAGCCCACATATCCCACACTGGCGTTTAGGCTTATCTCCCAGATAACTTAGCTCCTGTATTGTGAGGTAGGTATCTTATTCATTGGAAAACGTATTCTCATGATTTCAAGATAACGACATTTGATTGTTCAATGTTGAGGGTGTGTGAGTGTAGTTGTACACTCTTAAAAGACTTTGTATCACTTGCTTTAAAAAATGATTCGGAAAGACTAATACTAAAACCATTTGGTGATCAAAAGTATTCAAATCTTTGGAGAACACACCATCTTTTGAGAAGGTTCCATAGAAACTCGTTTTCTGAGTTATATGTTACATGAAACATAATTAATTGTCAAAGTTGTTTTCAACATTGATAAAATCTTATGTTCACTCTAGATCTAGAGCAGGGCAACTAGACTTACTCTATATTTTATCAAAACATGATGATCGTGAATGGTGAGCTTTAATGGAGACAGATCTAAGCAGGTATGAAACAAAGTAGAAATTTTGAATGCGTGTCAGGCTACTATTGATATGAATTAGCGTAATATAGAATGTAAACCTGAAGATAATAGCGACAGGCTGGTCAGTATTATTCCATACCATCAAGCCTTTCCAAGTCATAATATAGTTCGAAATAGTCAAGAACCAATTGAAGAACTGATGAAGAATCGATATAGTTATACAGTGTCGAGATCCGTATATTATTAGTTTCATATCTCTCTTTTGTTCACACGTCTAAAAATGCGACCATTGCAATCAGCTCAGAAATGTGATTCTTACCTTGAATGGTTGATCTTTGCATAGTTCTCCATAGTGCTGTGTCTATGGTGCAAGCTCCAATGAACATTTCCGATCATCTCAACAGTATACAGCGAACACTGAGAGTGTGTACGTGTGTGGATAAATAAAATAGCAACAAAGAAGGCAAAACCCTTCAGTTTGTAGAGGTTTACGCCATTGCATCATCTAGGTACATGTTTTATTGTTCATGAGTTTCGTTCCCTTAAGAGCTCAAAATTTTCTAAATCCGAACAGATCTTCTTGTTTTCCTTTGGCCACTCTATCTATGTGTTTCTCGGTTCCGATATTCAATCAAATTAAACATTAGCGATGAATCGTATACGTGAAATATTAATCATCAGTAAAACAATTTAAAATAATTTATAATATCCAAGTGTTTATTTAAGGGCAAAGCTTTTAATTTTCATTTACTCATAAGCAAATTATAAATTTTAAGAATAACAATAAGTACGCTTTTCTTGCTCGAAAGTTACCTTTAATAGCAGTACAAAAGAATGAAAATAAAATTGTTTTTACATCATTTCCGTAAAAACAATTAGAAATAACGTTTTTTTTTACATGCCTTCTGGAAAAAATATATGATTGGTGAGTCGTGTCTAATGACACATACTTCTTTCTAGTTCACGTTTGTTTAAATTTCTCTTGCCATGGAGACTCAGTGACTCATCGATGTATCATCAACATTCAAATGACTGCTTTTTTCATGAGATTCTTTTCTACATAGTTTATTATAAGCAATTTACCTGGCTGAATAGTAAAGAAAACAAAAAACAGTTATGCAGTCTATCAAGGAAGTACCAACTGCTTTTTAACTGCAGCTTTTTTGAAAGATGAAGTATATAATCTGTTAATTTGAATAACTGTAGTGGAAAAATACGAAAATTCCTTTGTGATCAATCCAAAATAGAGGACAATTATTTGTAACTGAATATGTGAGCATCTTTCATCGATTCTCAAGAATGCAATTCTATCCAAGCAGCCATTTAATCTCATCAAGCCACATACGAATGGGTCAATATAGGTGAGATTTATGATTGAAGTATCATTATATGATTACGTTAGCACGAATTGAAAGCACTCACGGCTATGTCCAAAGAATTGAATTACTGAGATAAATCAATTCAATCAAATCTTATAAGATTGAACATTAATTAAACGAGTTTAAAAAACAAAAATGCTATCCTACAACGAATGTATAGATTTATTCATGTATTCATGAAAAATAAAATGCTTTGCTTATACTATCTGGACATGTTTCTAAATGAACCAAAGCAAAAAATAAATACAGGACGTATGCGTTTTATATAGTACAATATATGCTTCTTCTTTATATTCCCAAGCTTTTATCATTCTACAAAAAATGGATACAACTTTCAAGTGTAAGAATTATTACTGACTGCTAATTTTAATTGAAATATTCAATCCTTATTTTGAGATTTTCTATCTGTCCATCGAGTTATGAGAAGTATTTGACCTCGGATTAATCGATAACATATCACTTACGATACGATTATGGTCTTGAGAGTAAATATTGACGATGATTGTGTGTCATACGGCATGTATATATGAAATTAAAAAAATAGTCATTTGCTGGTATTATATTGTTATATTTTATTCACAGCATATTATTAATATTTCTCTACAATATAATTTCCAACAGGAATATAAATAGGATACTTGAAAATTCTCTCTCCGGAGATGAAATGTTAACTTCATGGTTACTCCACACGCCAAGTAACAAGTTTTTGCTTCTCTTTTAGGGTAGAAATTTTGGTATTAGTTTGTAATTCTCTTAAACATCAGTTCTCAGTCTGAATCTTCTGTACTAATATCTTTATGACACATAGTAAAATTGTTTGAGTAACAACGAAATACCTGATGTTTTGATAGTTTTCACACCCACATCCTCACAATACATCACATATCTCAGTGATAATATCATTGGGATTTTCCAAAAAACCAAAGGGTCACCTATCCACATATAGATAGATAGGTTCGCAGGTAAATAGATAAATGGTTATATAGTAGGGTCACGGTCACGCCTGACTGCGACTAGTTTTAAAAACCTCTGAGACCGTGAGTAAAAATCGTAGTCACAGGTGTTACGTGACCAAAGGTTTTACACACTCCTTTATTTAAGCCTTGACGCGTGGTGGCCCTGCGAGCAACCCAACGAGCGCCGAGATATCACGGCTCTCTCACTGAACATGTTCAACTCATGAAGGTCTTCCGTGACCAAATCTTTTATCTATCTATCCGCGCATTTATTTGATTATCTGCGTATCCGTCTACCCCTGCGTTGATCTACAGGTTAGTACATTGATGATTGGGTGTTTATAATATTAGATGTATGATAGGTATCTATCTATATGTGAATAGGCGACAGTTTTTTCTTTTTGGAAAATCCCAATGATACTATCACTGAGATTTGTCATGCACTCCACTCTCAAGTAAATGAAAATATAAGAAAGAAGAGAATTCACTAAAAAGGTAATAAAAGGCTTCGTCATTCGACCCATTTTAAAAGTGTTTGACGTGTATTTTTTGTCAGAAAACAAGAGAGTTTCATAGGGATTCATTTCCGTCAACATTTTCTAAATTATTGCTTTTACATACTTCATGAGTCATCGAGAAACAGATGTAAGGTGATTATGATTGTGAAGAAATACTGCAAGTTACACCTACATCTCAGTAAATCGATACTTACACCCTATTTGATGAGAACTAAGGATGATCAAATTATAAATCTAGGTAAATCTATCTCATTCATCCGCTCGACTTTCATCATCACACTTCGAGTTATTTTCCATTAGGTAATTGTTACTTTCTTATTTTTCTGTCAATTTTGTTCTGTTCTACACTTAAGTCGCTTTATGTGTTGTTGATTTATAAGATTTCTACAACTGTACGACTAGAATAATAAAAGAATAGGAAGAAAGAAGTTGGCAGATTGTTTGATATATGAATAACCATCGTGTCACGCTTTGGAATTTTCCAACAAACTATTAGAAGAATAAAATGGTTGTCTTTCTTATTTTTGTGAGTTATTGCTTAACTTCATTTTGATGCGCAAACACAAGATCATCAATCTCAAATGTCAGTCTTTAGAAAAAGTGTTGTCAAATTTTCAGATATGTATAGACTGATCAATTCTCTAAACATTATTCAGCTCAAGTTAACTCTAGAAATTGACAAGTTTATCGGATGAAGTAACACGTCGATTAATTTTGGCACGTGTCTATTGGGATTTAAAGGTAACTCACACATTGTGCATTCGATAAAAGCGAAGCGAGAAGAATGGTAGATTTTTTTTAATTTTAGCGTGCCTTTGAATTATACAAAAATGCAGTGAATAACAATTTAGAGAATCGTATAGTTACACTATTGATGCGAGATCGTATTGATATCGGTCTACCTATTTATAAATTAAATAATGGTGAAGAAAATATTGATTGGGTTAGTACAATAGTGTAAAAGATGCACAGAGTTAATTTATAAGTTTTTAGAATGAATTAGTCATTAGTATAAATGCTGAACTTGGCGAAACTGAAGACATTGTTCATAAAACCTTAGTACGAATCAGGCAGCAGGTTTGTAGTTGGTTTGAAGAATGCATGAAAAATCAACAGGCGAAAGTGCAACCAAATAAAAGCTAAGGAAGCTTATTGACTTGTTCGTCACGATTATATGAGTAAGCCTTATATTGTCGTGTCTGAGAATCAATTTTTGCTGTGCTTGTTCGTCCACCGATAAAGATAGCTTTTTATTGACTGTTTACTTGAAAGTGATTCGATTTATATTTGGTGTGCATGCAGCAGAGTTAAGCTACATCGCTGATAAACAATTTTAGCACTGGAACTTGTCTTGATAATCCAAAGCTGATTTCAGCTGATAGTTATATTGAAGGTGGCTCCATTGCACGAACGATGTTATTTGCTCACGAAGGCAATTGTGAACAGGATTTATTGTTTGTGTTTGCTGCACTAGAGCATGAAGACTTAATCGAAGATTGTACTGATCAGACAGTATTTGTCAAAATACGATTCACACCGGATAAATCATCATTTTTGAGTAAAGTACATGATCATTATTTTTCCTGTCATTATTGTAGTGATAAAACATGTGAAAATGATAAATATCGAGGAACCGTCATATGTGATGAACGAATGAAAAATAAAGGCGACAAATTTTTAAACGGTATTCGCGTTAAGAAAATGATTAGCTTGGCTTTTTTTTGATGCGTCACTACGAGAAAGAAAAAGATTCGATATTGCGCAAAAGTTCACTAATACTTGATTTTGCCGAGGAACCATGTGTATCAAAAACAAATATACAATATAAAGTTAAGTCAGAAAATCTTTACAATGAGATTCGAAATATGTTGTGGGAGTATGCGCTGGTTCTGAACGTATTTGAAAATATGGAAATGTCAACACGTATAGGTTTTCATGATCATTATTGTTGCAATTATATGGAAACATCTATACGAGACGATCGATTCGATTTGTTCGATATAATTACACAGGCTAATTTGGAGCTCAACATGCCCGATGTAAATGATCGAAATACAATCGGTCATGTATTGATGGGATCTATTTTTGGTTTGCCGTTACCTAAAGATTTAGAATTAAAATTACGTCACTATTTTAATTCTACTTCGCACATAAGTCTTTGATAACAGTAGAAGCAGAAGAACAAAAACATGAAGCTGAGGGAGCAGACAAGTCTTGTATAGAGAATGATTCGAAAGATTCTATTATCTGAACTAACGTATGTTATTATATTGTAGGAATTTGCTGCTCATTGAATAACACCAAACGAAAGAAAACGTATAGAATGCTTTTAAAATTTAACCTGTATAGAAGAAGAAAATTGAAGAAGGATTCATATCGCCAGAGGAGCTCGTGAAGGAAAACATATCCTATTGATTACGCATTTACCTTAACCTTGTAATTAAAGTGATATTGAGAATTTATATACTTTATCGTCACTTTAAAATTCATTATCTGTCTGTTGAATTTATAAAATGACAAAAAAATGGATAGTGCGTTGGCAGACAATAAAACTTTTCGTTTTGTAAAGAAATTTCGAAAAACAAAATTTGTATAAATCAGCCTAAAACAACAATGAACAGTAGTTAGATATATGAAGTTGAATAGATAGGCAGAGAAATTTAGTAAGAATAACTCATACAAGTAAAAGCATCAGACAACTAAGCATTTTTAATGAGTACGAATCGTTCATTATGTTAATTGATATAGTTGAATTAGAACTTACATAAACATTTACAAATGACCAGTGCTGAGCTTATTCGAGCGTATTATTTTCCTATTTCACATGACTAATTTTTATACAATCAGATTCAGCAGTGGCTTTGTGTACTCCGCAAAATGTAATCAATGACTAAGTCAATATCCGTCTATATTTAGGCCAGTGACTAATCGACCTGTCCAAGCGTGACGGAATCACGTTTTTCATTTTGTATTTTGAATAACTCAACTTAATGAAATTGAATGATGCTGAAATTTTCAGAATATATCCAAGTTTCATTGCTCTGCGTACCCTGAAAGTTTATTAGGTTTCGAAACTTTTGTGAAAATTTGATGATTAAAATATAGGTCCGTTACGGAATCATCAAAGCCTGTCTTCTAGATTGAGTCCCATGTGAAGAACTGGAAAATTTAGCTCAACTAAAACGGCGAATAAAAAACTTTCAATAGAAAAGTTATAGTGGAGATGACATTCCATCAGTAGAAAAAAAGAAAATTTAAAATATATAAAAGTATGCCTTTGAATGGTAGGAAAAGCTTCGTAACGGAATCACCATTTTCGTCACAGAATCACTTTTTTTAAATGCTCATATTTTTTTAGTGACTACTTCTTAAGAAATTTATCTATAATTTCCGAGAATGAACAAAATGAATACCGATTCTGGCCATCGGGGCTGGAACCGGGACCGGGATAAAAGACATTAACTGTACCGAGGTCTAAACCTCAAAACCTTAACTATATCATGCCAAGACCCAGATCAAAGCAAAAGTTTCCCGCTTAAAGCAAGAAAGTGAGACTTTCGTACCTCAGAGTAAAGGTCAAGCAGGGGAGGAGTTCGGTAAAGTGAACCTAAGTTACAGTCGTAGTAAAGAGATAAAAATATGAGTATTCAAGAAACATTAAAAATGTGCGAAAACAATGCTGCAACATATTTCTCTAAATAAGCACAGACTGTAGATTAGTCAGAATTACATGACCAGCATAAAAAATGAAACTTCAACCCGAAAGAGATCCGAACCACAATAAGTGTGCCGATGCTTTGGTCGGGAAAGGGACCAAAAATAATGTTGCCGCGCGTATCTCTAATTACTCATGAAAAAATAATCAAGAAAAATCATTTTACATTGTTCATTCTGATAAGATAAAAATTCGATTTCACAAGTATGAGGTGCATATCAAATATCACCTCTAAAATAGCATTTTCAATTGCAGCAATAAAAATAACTTGAAACCGTCAGAAATCAGTTTTGAAATAAAGTAGTGAACCTATAAAATACCATAATCTATATAATAATATAGTCAAGATGTATTATAAGAGAAAAACAATGTTTCTATTTTTTTTTGGGAAAGCGTACTTGTTCGACTCAATGGTGATTCCATCACGCTCTCGGTAACGAAATAAGGGTTCGTATCAAAAGCCAACTAGTTCTGTGGATAGAGCAAAAAAAGTCAGCGTTAGAGTGCTCATTCGCAGAATCATAAATATCTTGCTTTAGGGTAAGAATGAGTTATAGCATATTTTCATTGCGGAATCACAAAATGAAATGGGCTACTTTTGAAATATAAATACTTTCTTCAGGAAGAACATTACCTGGATCTCTTGTTATAGTTAAAGAGCCTACTCAGCATAGTTCTAAAAGATTTGATCGGCTTTGAAAAATATCATATCTGTCTGCATGAAAAAACAGAAAATAAAAACTCTTGAAAAATATGTATATTCATCGATACAGAGTGATAGTTATTTAACAATATTTTCCTCCTAAAATATATGCAGCTACTTAGATAAAAGAATACACTTCTGTGCACTATCGACAATGCTCTGCAAGATGGTTATATTTATTTACTCAATTTTGAAGTTCAACTTTGCCTATGCCTACAAATGTGGACCATTACGTGGGCAGGTCGTTCTACTTCGTTTAGTTTATTCATCTGCTGTGCTCGCTTTGTTTTTTAATTTTCGACCTTGTTTTATACGACATTATATTATCGGTTTGCTCTTAGGCGTTATTTAAAATAAACATTTAAAATGGATTTCATCGCACCAGCATTAGTATAACGTAAAAGTGAAAAAAAGAACTAATACACTTTTGAAATACGAAAAAGTACAGAAAAGTACAAGAAGTACAGAAGTCCACTTGTCCCCCCTTGAGATATGCTCGTTCAGAAGTAGATATATTATTATAAGGGCACAATTAACCATGAGCTTGAAGTTGGGGGGAGATTTTATAATTAACTCGATTATTCGGTTTAATCATTAAAGAAAGCACGTTCTCAATCTTGGTACACTCATAGTGACTGTTCCTGGGTCGAACTACCGATATATACACTGAAAAAATGGTCAATAGCAGTGATCAATAACGTATCCATTGGTGAAAAAGAAGCAATTGTTTCGTACATAGAAAAACAGGATAGGAAAAATATGCATTGTGCAAGAGCAGAACATAATTGTGTTTCAAAGCGAGGGACAAAAAACAGAAATAATTGAATTTTTCTTTTGTTTGAAACCAGGATATCGTGTAAATGCGATGGCATGTTGATGAAATCACATTAATAAGGATTCATTGGTGAAAAATAAATATGCAAATAAGATTTCATTACCGGAGTAAATTAAGTAAACTTAAATTCAATCATATATTCATCACTTTCCATCATTCCTCATCATCATATACGTAAAAAACTGCACTGCAAAAAAGGGGATTTATGAAAGTGCAACGTGTCACATACCATTTTTTCCGTCTTTGAAATATCTGATAAACCCTTTTTCCAAATCATAAACCTAAAAACCGTTTATTATCTTCGTCATATACGAAAAAAAGGGTTTATGATACGTTGCACTTTTATAAACCCTTTTTTTTGTTAAATGCCCTATCAAAAACGATTTTTCCGTTTATTATTATGCGGATTTTTTTTACAGTGTATGGACAGCATGAATGCTTGTCGAATTATTCATGTCTCAAAGAGATCACGATCTTCGAAAGTAGTCATTAGTGCTTTTCAAATTTTATTTCATCGCGTACACTTTTTTCTTTCTCAGGTAAAACCAATTCATACAAAAGAACAAATTTCCAATATTGATACCCAACCACCAGCCGAAACTAGAGCACTGTCAGCACAATCCATTCAATTTCAACCAATATCATTGAACAATACAGAGATGTCAAATGATGCAACTCAATCGAAATCAGCATTAATTTCACCAATCGATTCTAATCATTTCAAACAATCGCCATATAGCTATGCCGAGTAAGTTGTAGAATTTATTTAGTCAATTTCTTTTCTTCTATCATACATGTACCGGTATTTACTATCGGAGTGCTACTGCTTCTAGAGTACCAAAAGCCTCATCTAAAGAAGATAAAAAAACATTTTCAAACCCATTGATGATTGCTTTCGCCATCGGTATTATCATTGCAGTGATAGCCTTGGTAGCGTTGTCCATGAGTATTTACTCGATTGTTCATATGTCGCAAACAACAATAGCTAGCTCAACGACAGGTGAGTATTATTGATATTCAGCATCAACATAAATGTATTAGAACGAATTTTCTCTAACCTATGAAAATGATGTGTAAAGCAAAATCAGATTTCAATGCAGTAGTTTAATGATTTTCCAAAAGAAAACCAGTATGAGCCATTTTTAGTTGCCATAAACTGGTATCAAGTTGGTTCTTTTGCAGGTGGAGTTTTTAAGCAAAATATGTAAGGTAGTTGCATAGAACTTTGGAAAACTGAGAAACAATGCATTGAAATATTTAGCACGACTCCAATGTATCCAAGAGTGGTCGTTTGATGCTAAAGATTGCAGATAGAGTGATGGTTGATATCAATGTTACATAGATACAACGATAGTAATCTGTTGGGGACAGGTTTTTTTTCTGTCATTTCAATACACCTTTTATGAAATACAATCCAAACGGATTGCTTAAGTATATATGGTAGAAGTTTGCCCCTGATAGACCGTAAAATATGTTTTTGTTCACTATTTAATCAATATCTAACTAATCAAGTTTCCATTACAGACTATGACAGGCAGACTTGAGATATGATCACACATTGTGATCGATGTATTCAAACGACTATCGAGCATAATGCATAAGCATAGCATCTAATTGGAATATATATGAAGTATTTCCAAGTTGATGAAGTTCTAGACTGTACAGTAAACCATGATATAGAAATATAACCCAACATATATACATATATATAAGCTAAATATCAGTTTTTAGGCAATGAGTAATATTAGTCAGACCATATTTCATATTTCTAATCACGTATGGATTGCACTAACAGTTTTTAAACCAGCTGAAACAATACAATAAGACAGTAGAGCGATTTTGATCACCGTTGATCATCGAATGAGGTTAGTACGACTATATCATGTTCTCTAGCAAAGTATCATCAACTATATAGACAAAATATAGATATCTCGTTCATCTTAGAAAATGCTTAAGAAGGTTTATTAGGGTTATAAAGTGAATACTCCGGTTGCTTTTGTAGCTACCACATACCAACTGAGTTGGAGTGCAACTGGAACCACTGTTGCCGGTACCGGAAACGGAGGGTCATCGGCAACTAATCGGCTTTCGAATCCCTGGACTATTGTATTAGATTCATCCAATGCTCTTTACATCGCTGATCAAGGTAACAATCGAATTCAGAAATGGATTATCGGCTACTCAACGGGAACAACGGTGGCTGGACAGACGAATGGAGTAGCAGGTGCTACGTCTTATTATTTGAACCAGCCCAATGGTGTTTATGTTGACACGAATTCCAATATCTATGTGGCTGATTCGGTGAATGGACGAGTTCAATTTTTTTCTAGTGGTGCATTGTCGGGAACAACCGTCGCTGGAATCGGTGAGAGAAAAAGAGCAGCAAAAGAGATTTTTCATCAACAGCATATTTGTATGAGTAGAGATAGTGTTTAATGAAAAGTCTTTCCACTATTTCAAAAGTGTAGGGATAAACAATGAGAGTATCAGTGAAGCGGCAATCACTAAAATATCAATTATTAGCCAAAGTTGTATAAGCTTCAAATAGTTTTTCACCAATGACTAGCACAACTGAGAACCATCAGAAATTATTGAAAAGTCAATGGGAATCATTCAGAATCACAAAGAAAATTTCAGTAATAAGATTGAAAGTAAAGCCCTGATTTCTATTGAATTTTAATGATTTTTATTGATTTCTTGAATTGGCTTGTTTATATCATAGTCGAGTCTGATGCAATCCATTTTAAACTAACAGTGAGTGTCATGGTGAATCCGATAGCTTTCTGCTCTGCCACTCTTGTAGATAGCAGTACTGTTTTCTTCGCTAACTGCTTATTTTAATGAATTCACGATCTAAGAGTGGAACGCTTTTTTCACTTAATAGATCATCATCATCACTCATTAATAATCGAGCTTCACAAAAATTGACCTCGACTGTTTGAGTTTCTTTTCATTTCATGGCCACCAGATCATCAATCATCTCACTTATCGATCGAATCCGATCTGGTTACAGAAATCGAAGACGAGGTTGTTCTTCAAAATGAGAATAGGCGAAACAGGTTCTTTTCAAATGTGTATGTTTGCTCAGAGCTCTTCGTATGAGTGGGAAAATCTTCTAGAAAAGTACGTTGAAATAAGTATCATTAAAAAACACATGCTACTAAGCATAGCCCTTTCGCCTCGTTCTTTTGTGTGAGCGTCACATTTGTTGATGTTTGTGTCGCACTGTGGACAGAATGAGTAAACCTGGAATTCTGCCTTTGGATGGCGTCACACATACAGACATAAATATGCAACAACCTACATAGGTTTCAAAAAAAAAGAAAGTACAACCCCAAAACAGAATTCTCAGACATTGTGCTGTTTTTTACGAATCTTATGTCTAAGTTCTTTTTAGGTGGTAATGGTTCTACATCAAATCAACTGAATAATCATTGCGGCCTTGCACTTAATGAGAACTCAAGCACACTTTACATAGCGGACACTAACAATCATCGCATAATGAGTTATGCATCAGGTGCAATAGCAGGCACAGTTGTCGCCGGTGGGAATGGAGCAGGGACGCTGAACAATCAGCTATATAACCCTATGGCAGTTTACTTTGATTCAGCATCCAACAGCTTAGTGATTGCTAACACGGGTGCCCACGCTATTGTTCGCTGGGTCATAGGTGCTGCTGGATGGACACTTGTTGCTGGATATCCGGGTTTTTCTGGCAGTTCACCAACAATGCTCAACAACCCCGCATGCGTGATCTTTGATTCACTGGGCAATATGTATGTAGCCGACACATCCAATCATCGCATACAGTTTTTTTCTGCTGGTCAACGAAATGGGACAACCATTGCAGGTGTAACAGGAGTGCCAGGTAACGCAGCTAACTTACTCAATAATCCACGTTCAATAGCACTTGACAATCAATTCAATCTTTATGTCGCAGACACGAGTAATAATCGGATACAAATATTTAGTTGACTATAAACCTTCAACTGATTCCTTACGTTTGAACATTAACATTCTTCATTTTTCTGTCTTTTGTTGTAGAATTTAATTTTTCTGCTTTCACTTCATAGTGACTCCCACTCAGCATATTGTAATCGTACGAACACTCAAACAATTATATCCTTGATTTGATGGTTATATTTCTGTAACAGTGAATGACGTCTAAATAATAACTCAATTTACCTAGAATACGTGTAGGAATACATCGGTAGAGGTGTAAGCTGAATAATCACCGTCGCTGCCAATGTTTTGAAAAAAAATGTCATGCGTCGTCCTCAAAAGTTGAAAAGAGTGAACATATAGTTTCACGTTTGCTTCTTTTTCGTTCTCTAGAGAATATCATAGTGTTGTTGTGGGTACGATTTGGTCTTATTGTGAGTGTAATTGATGGAGTAACAGTTCCGAACGACACCGACATGGCATATCAAGAAACATTTTCATTCTGTTTTCTTTATGTAGCTGTCATGACACTGCTTGTCGTTTTTTATTCAAGAAATTCATTCGTCAATTTTGTTGCATGTAGCTGTGAGAGAAATTCGAATTGGTTCGCCCAATAAGCTTTTTCTCTTTCATCATTTAGTTCAGAGATGCCAGATGGGTTGGGTCGTCACCGCTACCCACCGGGTTGGGTGACCCATGGGTCAACCCTAACCCAATCCAACGTAGTCCTCCGGCCATTTGAGAATTTTAAACCCTAACCCAATCGACCAACCCTCGGGTTAGCTTTGGGTTAACCCATGAATAACGTATATTGTAAAATCATTCACAAAAGGGATTTTTTTATGCAGATTTCTTTATAACACAACATAGGGTATGAATCGTCTTTTCCATATTTATAATTGATTTAATTGCATGGTCAAACGTAACAGACAAGAATCGGATTTTATCCTCTTATGATCTCTGCTTTATATCTCTTTCTTGTAATCATCTATTTTCTTCTTCCCTCCTCTGTTTCATGTCTCTTGTTGTCCTTCTGCTATAGAGGCAGATTTCACTATCTTCTTTACTAGATCTTTTTTTGCCTTCTATATTGTTCGATTGCTGTTGTTCAGAATACATCTCGAGCGATTTCTATCATAATTTTACATTAGTACACCATGCTGGTTGAGTTTCAGAGCTGGCCTGTCCCGGGGACTGTGACAACCCCCAATAATCGAAAGCTTGTGTTTTTTTCAGTGCAGCCGAAAATTTTTTCTTGTCTTCTGTTAGAAAAATTGGTACTCTTATTAGAAAAATCCTACACAAACCCCCAATGTTTGCTGCCTCGGGTCAGTCATGTTGAGCTATTAGTTTTTATTTTAGTTTTACATTGACTTAAAAGGACTAAAACTTTTGGAAGTCATCACTATATAGATATCGATTTCGGATCAGTACAATTTTGTTTAATGACACTACTTCTAAATAAAATTTTAGATTCGATTAATTTTATATTATATTACATACAAATGAATAATAATAACTCTTCAGTTTATTTTTATTGGTGAATTTATTCGCTCAAATGAAAATGATTTCGTTCACAAATGTAATAGAAATCTGTTGATAGCTATAGACCTCTATCAGCAGTGTACAATTTTTACACATAGCAGAGAATTGAAATAGGTTATAACCAGGGTTAACCCAATGGGTTACCCGGCGGGTTGGATTGAAGGGCTCAACCCAACCCAATGACCCATTCGCTTAAATAGAAATAAAAATTGGGTTGAAACTTACCGGTTTTCTCTATCAGCTACCGTAGGGTCAACCCTCGGGTTGAGAAAAGTGATTTTTTCGGCATCTCTGGTTGACATGCCAAGAATAAACTGAAGACTTTGAAAAAAGCTTTCAACGTCTTAGTGCAGGTGAGCGACTAGCCGTTGCCAACTTGAGAATCAATTCCACCGCAAGATGCCTATAGCCTATTCGTAATAAGATCTCACATAACCATACGATACATCTAACACTGTAAACACCATCGAATGGCACCCTGAAAAAAATTCCCCTACAAAGAATTCCTATCACGAAAATGCGACGATCTAAACTGCTCCTAATCGATTATAAACTTGCTTGAACTACAAACTTACAAAAAACTAACAACGCCATCGTGTTCCGCGATCCAGATATCTTCGGTGAAACCTATCTCTACAGTTTTTGCTTTAGTTTAGTTAAGTTTAAGCATCTGCTTTTCTATGGAATGAACGAACGCATTTAACTCGTTTTTCGTAATACCTTCCTTTCAGTAGAGGGAAAAAATTAATGAAGGTATAATCCTACTAAACTAATTTCTTTTCGTTTCTAGCCCTAGTGGTGTAATAATGATGTCAAATTACAATGCAATTATAATTTTTTTTCTTTTCAAATAAATTCAAAAAATAAATCACTTATAATTTTTATTCTTTGGATTGTTCACAAAAACTATTCGACGATATTACAATTAAATTAAAAACTAAAATAAAACTGAGACGAGATGAGAATGAGCGATTGAGTTAAGTCGAAAAAAATAAATATTATTCCGGGCGGAATATTAAAAGTTAAAATTTATTTTTAACACAAAAAAAAGCAGAGCCACTCATTGTTACTAGACGGCGAAATAGTGTAGAACTAGGGAGGCCTTTTCATGTACACTAGGTCACTGTCGTCGTATTTGTACGTCATACCTTGTGTACATTGTCCTACCAGTCTGGCGTGGTCCACTCTATGTGTACCCGTTTCATGGCCATGGGGGCTCTTCCTGGTCACACGTGCGACTATTAAATATTAATTAATAATCATTTAAGCTATTTTATTAAGCATATACTAGGGAAAATAAACATTTACAACTTCTTGCTCACTTCTGCTATAATATTCACTACGTTTTTAATGCTGGGATGTGTTGAAGGAAGTGACTTTTGTTTAATACTAAGTGCCTTTTCTAGATAGAAAAATGCTTTCGAGTATTCACCCATGTTGTCATATACTAGGCCGACGTTGTTGTAGGAAGTAGCCAAAGACGGATGATTCGGAGACAGAGATATTTCTTTTATTTTGAGTGATTTTTCGTAAAATTCAAGTGCCTTCGAATATTCACCAATGTTGTCATACACTAGACCAATGTTGTTGTAGGAAGTAGCCAAAGACGGATGATTCGGAGACAGTGATATTTCTTTTATTTTGAGTGATTTTTCGTAAAATTCAAGTGCCTTCGAATATTCACCAATGTTGTCATACACTAGACCGATGTTGTTGTAGGAAGTAGCCAAAGACGGATGATTCGGAGACAGAGATATTTCCGTTATTTTGAGTGATTTTTCGTAAAATTCAAATGCTTTCGAATACTCACCAATGTTGTCATACACTAAACCGATGTTGTTATAAGAAGTAGCCAAAGAGGGATGATTCGGAAACAGAGATATTTCTTTTTTTTTGAGTGATTTTTCGTAAAATTCAAGTGCTTTCAAATATTCGCCCATGTTTCTATACACTAGACCGATGTTGTTATAGGAAGTAGCCAAAGAGAGATGATTTGGAGGCAGAGCTTTTTTCGTTATTTCGAGGTCTTTCTCATAAAATTCAAGTGCTTTCGAGTATTCACCCATGCTGTTATACACACCACCGATGTTGTTGTAGGAAGTAGCCAATAAGGGATGATTCGCAGGCAGAGTTTTTTTCATTGTTTCGAGGCCTTTTTCGTAAAATTTAAGTGCTTCTGGATATTTCCCTTGATCGTCCTTCAACCATCCAAGTTGATGATAGATATGCACCTTATCATTATCATTAGAAGGATTCTTGAGTAATTCATTGTAGAGTTCTTCAGCTTGACCAAGATGACCCACTATGAGCATCAATTGACCCATTCGTTGCCATCCTCTACCGCTGATCTCCTCTTTGATGCGATTGGTTAGAGTAGAAAGTTGTGGATCATTGTCATCAGTAATAGTCAATTGTACTTCCCAAAGACGATGATTCCTGACTGTCTGTTTAATTTCAACGACACGAAAAACAGTGTGCATTGTAAATAGAATTTCTTGTTCTGATGGAACAGCACTGTGATGATGAATCATTGCAAATGGTGTGATGAAAGATGATATTCTACTTGGATCGATTTTCATAATAAAAATAACACCAACAACGTCTTCATTTTTTTGCAGGGTTCCATGAACGAAATTCGTGGTCACTTTTTGATCCATGCTAGTCGATAAAAAGTTATTGAACGATAGTAGACCACCTTGTGAATCTAGTAGATTCTGAAAGTCTTCTTTGTTCATTCCTTGACCACGATAAACGGTAAATGGTTTCTGGAAATTTGTTGCTTGTTCCTGATGCAATTGTTTTAGCTGAAGATGAAGACTTCGAATAAAAAAGCCTAACTTGGACATCGCTTCTATGTCAAGCGATCGTAATCCACGATTAAGCATACCATATAGAAACATGTCACATGTATACCACCATACTGGTGATTTCTGGTGGTATGTACGCTTTAGTTCATTTATTTCTGCGTCAGGAATATTTTGTTTTTGGCAATAAATTTCTAAAGCCTTAATAGATTTGGTGTCATCATCATCGATTTCTAATACGATGTCCTTGAAAATCACCGAGTACATATAGGTTGACGGTAACTGATTAAGATTTTGCTCGTTCAATGCTGCATCTGACGTGCATCGCTTTGGAATGAAACTCATTGGAATCGAATCGTGGTCGCATTCACGGGCGACCTTTTTGAGCGATTCACATATTGGTTTGATTGAGGTGAAAACACCTCGAATCTTTGGCCAATCTTTCGCCCATGGTTCATGGCGCTCTTTGTTGCCGCAAAAAATATAAATGGTATTCACTTTTGGCATGCTGTGAATGTCATGTACGAGGCTTTGTCCTAAAGCACCAGATGAAATGACGAAAGCTTTTCCTTCGTCCATTTCATTGAGGAACTCGATGCATCGTTCGGGTGTTGTGCACACATTCACTTCACTCACTGCTGCGCGCAATTGTGCCAGCGTATTCCCGGAATCTTCGGTGTTTTCATCGATGTTACCATCGACCCAAATGACCAGATAATCCTGAACCATCCGACGTCTTGGTTGCGTGGCATCTGATGTTGTTATTATACTTCGAACAGTTGATTTGGATTTTTGTCCACCCATGCCAAGTACGTGTTGTTGCTTAATACAAATGATGAATAGTAATGTGTTGTTGAGACACCAGCCTCGTTTAGATTTATATAGCCTACAGCTTGCTTTTTTATGGATATTTTTTACGACGTTAAATGTGAATATTTTATCTTTTCTCTGTTGATACTCAACAACACATGCATACCTTATTTCTATTGCAGATATGTTTATTAACTAGAAACAAAGAAGGGAATTCAAGTATTTCAGAAGTTTTATGGTTATTTTTTCCAACTTTCGTTTGCTGTTCATGTTTGCAAGCAATTGAATGTTGCTGTGTCAACAACTTCGTCTTCTTCAGTGTATGCTTATCTTTTGTTATCTTAAATCGGTCGATCTCTCTCTCTCTCTTTCTGTTAAGAACGAAGAAAAAGGAGCAAATAGCTCGTCAGTTTCGTTGCTTTTTATGTGTATAATTAGTTTCTGTTTAAATGAAGAAAGGCAACAGAATTAAATTTTGACTAAATCAAAGATAACTTTTATGTAGTAACTATACTTCTTATAATTAAGGAGTAATTAAACAGAAAAACTACAATCATCATTAGGCTTCAATTTTGATACAATGGGTTGGACATAACTCGTGTAGCGACTGAAGAAGCAATGAATTAACTAGTTGAAGTTCTTAAATGATGAAATATTAAACTGCCTATTATCGATTCAAAACAGAGTGGCACAATACAAAGAACATTTACATACATAGATATTTTAAATGCGAAAAGATTTTCACTCAACCATCACAGAAAGATGTATCCAGAAAGCATGCGTTGTATCGTCACTGTGATGATGAGAAATAGCTGCTGAATTTTATTTATGATCGTAATTTTTCCCATGATCTAACTAGTTTGAATTCGAACTATAATCGATAATAAATTGATAATTATCGCCTTTACTAATTCGATAGACTATTAATAGTTAGTTCTTGATTCAAGTATACTATACATTGATACGTTAATTTTTCTAGAAATATTCATGTATTGTTGATCGAGATTCATGCAATCGGAACGTTTTATGGACAAAACTAACAGTCCCAACATATATTATCATACTTATCATTGCTACACTGACTCTTTATTATCAAATGTATAAATAATAAATCTGAAAATGAAAAGAATCTTTTCGTTTAACCTCTTCGATTCATCAAAAAAATAATAATTCAATATATATCATGGGAATTAGAAGTTACTGAATTTCGATGTTCATATCCCCAGGTCGATGATTCCGTTCTCCGGATCCTGCAGGAAAAACAATAGGAAGTAGAAGCAGCATTCGATCCGAAAAAAACGTACCCTGAACCTTTAACTTCGTCCCAAATCCAGTCATAGGAAACTCTAAGGAACATATAAGGATCCTAGAGGGACAGGGAGGAGAAAATCAGGAATGCCAGCAGAAACCTTCACATCCAAAACGGAAAACCGAAGGATACTGATGGGACAAACCGGAAGCACAACGAAACCCACAATTCTGCATCCTGAAACAAATATGAAAGATCTACGAAGATCACTAGATATCTTTATTGTGACTACCTTAGTTATAGGGTATTTCTGTGATTAGAAGATCCAGATTGATAGAAAATCATATTCTAAGATCTTTGAAGGTGATTTGTTCTATTTACCTTAATTAGATGATATTCTGCTGATGGAGAGTATGGCACTGATTGCAAATGTTGCTCAAGGAAGATCTATAATAAATCCAAAGTCCTATGTCAATTCTTGTTTTCAATGATCATCGATTAATATTAAAAATGGGGTTGGAACTTTGAATGTTCACTCATGTGGATAGACTGGTGATCTTCAGGGTGTTCATGTATCGCTAGGTCAGTTTGAAGAGTCTCAAGCAATCTTGAAGGCACTTTACTAGTAGCTGCATGAACGAGTGAATGAACTTCTCAGTGTGGAACAAGCATATATATATATATATATAGGTGAAGGTCGGCTGCTATGCAGTCTGAAGACTGTTTTAGTATTTCAATACTTTTTTTGTGCGCTCTCGTTTTTGACATATCTAGGTCTGTTGGAGTCGGAGAGATGGCCTTTCTGCTACTGTGCCTACCTGTCACATTCCGTTCGTATCTGTGACAGGTGTGCTAGAAGACTTATAAAATGATAAGATTTGAGTATTTTATCAGTTTTTAGACTTTCCAGAGATGAACGTGTAATTTATTGCTTTTGATGATGTCGATTTGTTTCTGTATCAGATGTTTTTGAACTCTGGTAATTAAATTAATTTAAATCAGCTCAGTAGTGATTCCGTTTACCTAGTTACCGTGCATTGTCGCGTGCGATTATCTGAACTAAATAATATCTTCCAATTTGAAGACACAATTCAATAGTCTATCGTGGTCCCTATTCAACTATTGCTCTCAGTAGTGGATTGCGANAACTTCTCAGTGTGGAACAAGCATATATATATATATATATAGGTGAAGGTCGGCTGCTATGCAGTCTGAAGAGTGTTTTAGTATTTCAATACTTTTTTTGTGCGCTCTCGTTTTTGACATATCTAGGTCTGTTGGAGTCGGAGAGATGGCCTTTCTGCTACTGTGCCTACCTGTCACATTCCGCTCGTATCTGTGACAGGTGTGCTAGAAGACCTATAAAATGATAAGATTTGAGTATTTTATCGGTTTTTAGACTTTCCAGAGATGAACGTGTGATTTATTGCTTTTGATGGTGTCGATTTGTTTCTGTATCAGATGTTTTTGAACTCTGGTAATTAAATTAATTTAAATCAGCTCAGTAGTGATTCCGTTTACCTAGTTATCGTGCATTGTCGCGTGCGATTATCTGAACTAAATAATATCTTCCAATTTGAAGACACAATTCAATAGTCTATCGTGGTCCCTATTCAACTATTGCTCTCAGTAGTGGATTGCGAGTTGTGCAATCTCTTACGCGATATTTTGTATCCAGTCTGCTTGTTTTCACACTGCTGTTAATTTCGTACTCCTTAAAACTGCTTTAAGAATGACTATCATGCCCAATTTAGTCCCATGTTTTGAAGAGAGTCACAACCTTTATCAATGCTGGTATGGAGTTGTAACTTTTTCTTAATATTCCATACATTTGATCACTGAATATACAATTGTATTCTAGAGATTCTTTTGAGAGAGCGATCCAATGTGTCGATTGTAAGGTATTAAAGTCATGTAGTTATAAGGAAAACGTTCTCGAACAGATCCTGTCGTTTCCGGTTGCGGGATTAAACCGTCTGAAAAAAAATAAAAACGGTCAGATCTATGAGTTGCAACCGAATCTGAAATAGAAGGAACATAGTTAGGATCCTGCTCCCGTGAAAAGGCGTCGGAATCCTTCTCAGGAACCTTGCCGGAAAGGACAGCGGGATCCTGGCATTTCATCCGGTTACAGAAATTAGCAAAGAAGAAGCCATAACCGGTCCCGGAATACTGCTTCCATATTTTTGCCGGGATTTCACCGGAACCAACAGTTTCCAGTCGTACGGTTTGAACCTGGGTACCTAATTACAGAAGAAGTTTTGATCGATTGAGAAACAACACTATTAACAATCCCAGTTGAGTCGTGGAGTACTGACGAAGGACCGTAGATAACGTTAAGCTATCAACAAAATACAATTATGTTCGATGAGGGAGTCCCGTCAACTGAACTGAGTACTTTGTTTTCTTGCTGTGCGTAAATCAGCATCGCCTACATTGGATAGATTTTGTCCAAACCAAAGAAATCGTATTGCTTTTGTTGTTCATAAACTAATTTTGGCTAATTTACAAATTTGCTGCCAGCACCTGAAACATTGATATTGATGAAAGGGAGATGGGTTGAGATATTAAATGCGTAGATTCTAGTGGGACTGCATATCATCCACTACTTAATAAGCTATTAATCTTTATGAGTGCTCTAAATCTGGAGGTTGTGAGTTGAGACGAGAATGACATTCGTATCTTTACCCACATCCACATCTGTCGATGAGCTGGATTCGTATTAGTTATTTTATGCCAAAACCCAACAACGAATCGAACATATGTATTGTTCTGCATTGGGAAGAATCTATAATCTATATGAATACAATGATACAACAGTGTATATATTAAGTAAAGAATTTGCATTGTGAGACTACTCACACGAATACTGGCAAAAGTTCAATGCACATGCCGATCAAACTCATGAAGCAACACAATTTCAGCAAACCTTTACAGCATATTTGATAGCAAAATCACCCGATAACATGTGATACCATCCGATGTATCTAAGAAAAACAATGTCATACACTAGGATTAAGATTCACATAGATTTTCATGTAGAAAAAAAAGATTTTATTCTCCATTAAGAAACAATGATAAAATGTAGTCAATAGTAAATTTAAAAAAAAAGAATTAAATATTGCTTTCTTTATGGATATTTGCCATTTATTCAGGTAAATCGATATTGTAATAACTTGCTCCAGCTGATGAAGCACGATTAAAAAAATTTCTGATAGCTTGAAAAAACCCAGTTGATGAATCAGAATTTGATGGAGGCTTGTTAAAATCAAATACTTTATTTAATTCAAGTGTATTTCGAGTGAGTGCAGTCGATGAACGCCGTTGTCTGGATGTATCAACAACTTTTACAATAATATTCATTTGAAGACATTCAATTTTTTTGTCCATCGAATCCAACTCAAATTTAACATAATTAACTTGACCCTCATCGTTGAGACTTTTCTCCGAAATGAATCCATCAAGTTCTGCAAGACGTCTAAGACTTGTTTCTTTGAATTCGTCGAGAGCAATACGTAGTTCATTAACTAAAGCAATCACTTCTTCTTGTTTACGTTTTTCTATCCCATTGAATACGCGTTCGAGTTGAATCGAGGAAGATGTATCAAAATTTCGACGCCATTTAAGTACTTCACCAGAAGCTTTTTCTTCTATTGACTTAACTTCTAATCGAGATAATTTTAAACGTAATTTATTCGTTTCTTCAAGATAAGTTTTTGTAGCTTGACTTCGATCCATTGCTAGCGTTTTTGTTATTATTACTTTTTTCTTCTGTAACTATAATATACTAATGCCCATATTACACGGCAGAAGAGAGCGAAAAAAAACAGAAAGTGATCAAGCGTAACGAACCAAGAGTCGAAATGACGCAGTTATTTGACTACTACATAAATATTATTAAGTACAGCTACTGAATCAAAACAAGTTTTTTGATGTTGGAATACGTTTTATCGAAATACGCATACGCATGTCTAATTGATTGAGTAGGACATCTATGATGGCCAAATGTAAAAGGTGTATTTTCGAGAAATTTGGTAATCAACGGATTAACTCCAATAGCGTCTCAATTGAATGAACAGTTCTAATTTTAAGATATATGATGTTCCAATCATTGTCTTCTGGGATTAATTTGATTGTTCGTCGACATGCCTTATCGTATCATCATCGATATCTGGCTGATCATATATCTTCTAAATCATCATCAACAACAGACACAAATGAATGGCTTTGGGAATATTTACGACATCGTCAATCATATCAATCATTAAACGATGAACAAAAACGTCAAGTTATTTTATTAGAGTAAATTATGAAATATTTTTATTTATATCGCTCAACGAAATGGAATTATTTTTCTAGAATACAAACATTACGTGAAAGCGGAGAACGTGTACCTGATAGTATACCCGATGAATATTGGTCAGAATTAATATCGTCTCCTTTATTAAATAATCGTAAATCAACCTATAATTATCTATTCGTACGTGAAATAAGTAAACGAAAACGTGTAGCTGAAAAAGCTGCTCTCCAAGAACGACGTATGACATCAGCTACTCGCCATGCTGACTTAGCAGCTGCTGGTCTACCAGTAACGAACTATCCCGGTTATCACTCCATGTTTCGACAATTGACTGGCGGTCAAACAGATCGTTGGATACGTGATAATAAATTAATGGTTCAAGCGCGTCTTGGTGAGCATCTTCTTGTTGATTGCGGTTTTGAAGTTGAACATGCTCGTTCAAAATACGTATCGAAATTAGTTGATCAGATCGAATTCTTTTTTGCTAATATACAACGATACCATTCGCCATCGTTCGTAACATTATGTAATTTTGCAACTGATGGGCAAATTCAAAAAGAATTCGCTAGACGTCATAGTCAAAATCGTGCTGTATCCTGTTTTGAAACAACTGAAGCAAGCTATTTAGATTTAGTCGATCCACAAAAATTAATTTATTTATCACCTCATAGTCAATATGAAATGTCCGAGTATGATCATAATGCTGTATATATTATTGGTGCTATTGTAGACGGTAGTAAGTAAGACTCTTATGAACTTTCTTGTTTTTCTTTAAAATTGAATTTTCCTAGGTGTTGGTGGACGACCTTTGACACTGGCAAAAGCTAAAAGAGACAATATAAAACATCAAAGATTACCATTAGAACGATATTTGAAGTAGAATTTTTCATAAATATGAAAGAAGATTTTGATTGTTTTGTGATTTATATAGATTTGGTGGTAATGCTAGCCGAACATTATCATTGGATAAAATTTATTTTATTCTAATGGCTTTGAAGCATGGTCAATCTTGGTCTGAAGCATTTCAAGCTATTCCGTAAGACTCAAGTATAAGTCTTTTTTTCTTATTGAATAAGTTTCTTTTTTCAAAGGGATCGAAAAGTTGCGGAACGTTTTAATCAACCACGTTTAGGTAAAAATGAATCGGAACGTTGGGGGAAATACGCTGGTATTCGAAATCGAACCGACCAATGAATGATCGTTGTTGAAATATTTTTTTGTTAACGGTGTTTAATTATTATTTCTAAACATAAAAAAATAGAAATTGATGAGATGAATTCAAAGTTAAAACATTTCGATTCTCCTTTTGTTGATTACTTGAGTTTTCTCACGGATACCAGTGTGAGATCCACAGCCGACTATGGAGATGAATTTAAACTGTTTTTGTTGTTTTTATTTTATAACTTTGTCGTAAACATAAATGATTTAACAATAGTCACTGCATAGTAGTATGACACATAAGAAAAACCTATACAAGTTAAATTAGTTCGAAGGAATGATTTTAAATAATAATAGGAAAAGAAAAAGAAAAACTCTAATAAATCACTCTGCACAAAAACAAAAACAAAATTAAAACCCATTATAATTCTTGACGTTTAAGATAAAAATTTGGTTGACTATTTTTTTTATATTTATGTGTCGTAGGCAGAACTGTATTATTTGTTCGCGCTGTTGGATAGCTAAAATTTTTTCGCGCATTTAATCTTGCATCCTGTACATATTGTTCATTTAAAAGTCTTGTATTGTCAAGCGCTTTGACACGTAATTCATAAGCTTTATTCTCTCGATAAGATTGTCCGTTGAGGTCGGATGATACAGAACGTGCAATTGAACTTCGCACACTTTTGACTGATGATGCACTTGAATTATCATCATAACTTGAATGAGAACGTTCACAACGAAAATCTTGTTCATCAAAGCCAGAATCTCGATCAAGTCTCGATGGATCATTGATAGGATTTTTATCGAACAATTCAATTGATTGTGAACGTTGTGTAACAGTTGATGGTTTACGATGTGATTTCTTTAGTTGTTGCTCTTCTTTTTTCAAAGCTTCAATAACATTCGGTAATGTATTTGAACGTGAATATGAAAACGCTGATGGCGATTTTTTGTAATTCGATGCTTGTTTTTGCTTGTGAGCTAAATATAATGCTGTACAAATCGCACCTGGTTTTACGTTCGATAGAATTGGTTCCATGTCTGAAATAGTTGAACGCGGTGGTGATATTGATTCCTTCAGAGTTTCTATCACGCCATCACAACTTTCTAAACTATCTTCATCGATATGTGTGCGATCTTCATCGTGATTATTATTTTGCATAGCATCATCAATATCACTAATATCAAAATCGTGTTCACAATCATCTAATGTAGGCGTCATATAACCATCGACATTATCAATAAATGATTCTATAAAGCCTAATTTCGATTTTTTAACAGTTGATTTTATTCTTCGTTGATTTTCTTTATAATTATCGTTGATAATTTTTGATGGCGAATGTTGTTCATGAATCGATGAAGTTTTATACGGGCGATATTCGTTCAGGGATGTATTCGTTGGATTAGTTTCAATTGAAAATGTTGTTGAATACGATGAACAATCTTGGTCGATACTTGGTGACGATTGTTTATTAAACATTGACGAGGTTATTAGACGTCCTGTACCACGAGCACTTTTTACTTTTGGTGCTGGAGATGGTTGTTTAACATGATGATGAGGACATGCATGTGATTGATCAAGATTTTCTTCACTTTTATATGTTATCTGTCCAATATGATGACGTCCATGAGCATCACGAGTTATTAGAAGTTGAGCATTAGCTAAATTTGTATCATGACCAGATGGTTTCGTAAGTGGAAATTCTTCAGTTTTGATTGTTACTGATTTACCATGTGGAGTCACTTTTGAAAAACAAGATGATGTCGTATTGGTTGGTATAGCAAGAATCGGTATGTCTTTATGAAACTCATTAGGTTCTAATCGACGATGACCTTTTCACAGATATCAGTGTTTATATAGTAAATATTCACATGAGATTCAACTTACTGGTTGCGCGTCGACATGGATCATGTTTATTTAGATAGTTCTCAAGAGTATCCCAACCACCACCGACACGAACCATTACATGATATCGAAGAATCTATATAAACAAACAAAAAATATATGTTGATGTGTTATGATTACAATAAAACATGTGTACTCGTATGAAAATGATTGTTCCACTTTCTCCAATTCTATATTTTCCTTCACCAATACGTATTACAGGAAACCGTTGTGCACAACAGCATGAATTTGTCATTTGTACAACCTAAATAAATAAAAATCAACGCAAGCGACTAGATTTAGTTTCATATGAAACTTACTGTTTTATGTAATTGTGATGATGCTGTTGGTATTTCAGTTCGAACTTCACCTTCGCCTAAAGTTCGACTAATTTGTGGTATTATTTTCTGTTCTTTATTAGGTACGATTGTTGTTGTTGTTGTTGCATCGCTCCATGTTGTACTATCGTGACTATCGCCACTATTATACCGGTTTTTACTATGATGATGATGATATGAGAATTTCGGTATACGAGATATACGTTGTCTTAACCAATTGGCACCATTTGAATGTGATAAAGAAAAAGTATTGTAGGAATTTTTCACTGTGTCATCACTGCTATTATGACTACTATTTGAATCCTGAGCTTCACTACGGACGAATTTTAATAATCGACTATATTTTCCATGGCTTGTTGAATTTGAAATATTTTTAAGATTTTCTTCACGCTGTAAACGTCTTAACTCAGTGAATGACATGATTTCAGTTTGTTTGTCGCGTTGAATTTCTCGTTCGATTTCATCTTCTAGTTTTATAATAGCGGGAACGCTAACACCAAACTGTGAACCATAACGAGCAATTTCAAGTAAGCATAAAAGAAAATTTTTTTCATTTTTTCGTAATATTAAATCATCGGATTCAAACATCAGAACTTCACGTACGCCAACAACTCGACGTGACCATTTAATAAACTGTGAAACATTATCACGAGCATTGAATGTTTGTGGACGAGCATCAGGACGATATTTACAGTTTTCTAATGTTGACGTTGATAATGGCCGCGGGGCTAATTTTAATGAATAAGCTTTACGCGCAGCATCATTTACATTGTTAGCATGCTGACAAAGAAGAACGCCATTTTCTAAAAGAAAATTTTTCATATAATCCAAAAAGCTTAACTAAATTGTTTTCAAACGAAGGCCAAGACAGTCCACTCTCGACGTCGAGACAATGGAGTAATTCCTAAATGGTAGACAACATGACTTTTTAATGCTCGGTCAATTCTATATATCTTACTTATCTAAGACTAATCTAGTTAGTTGAAATGGCTTCCGGTTATAATCATTGAACTATCTGTCTGTCTATCGATGTTTTTACACTCGCATCGTTTATTCTTGTTCGAACTTTCTAACAAGCACACAAAACAACTGACTGTCAAAGTCAATAGAAACTCAATATAGCAATTAATACGAGTATATTGATATGATATATTGGGTTTTTTTTGTAAAATATGTCGTTTTTTTCTCAATAAAACGTTTTCAATTTATCATGTATATTGAAAGCAAATACAAGAAATGAATATATTTTAAAACAAGTAATTATTTTGATTTCTAAATCAATTAGATTGCATAACGAAAGAGATAATCAAAAAATATTTTGACATTCTTACCTAAACATTCAAGAAAACTATCAGCCGTAATAGGACGCCACTCGGGATACATATTTGAAAGCCAATCTGCAAGATCTTCTTTCATTGCATATAGATATTCGTCTGTAGTTGAATATGGTTGAAGAGATTTCATTTCAAGAAAACGAGACTGTGGATCAATTACTAGTTGTTCGACAGCCGTAGCCATCCTTTGAAAATATTTTACTAAAAGAAAAAAAAAGAAAGAAAATTTATGTTATATACTAAGCCATCTATTTACTTACAACCCATAGACTTTTTCCCCTTTTATTCTGATTCTACTACTTCCGCATCATTATGACGAGATAGAACAAGTAACTGTACTGCTCATTGTTTTTTTTGTTCCACTTCAAGTTTCAGGCTTCATTGCTGGTGAGAATGCATGAATGAATGGCTTTTATATTTTTCTTTTTATAGAATACATAGCGCTCTTTCGGTCATTGTCTTTCGTTCTCGCTTCTCCCTTTCTCTTATGTTCGGTCGCGTCCTGTTCTCTCTCTCTCTCTCTTTCCCATCGCTTTAAATTTATTTTAGTTTGTTTCATATGAATGAACTATCAGCATTGCCTATGCATATATCTACCACGATCTCACATTAAAATAAAGGGTAGATTAGAGTATTTATCGTTTGCCATCTCCATTCATTAGATGGACAGGAGGCGTCTGAATAACTATGTTCATTTGTGTGAGTGTGTGTAATTTAAACCTACAGGACAAATTAGTGTGAACAAAGAAGGAAGAAGTAGAAAGAAAGTAATACAATGATGTAGTACACAACACACAATTCACTATATAATTACAAGGCAATCAAGATGACAGACCGATGATGCAAGAGTAACAATATATATATATATATATATATATTATATATATTGATAGAAAATTAAAGAACAAAAGTGGACACCACAATCTAACACCTACACTCTCACACATTCTATTCAAATCGATGAGTTGCAATGTATGCATCATTTATAATGACGTCTCAATACATACTATAGTCTAGTTGTGCATTTAATTTCGATTTGTGCCAATATTCAGCAATTAAGGCCATAAAACTGATCATCGTGACGATGTGAGTTAGGTATTCACACTTCAATGTTGAATCAATATAATGATGACCAGCATACAAATGTATGATTATACACTAGTGATGATCTTTTCTCTCATGCTGTTACAAATCATAAACTCTTTTTTTTTGCTCTCTTTTACAAGATATACAAGTCGATGAAGATCAAACAATGTAAGATAGAGAGAAAAAAGACTACAAAACAAAATGCCAAAATTAATGGGACACATATGTTCAGCCTGTACGTAGACTAAAGGACGTAGACGACGGATATTTATCTAGGAGATGCCATAGATGATTTAATTTAAAGACTTTGCTATGGTATCTTACCAGTAACTCGATTGGAATTTTTCAATATTGTTATTACTAATTTGCTCTTTTCTTTCAACACACAGCAATCATTTGTGTCATCCATCGACTCTCCTCAAAAGTTATAACAATAAAATATGTCTACTCACATATGTTCTTTGGTCGCTCCCTTTGTCTTATTTTGAAAAAGCATCGAAATAATGACAATCCTATATTCTTATTTTCGTTATCAATACCAAGGTTTCGCCTTCTACATGGGCAATCATAGTCTATAGATGAATATGTTTTTGCTTATTCATCCAGTCATTCTTGTCAGCAGGGCGGCTAAAGGTTGAGATCAAACTTCTGTGCATGTACATCATTCATGAAATATAATTTTTCTTCTTGCATCAATAACTCTAATGAAAATAAGCTGGTTATGTATTACCTGCTATATGACCTGAAAAGACAACGGCACACAATGATAATGTGTTTTATATCAACTACCTGTTATATTGCAAATGTTTCTTCTTTTTATTCTCTTTTATCTCTCGACTTGCTTATTCTTACCTGTAACTTTCTTTTGATAAGACGAATAATCATTGAGTAAACGTATTGATACAATCGGAAAATAAAATAAATAATCTAAAATGTTTCTCCTTGAGTATGTTGTTTGGCTTCCGCGTTTTTCTTTTCGTTTTTCACTTATTCATTTTACAAAAACATATTAAAACCGATAATGACAAGACATTCGAGAGAATAGACATGTGTGCGTAATATTTGCTCGTCGGTACGAAGCAGAAAAAGTCGCTGAATATATAGAACATTTTACAAACGAAAAAAAAAGAGCGATTCTATGATGTAACCCACCTGTTTATTTGGTAATGCACAATGGTCGTGTCTGATGGCACCAAAAAAAATCAAGGACAATACAAACGATATCGTTTAATATTTCGCATATTGTTAGATCGAGATGAGAAATAAATGAAGGCGGTTATGTCTATAGAGAAACTTGATGCATTTAATACAATCAATTTTCTTTTCATCATACTCCGCAAAAAAGTGTTCATTACTAAATCATGATCAGATCGAACAAAGGTTAATGTGTCTGGATTAATACTGTATATACATATATCGATAACAGTAACCAGTTTGATTTATATTCTAACACTTGCTTGTTTTATATTTTCTTGCTTTGATCGTATCGTTTTTTCTTTCTTTTTATTTTCCTACACTCTCCTATTAACTATTTGTTCATGTCGGTAAAATTGTGACCTTCTTGCCTAAAGAACATCTGACGTATTCTAAACACAATACAGTACATAACGTAAGACAATAGTTTATTCGGGCTTATAATATTCATATTAGAAAGACGTTGTCCTTGAAGATGAAGGTTATTTTTTTCTCTCAATGACTTCATTTTGACATACCGTAAAGCAATTGACAAATAAAAATAACCGAGCCCAATGAAACCCATTCCACCAACATAGAGATGCATTTTTTCACGACAGGACTAAAAAGAACAAGCTCAATATATACAAAACGTGCATATTAAGGATTCCATTTATTAAATATCTAAGCTCTTTATTAAATAAGGAAGACACTGGATGATATATATGTACATGTTCTCATATTTTGCCTCCGTCTTTTTTTCGCTTACTATTTATTGGCATGGGTTAAGTTCAACTGTGTTTTAACTTTACAACAAAAAAAGATGACATACATATTTCAAAATCCCTGAAGGGATTAGTCGTTCTCATTTTTTTTTCTCATTTAGAAATGACCAATGGGAAATAATAATGAAATCAACGATAAGATTTTAATCATTTTTGGTTTATATTATTTATATTACGATGAAAAAATAGTATTTAACTGAGTGATATAAATAATTTATGTGACACTGACGTACATGTGCTCATGTACAATCAGTAAAATGTCATACGATGCATGACTCAGAATAAAATAAAACAGTCAAGCTAACTATTTATTATGACGGAATTGAAATTATTTGGAAAGAAAAGGTCATTGTTAAAGTTATCATTAAAATTGATGTATGATGATCATTTATTTGCACTTGAATCTTATACATATACATATACAGCAGCATGAATCTTTATAACAACAACTTCATCGTATTTAATGATTTTATTTTGCTACGAGTTTTAGTAGATTTTTTCTAAGCATCACATGTCTCAAGTGTTGAGCTTATCAATACTGTGTGAATAAAATAAAATGTGTATGTTCTTTATTAACTAATCTACGAGATTAGTCTTACTTTGTTTTTGAAAATAATGTATTTAACAGACATTTTACATCTATAGATCTCAATAGAGATTAAGTATGTGTGTTGATACTAAATTGAATCCGTGTATAATTCATCATATTTTTGTGAACGGTATTCATCAATAATATTTACAGGTGGTATTATTATTAATAGTAAAAAACATTTCTATGGTAACAAAAAAAAAGAATCTATTTAAAGCAATTTATGATAGAAGAAAAACATCGATGAATTCAATTTTCGATTGAGACCCCATTCATACATTTATTTTTTATACAATCGTCTATTTTGAAAAAAATCAAAGGTCTTTACGTTTAATGCGCGCAGAAAAAAAATAATCTTTTTAGACTAATGCATGTAGTATAGCGACGACAACAATAAGTGAAAAAGAAAAACGAAAACGAAATAAAACAAATAATATATATATATATATGTATATGTATATGTAAAGACTACATTTTTCATAAAAATGACAACACATGGAAAACCAAGATGAAATCAAAACATTGTATTTAAACAGTTGCTGCTTCACTTATATGAATACCAGCCATTTGTGGTGTATAGATTTGTATATTAGATGGACGTTGTCCAGTTACACGATGCCATGGATGCGACTAAAAAAAGCAAATTTCGATTAAATTACTATTAAAATAATCTATAGCCAAATTTCGATTACATACAATATGAGAGGGTTGAGATTTTTCACGAAGTTGTTGTCGATAAGCTAGAATTAAATTAAAAAAAAATTTGTTAGTGAAATTCCTTCGGGAGTAATTTAACCGTTTCATTATACAATAGGCAATAAAGTCAACTACGATCTACGATCATACGTTGAATACACCTGTAACGGTGCGATTTTGTACTCTATATACCTCAACACTTCTGCTAGATTGTGTTTCATAATAGAAAATAAATAGAAAAATGGATTACTTTCTTGATCATCACTGTCATATGGCACACGATTATGATTATGAGAAAAAGCTGTATCCGCTGATGACATACTATCCTATAAAATAAAAAAATGATGTCTAAATATTATCTATTTTATTTGATTGAATATTTATTTTTACCAATCCTTCATCAGACTCATCTCCAAAATAGGTATGTATTGGACGTAGAGGATAATGTCTCGTTGAACGTTGGTCCGATGTTGGTATATCACCACTACTATCTAAACTTTCATTACTACGACCTGTCGCCATACGTCTAAATATGTAACATTTATTTTATGTCAATCATTCATTAGTCGAGAAAATTTTTCTCACCGATTCGCTATATCATTATCATGTGATAAATCTTGACTAGAACAAAAAAAATAAATGTCAAAAAGAAAATTGTACTAATGACTTTATTTAGTTTTTGTATGTACTCAGGTAATGAAATTGTTATAGATGAACGTGGATTGCTATCACCATTGGTAGATTTCCCCGATCGCATAAATTTTTTTCCATTTTTTCGACGTTCCTTTAGGAAAAAGAAGAAAAAATTCCCGTTTCAAAATAGATTCAAATATCTTTCATACTTTATCAGTCATCGGCTGATCGGATTTTCTCGATGGTTGAGGACCATCTGGTGTACTATTACTTCTTGTAAAAATTTTTTTCATATTTGAAAAATAACGTTTCTTAGTTGAATTTGATAACAGAGACAAACGACGATGACTAGCACGTTTTTGTTCATCACATAATAAATCATAAGATTTTTCTGTTAAATTTTCACATAATGTTTTTAAATATGAACAACGTGTACGTTCTTGTAACAATGCAAATGTTCGGCAACGATAGGCTGCATATTCACCATTGATTAATTTTGTTAATATAAATTGTTTCAATTGTTCAGCTGTACGAACATAGACAACATTTCGTTGAAGCATGGGAGGAAACGCTTCAATGTCATCGCGAGTAACTATTATCATCTAAATGAATAGAAAACCTCGATGTTGTTTAGGTGAAACTATATATTATAGGTCTCGAATGATTTTGGTTTGTGAAATTATGTTCAAAACAAAAATCATATGAACATCGTGAACTTTCATTTCTGAATATCATGACTCAAACAACTACAAGGATTTAGATAGAATGTCGATGTTGTATCCTTAAAGTTCATATGTACACATTTGATTGAAAGCATGTAAATCCCCTAGTTTGGCTTTGGATTGGCCTGAAAAAGGTCTAAGTATGGGTGAAGGTAAATAAAAGCGTAATCTACTAAATACCTTCATATAAATTGTTTCGTACATTTTATCAAATTACCCTTGGCCATAAGCATTCACTCGCGAAAACAATGTAGGCCACAATTATTGAGCACTATCAGATGTTTAGCTGTTAAAAGATCATATTCACACTTGCTGTTTCATTCTCCGGTCAAACTTAATCATATACGACATTTCACCTAAACTAACTAATGCACTGTACCTGCCACACTCTTGACAAAACAGGATGTCCCCCAAGTATTGTGATCACGAGAGGGGATCAGTGCCTCGCCTTTGTACTATAAACCATAACCGAAAAAAAATGTAATTTCTTCTCTTTTATTTTCTTAAACGTTTCTCTAGTGAATACTTGTTTTCATAATAAATGCATTTGTTCGATTAGAATACAAGAAAAAAGGAAAAAGGAAATCTTACTTTATAACAAGTTCTTGAAAGCACTTGAACAGGTTGCACAACAAGAAACACGTGTAAAAAGTTTGATTTTATCATACTTGGATGAAATGGCGTATTTTCTTCTTGAAAAACAATTGTAACAATATCATTTCCTATGTGACGTTTACGTTGAATTTGTGACGAATCTGAATGTGTGAACGGTAATAATGTGCTAACATGAAACATGATTTCCTTTTGATCGTATAACTCATAGTAAGATATCGGACAATCTGTTTGTTCACTAACATCAAGACCAGCTCGATAACTACACAATATCGAAAACAACTTTTTTTTTCTAATAAAATAAATTTCTAGAAAATGGTAACATACCCTTTAAAATTTTTTAGTGAAACTCTTGTTGCAATAATATCTAAAAATTCATCTAATGCTCTTCCATGACGTTCATTATTAAAAAATTCTTCTTCTGTTGTCTAAAATTCAACCTCCGAAAATGTTGTTTTCTTTTTACAAACAAAACCTTACTTGTCCACGTCTTTGATAAATAACACCGAATTTAAATTTATGCGTTTCTAATCTCTCATCATATGTTTTTATGAGTTGTTGTGCCTAAAATAGTTCCGAATTTTTAAACGCAAAAACCTTTTTGTTTTTCAAATTACTTTTAAATTAGTACAATTTTCGAAATTCTCAACTTGTAAATTCGGATACAGTTGTTTGGCTAAATAAGCATAATCAGTTGCATTGGATTCATTTTCAATTAAATCTAAACATTTTGAACTTTCTTTTGTACGAACAATTACTGTTAAACGACTATTATGTGGCTTTATTGACATCACAACTGGATTGAAATTATCATCAATTGCAAATAAATTATAATGATACTAAACATAAAACAAATAGAATTTTTTTTCTTATCAAATAAAGAATCAAAGATTGTTTTTAAAAACTTTACTTGATCATAAAAATAATTCGAATAAATTAAAGCAACATTATCCGATGTAATTCGACATTCAACTGGAGCTATTTTAGTCTGTATTATCCATTGCGATGGTTCATCATATCCACCTTCCATACGATAAGGATCCTTGTAGTGCAACATTTCGTTTGATGGAAAACGATAAACCATCGGAAGTATACTAGTAGGTGATGATGTCAACATCTAATAAATACAGAAACAAAAATATATATATATTTATCGATAAGAATCTCTTGAGATTTGGCGAGTGTTAGTGTTGTTTTCTTCATTTCCATTCCAGCAAAAGGTAGGATGACAAATGAAAAAAATAGAACTCAAAGCAATCATCGTTCTTACTTGTTTTATATGGTATTGAATTGCTTGTTCAATTTGTTCATTGTTTCTACCTGGTGAATCGTTTGTTTCGTAGTCAGGAACTGAATAGGATGAGCGGGCTGAGAATCTTGAATCGTATAATTCCTATGATCGAGCAAAAGCAAAAAAAGGATTTAGCAAAAATCGCAAGATTAAAACATCAAAGAAATTCGAGTCCGATCGATGATAGACACCTTTTTTTCCGTTCTTTGTCAAATAGAAACATTTTCACAACACAGGATGATCATTCCGATCGCGTATTATCGCATCGATTCTTACCGTAATCCATGAGGCCATTTAGTTGCTTGCAAGCAATCATCTTCTCTCCTACTGTTCTCATCGCTTTTTGCGAACTTACGAAAAGCGGCAATGTTACGTTGCGATTCTCCTCGATGTGCAAACATATGTCAATATAATACGTCGGAAATCCGACATATAATCATAATTTCGTTGTTCTCCATGGTTGGGTAAAACTTTTTCAATATCGATTATTTTCGAATTAAAAATCGAATGCTTGCTGTGTTTAGAATCTCTATTGAATAGTGAAGTCAAAACTAATTTTCATGTAGGTTCGCCGATCGCACTGTGATTTTCGACTACTCGTGTTGGTGAGTCTCGGTGGACCGAAAATTGCTTCTGATTATTTTATTCAATACAAGTTTCTCTGATGGTTGTAAATATTGTATTTGTTTCTTCTCGAAATCTTTGAATACATACCCCTACTCACAATGTAACTTTCAGATAAAGAAAAAAAAAGAATCAAATATTGAAATTTGATACTTTTTCAGACTATCAATTTTTATAGGCTTTCCTAATCTTAGTTTCACTGCCACCATATGATTATTTAAAGTAATCCGATGAGCTTTATCCATCGCATCTATGAAAAAACATTTTTTTCATTTTTGTTTAATTTCAAAATGTCAATACTTGAGAAAAATAAAGTATCTGCATGAGTACGTATTTATCAAGACAAAGAAAACGTATAGTTTTTACATTGTAAATGTGATGTTAATTAGAAATTCGATCAATGACAATCAACTTCTTTATTTTAATATATGTTGATTGTTCACATCAACCTATATCGAATGTCCTACAATAAATACTTAACCTTTCTATTGATCAACATATGGTGCTCTTACATATTTCAAATGATCTACTAGTTACAAAATCATTTTATATTGACTCGAAACAAAAGATAAAACATACGTTAATTTTTGGTTCTGAAATCAATCGCAGAACTAACTAAAGAAACAGTCCGGGTGTGAAAAGTGAAAAAAATTAAATAAAATATCGAACGTAAGCGTATCATTCAATCTATGATCATCAAAAGACTTTAGTCATGGTCACGACATTCAAAAAATCAATTAACCGTAGCTGTGAAATTATACGGTCACATCAAATAGTTAATCAATGTTAGGCATTGACCCCTTAATCCAGCTGATGCACCTTTTCTCATTGTTCTATTACCTTTCTAGTTGATAACGAATTTTGACTACCCAACATTGCACCACTATTCACCAGAACGTTTATTGAAGTAGATCGTGAGGGTTTATCAAGATTAATTCGCTGTCGATTCATTTGATAAGATGTTGGATAGTTAATATCAGGTGATGATTTATCAATTGATGGCAATAGAAAATTATTCCGGCGTAATTCAAATGAATAGCTTCTTGCCAATTGTTGCTCTTTACTATATTCGTCTTGGCTTCCTATATACCTAAAGATAAACAGGCATTAGGAGGGAAGAAAAGGAAACATCAAGTATGATATGATTATATCTTAAGGAAAGGAACAGAAGAAGAAGAAAAAAAAACGAGACCATGGAGAAAAAAGATGCCAGTCGGTGGAGTTGATATGTAAATCTTTGAAAATATTGACATAATCGATATATGATAATAAAACAAAAATCCTAAATCAATCTCGCATTCTCCTTCAATTAAGATAAGGGTTGATTGTGAACAGATGGGAAGAATTTAAACATACTTTGAATATGATGGAAGATTGAGTGACATGTTCGAACTAGAATAAGCGAATTCTATTAAATCAAAAATAAAAATCTCAGTTAACATACATTGTTGCAATGCCATAGGATCTTTGTTCTTCTTGATGAAAACGATCGCCATACACTGAAAAGTATCGATCATGGCTAAAGAAATTTTTCAAAAAAAACAAAAATCTTTTTTTCTTTTCTTTACTTCTGAAGAATTCACCTACTTTTGTTTATTATAATTCGATGGATTATTTATACTTGATATCGAGTGAGACCGTTCAAGATATGGACTATCATTTATTGACTTAAGGCGAGTAAGTTTTGATGCTATTGATGATGCTGGTAGACCATTAATTGATTTGACAGCTGGTGTGGATGGTAATTCATGTTCATCGTCATCGTCATTCCATCCATTAAATATATCGTAAATTTTCGCACACCAAGTCATTTGAAAAAAAAGAAAAGAATACTAGAAAGAGAAAAAGACATTCAATTAGAGTTGTATTCACAACACAAGGTCAATTCTTTTTTTTCCTTTCTGTTGATTAAAAAAGAAAGAAATTGACGAAATGTCTATTGAAACTGAAGGACACAATATATACGTTATCGCGATGTGGATGAATGATCAATTTTCTTGTCGTATTCTCTTCATCGAGAGGGAAATTCAAGTTAAACTGCTGATGTTGTTCGGACGAGAGTAAGCACGTACAGACAGATAGACAAGAAGAAGAAAAATCGTATTAACTTTCTCGTTCGTTTCGTTCGGCCATTAGAATAGTGCACGAGTGTAGGCGCAAACACATACAATCTTCTCCATTCTCTTGTTCCCTGTACAAAACATAACAACATTCCTTTTTTTTCCTCCATGATATTTACCCGACTGTGTGTGCGTACGTATTTGTGTTCAATACAAACACATTTCGCGTGTATGAAGATATATTAAATGAATGGTATACAAGTTGAAAAAGATCAAATTGACAATAGAAAGGAAGAGAGAGAGAGAGAGAGAGAGAGAGAGAGAAGAAGGTCATCAAACACTTCTATTAGAATGACATCAAAAATCGAAAAGTTTTTAATGAAGAAAGAGTAAGATTGTGATATATATACTTTCGTTCGATTGATCATACGAAAATTGATACGATGTCGACAGTTATATTCGAAAAGAAAATTTATAACCTTTCGAAAATTTAAGAACAAATTTCATATGCATCGTTTTTTCTATTTATATCCGATCCTTTTTTTTCTTTTGTCGGACACAATAATCATTCGATATTATATTCACGTAAGATTGAACATTGTTCAAATGGAAATTCAATCTTAAAATTCAGGCACTTATACATACCGCACAATATGCGCATGCATGAATAACGTTGTATACATGTATCAAGTGGCTCATGTGAAAAACGAACATTTGCATTAGTAATTTCTTACTATTAATCATAAAACAGCACAGAGGAAAATAATCATTCATGAATGTGTTTTATTCTTGATCCAGTTGTTCAAAAGAAACAATTGTTCTCTTTTGTCTCTTTTGATATTAGAGTGTTGATGAATGACGACGACTGACAATCCTCGTGAGCATACCTTCATAGTTACAGTTCTTTCGAATTTTCTGTTCCCTTTGTTATTTAGAAGATTATACAATACTGTTCGTTCATTCAACATACCAAGAGACTAGAGTAGTGAACAGGAAAACAATAAATATACACAAACCTATATATGATTACTATTGATTTCTCAATGGAACAAAGGAAATCCTGTCATAGGAGCTCAGGCAACCAATATAAACTTCCTCTATTGATTTAATTTGACCAAAATTTACTAATAAGTCTGCTCATAAGCACTTTGAAATCAGTAATGTACATACCTTTCTATTGAGACAAAAAATAGTTGATCAATCAAAGAGTAAAAGAATATTAATTCAACGAGTAGTTTTATTCCTCGGTAGTCAAGTATGGTCTATGCCTTTTTTCTTTTCTTCTCACCTAGATTTTCTTGATAGATAGACAGACATACATATATGCAATCAGTTGGCTGTGCATGATAATTAGCCTGTCGAACATGGTCACTTCTCTTCCTATCTTAATGATGAAAGCAAGAGTGAATAAAAACAAAAGATTACATCGTTAGACGGAACACCATTTACTTTCATAGTGCGCATACTCGGTAGAAGTAAAAAACAAATCGAAGCGGACTAATCGTTTCTAATAAGAATTGAGAAACGTAGCAATGCCCAAACCGATAAAAACGAACATGCCAAAATAACAGTAATACTGTGGATCATAGAAACCGCTTACTATTTTGTTTTTCGAATACAAAACATGGAATCAATTCAATTGGAGATCAATAACATGTAAATATATATGTATTTATTAATTCCTTTTTCTAAGCATCCACCAAAAAGAAAACGCAACAGAAACAACAAATAATGAATGCATAACTAACTTTTTAAAATACGAACAAAAAAAAGACGCAAAATACATCATATTCTCTAATCTTTCCTTTTTTCCCATTTATCCGTTATCCAAATAATAAATAAATTCTCTCTGTCTCTCCGTTAACGTGTGCTTATCAGAATTTTAAATAAATATACGAGAACTAATGAATAAAATATATATGATTAAACGAGAAGGAAAAAGTAAAATCGACAAGGACAACAACAACAACAACAACAACAAAAAGAAGACAATGGTCGTTTTTCGATTATGCTTAAACACGTTGAATTTCAAATAATTTAACATCCGTATCATACCAAATTGGTGGATCAACATTCCTAAACGAGTAATTAAAAATTAATATTAATGGTTATAATGATTTGGTTATTTACCTGAGATAAATAACGCCCCACATGTATGTTCGAAACCACATTACTGTACCAGAATTCGGTTGATATTTTCGAATTAAAATTGGATGAGGTACTGGTAATAGACCCACTAGCGTTCCATGTTGTAAAAATTTAATTATTTCACTTTCATCAGTTAAACCACGATCCATGCAGATTTTTTCAACTTGTGGCACCAAAACTTGTAGAAGACGCATGATGGTTTGTAATGGTAATTTTCCTTTCCATGATTGTACCCATTCAGATGTTGGTGACCAGAGACTATTATCTGTTTGGTGAAAGTGCATTGGCGATGCTGTAGTTGGCGATGAAGGCGAAGCAGACTAAACGTATCGAGAATGATAAAATAAGAAAGTCTAATCGTCTAATTATTTCAATAAAAGTACGTACAGGACTCGGTGGTGCAGATCCGTCATTATTCGTACCAGAACGTTGACGTTGGTTGCTTTCCATATTCGGTGAAGCAGCTAATGTACGTTCAGTCATTTTATGAATAGCTGTAAGAAATGAAAGATAGTGTTTTTAAAATACAGAATTTTTAGGTTTGTCTTCGAATTTATCAATTTTTATTTACATGGTGTTTCAGCAAGCGTTGTCGTCATAGCACTAGTCATAAGTCCAGCTGAATTTAAACTGAGTTGTTGCGCGAAATCTTTATTTAATTGTGGTTCACCATCACCGACTGATTTTAATGGTGTTTGAAAAATAGTTTGTTTACTTTCCGAACTATCGACATTCTTTTTTGATGAGGCTGACGGCGCATTGGAATTTTTCGTACTTAATTTTGCTATTGTTGGACTATCGGTTGCTAAATTACTCAATGCAAAGAAAACTTGGCGTTTACGAATTATTGTGTAAACAAGATTTGCATTGCCTAGAATCAATTAAACGAATATTTATTAAAGGAAAAAAACCGAAATTGTATTACCATCGAATTGGTATTGAATAAGATTATTGAAAGCTTCGAGAAGGAAGAAGACAAGATGATGATTGTCCGGCGCTGCTAGTAAAAACCATGGTGAACTGAATGCCTAGATAAATACATAATCGAAAAATGAATTACATATCATCATTTCTTTTTGTTTCAAAATTTGATTCTGTACCTCAAGTAAATGAAGTAATTTATTGCTTGATACCATAGACAACGTTTTAAGATAAGGTGAAATATTGACTATTATTGTTAATAAACAATCATATAATGGTTGCAAACGTTGATGTGCGGAAACAATTATTTTATGAAAGACCTAAACATGAAGAAAACAATCGAGTTCTATCTGTTGTCAACAAAAATGAAAGTTTTCGGTTTTTACAATGATTAATAAGTCTGCATGCGTTCCTGTAAACACAGGTATATCCATTGGTATTCGTGTTACATAGGGCTTATTTAAACGAACACCAAAATTTCTTTCGCCACTCAATAGAAGTAAAATAAATACACCAATATGCATTAAACCAATTTTGGCTATAAAAAGAAAAGGATATTATTTTATTATTATAAATAATGATACCAAAAATTACCGGCGCAATTACAACTAAGAAATTCTGAATCTAGGAAAGCCTTTTTTTTACGAAATGAATTCATCCTGGAAATTTGTTTTTAAATTTTCAATGAAAATTGCTTTTTAAATTCTTATTTTTGTAGTGCATATATAGACTTACCTGTATCCGAACGAGCATCATTAAGAAAATAAAGTATTGGTACGAGTAAATCAAGTACTTCACTGGATTTTAGAACATAGTATAAAAATTTCTATAGAATAAAAAGAAAAGATTATTAAATACTAAACGTGCTTCTACAACCTTATTTCGATCGCAAAATTTCCAAAATAAAATAAGTAGTTCTTGATAGAAACCAATCTTTTTACATGAACCAGGTAGATATGTTTGAATAAGAGGATTATTTAATAAACGACAGAAGCCTCGCAATAAAATATTGAAATCCTTAAAAGTAAAGCAAAAAAATCAAGATATTTTTGTGTTTTTGTTTTTCTTATTGATTATCTTACATCATCACGATGAATACGTGATAAATAATTAATGAATAAATTTGGGCAATCATCTCCTGGTAACGATAGAAACGTTTTACTTGTTGGTGATGATGGTTGATCATTCGATAAAAATGAACTATTATCTAATGTAATGCATAACAATTGAGCAGCTACTTCGACTAGAGGTTCACGCGTGTCAGTAAATAATAGATAATTATACGGCAAATAACCAACTGGATCATAGGAAAATACTACATTTATTAATGATGTAAATAGAGGTAGAGTTTGTCTAAATGAGAAGAAAAAAATCAATGAATATTTTCAATGAAGTAGATGTATTTACCGATTTTGACCAGATGTAAAATAAGTTAACCATTTATTCGCATGGGAATGTTGTTCGACTGAAAAAATATTAAAAATAAACAATGGTGATACATTGAGTGTCAGTAGACATATACATGTCAAGGTCTTTGTATTACGCATCGCTAAGCATATCTGCATAGAGAAGAATTCTATCGCAAGTATTTTGATGAAAAGATTAAATCAGGACGAACGGAAATTTCTTATGGTGATGCGGAAATCCAGTTAATTAATGATTCTTTGGGCAATGATATAGACATGTGCAAAATCATAATCAGAAAAAATCGACATTTCTATTACGAAACCGAAGTGTTTTATTTATCGAGAAACTAGTCTGTTATTGGTTTCAATAAAAATTATAACGGATGAATCACTTTAAGAAGTACTTCAAATGAATAGTCGTCGTTGAAGTATTTCCTTAATATCTCTTTCGACTTTTATAACTTTTGAATGAACTACTTCTTGAAAAGTTCTTGCTCGTAGATTCGAGATTTTTCAAATCGTAATTTTATCACTTAAAATAAGTAAGTGCATTAAGAATTCGTAGAATTTAATTCATACAATTAAAATTCTTAAATATACTAACAAAAAAGAGCTTCTGAAGCTATAGAAATTTTTTTTTCTCTATCGTTTAGAATGTAAACCTATAAATGTATGACAAATATATTTTTTGCTAGGATGTTGTATGTACTTAGTTTTATTTCGAGCACTTTGTCTTTTGTAAAGTTCATCTCTTTTAGACAATCATTGATATATGTGATCCTCTAACAAAAACCCACGCGAGACTTTTTGAAAGTCTACATTTCCTCCTCATCAATAATTTGAAGCAAATTACGTGTTGGTGTCATATATATTGTTTCTGAGAAACATGTTAGTAAAAGTTTAAGAACTTCTGTTCGATTTTTATCATTGCTTGGTACATGAACAGGTGATTGGGAAAAGCCGACACCGGCTTCCCAAATATATTCACAACTATCAATAGTTTGAATATCTTCAGGATTTTCCTAAAAACATACAAAATTCAATAATTTGAACATTCAAATATTGATATTCCTACTGGTCCTTTCTTCTTCTTGGATGCAACTGTGAAGTCCGGACAAAATAATAGATCCTTCAAGAAACAAAAAATAAATAAAAATAAACTATTAGAAATTCTTCTTACTGCTAATGTTTGAAGTAGTCGTTCGGCTAATGGTGGTTTACTAACATATTCCTAGAAGAAAAACACCAGAATGATGTTTCATTTAGAGAAAAAAAACCGCATTCTACGAACTCCATTTGATGTTGTCTGCTGTTGACCTGTTGGAATATCCGACCAGAAAAAACCTCGCCATTCAGGTTCTTCAAATATATACGGTAATAGACGAGTTAATAATCGAACACAATTAATGGCTATAAATAAAATGGCATGATATGCTATACATGGTTTTCCTACTAACCAGCTGTTTGATCTCGCTGAGTTTGACATGAATGTTCTGTAGCTAATTGTAAACGATCCACAAGTTTATTGCACAATGTAGCTAAATTTGATGGCAATTCTTCACGTAATGCACGTATTTCAGCAGCTGGTACTAAAGCAAATATATCTTGAACGCTTGAAATCTTATCCGACCAAAATTGATCCCAAAATGATTCATCGTTTGCTTCGATTTGCTATTGAAAACAAAAAAGCGAACTATTTTTTTCAAGTTTTTTTCTTCTCCTATTCTACCTGACTACGAGATGTTAATTGCACAACAGCTACACGAAAATCAACTTTTGAATCAGTATTTCCCATGCTTGCGTCGGTCGGTATTTTATTGTAAGAAAAGAAAAACAACTTTCAATAATTATGAGAAATTGTGGCAGAAATCCTATTGGCTTAGTTTTTCGAGCAATCAGAAACGAAGATGTCAAATGCAATGGAATTAATTAATTTAGTATATAGTTACGCCTGCAAAGAACAAGAATTTAAAGATAATAAATATATATGAAAACTAAAAGAAACTATTTAACATAAGAAGACACTTGTTTCTTTTTTTTTCTTATTATTAATTCTCTGGATGAGGAATTCTATACATTGTTTATGACAGTGCTGAGACCTTCATTAGTTTGAAGATGTGAAGATCAGGAATTATGTTGCATGACATGTTTGTACACACAATTCATAAGTGCTTATGTCGTTGAAATCGCTAAACAAATGACAATCGTGAGTGATAGACTGTCTCTGTGAGGAGAAACGATTAATCAACCATCAATGTGATTAATTGTGGTTTCATGGCTGATGATTATTCTTTATTTCGTTCAAAAATTGGCCGGTGAAGTTTTTCGAGATGAATAAATCTTGTTATAGCAAAATAACATGCGCTATGTAATTCTACATAGGTCAATGAGAATGAGAACATATTCGGGGAAGAAAAACTGTTCGTATGTTCAGATCGATGTTGTCAATTAAAGTTTTCTTTGGCGACACATCACATGTATGTATTATATTAAGAGAATGAATATCTGGAACGAATTTCAATGATGACAGACTGTTTTCTAATAAGATTGTATGAATTTGCATGTGATTCAGGCGGCTCATAACCAAGGCGGCTTCTCAAATATTGTAGCGACAACGATAATACTTCAGACGAGAAGAAGTATTATGATGGAAACATCCATGTAAACAGTTCAGTGTTTTCTGTTCTATTTTCAAATCCTTTGAGATATGTGTTATGCAACTATAGGTTTCCTGGCTTCAATCAGTTGATTGCATGTTTGAATTTTGATTAAATGAAATATGAGACCAATGGTATAGAATAAAATCTGTGTGTCTATTTTTATGTTAATCTTTCTGAGTCATCGGATAGGACTATTTTATGTCTGGACCACACATTTTGATTAATCTGCCATTAAAATAATCTACTTCATGGAATAGTTGATTTCAGTTCTCACACCAGAGAAAGGCTCGCCAACAAAAAAGTGTTAAAAAACACTTATAATATAAAATTATTCAGTCAATATACATTTCAAAGATTCTCTCTAAGCATGATAGAAACTAGATGTAATATATTCTAAACTAAAACTCGATCTATTCATAGTATGTCCAAAGAATGATCACCGAACTGAATTCGGATCGTTTCTCGTCTATATAATGTATGTGGCGCTACTTTTTGTCCTTATAGACGAGTGCAACTCTTCTTTTTGTGATTCTGTGATCCATTAAGAGATAAGTTTCCTGTTGACTGTTTTGGATGAAACTTCTTGACTTCACGCTCATCAACTCTTTCAGATCGATTCCATCGCTATGCTAAATTAAATTATTTACACTCTACAGTTCCTTGATCTATTTCCTTAATCGTAAAATTCAATCGAAATAAACGCAGAAATTTTACTTGATAACCTCTCATCTCATGATATCGAACGTCATTGTAGTTAATAACGCCATCTATATCTATCATTGAAAAATATCGTTTTATTTAATTAAAATGTTTCTCAACTGATCCCATCATTATATATTTTAAATTAGTAATCATAAGATCTATGTAAAAATACAAAGAAAAGGTCGAATATTTCCGTTTGATTGGCTACTCTGCAATAGCACTCTTTTGTCTTGTTGTTGTTATTGTTTATTCGTTTGAGTTCTTTTTCTATCTCTTTCTATCTGCCTTTCGAAATAGTTTGTGACAGATGCCAGTAACGTTCCATCTTATATATTCTAATTAAACCTTAAATAAAACTACATTCAATTTTAGACAATATTTAACTATCACTTTGGACAATCTGAAATCGATGATAAGTCCTTCGACAACAACACTATCACCGAACAATCGATCACGTGTGAAACTGTATACTTTAAACGAGGAACGTCAATGGGACGATCGTGGCACTGGCTTTGTAACTTGTACTACACCAACAGCACCCAACACAACTCATGCACTTATTGTTAAATCTGAAGTTGATGGTTCAACATTACTAGATTCAAAAATTCTACTAAATACCAAATATCAAAAACAACAAGTTGTTTGACAAGAATTTTATAAAAACATTTTATTCTATAGTATTCTTTATTGTTTAGGAAACATTAGTCGTTTGGTCAGAAGGAGATAAACATGATCTAGCACTGAGCTTTCAAGAGAAAGCTGGTTGTGACGACATCTGGGAAAATATATGTTATGTAAGACAAAAAAAAATTTCCATAACCATTAATATAGATTAAGTATGTACTTCAATTGATTTAAGGTTCAAGGCAAAGAGTCTTCACCATTTTTAACCACTGCAAATAATTTAACATCTGATTCTAACGGTACGACAGTCTATGACTCAGACGATGAATGCGCCGGCGAATCCAATGATAATTATTTGCCTTCATCAATAATATTACCACCAGTTGATTTATCTCATCTACGTGATATATGTGATTTATTTAGTCCAGATAAAGTTCGTGATGCATCACGTCGTGATTTGTTAGCACGTGCAATTGAATCTGGAAATTATTTACGAAAATTAATTGATCTTTTTCATATATGTGAAGATTTAGAAAATCTTGAATCATTACATCAACTATACGAAATCATACGTTCAATGTTCTATTTAAATAAATCAAGTCTATTTCAATTATTATTTAGTGAAGAATTTATTTTGGATGTTATTGGCTGTTTAGAATATGATTCACAATTAAATTATCATGAAAAACGTAATCATAGAGAATTTTTAGATACCAAAGCAACATTTCGAGAAGTTATACCTATTATAAATCAAGAATTACTATCGAAAATTCATCAAACCTACAGAGTACAATATATACAAGATGCAATTCTACCAGCACCGAGTCTATTCGAAGAAAATCTATTATCAACAATGAATAGTTTTTTATTTTTTAATAAAGTTGATATTGTTACATTATTATACGTAAGATAAAATAATTTTGTAAGTTTTCGTCTTATCATTGAAATTTCTTTTGTTTAGGAAGATCCTAAATTCCTTAGTCAATTATTTGCAACACTGAAAGATGAAAATTTATCAGATGAAAAACGTAAAGATCTTATGTTATTTCTTAAAGAGTTTTGTGTTTTTTCACAAACTTTACAACAACAAAATAGAGACAATTTTTTCCAAGTAAGTTCAAAGAACAATTTTATCTAGAACCAAAAGTTCGACTTCGACGGGGTCAATGAATTAGTCATGTTTGACGAGACAAATATAGTGAACTCTAAAGCTTTCAAGAAAACCATGGATTCAACATTTCTACAAGTACTCATTAGTAGGTACTGCAAAAGATGAGAAAGACTCTTCGACATAAAAAAAACAAAACATGAAGCCGTTCTGATCGACAGGTTACATTCCGACATTGCATTTCTAATAGGTTATTAATTAGTCTTGTTTAAAATATAATACAACGTGTGTGAAACATGATTATACGAGTGAGAAAAAAAACAATATTTTGTACCTTTGACAGAGGAATATAAAAATTACAGATGGGAATATTTATCCGGTAAATTTACTGATATAAAAGAAACCTTAGTAAGTTTTTCGGAAAGTAAAATTAGCCGTATCAATGTACAAATTATTCAAATATTTTTAGAGCAAGAGAGAATCTATTTCAGGTGCTTCTTTGAAGGGAAATTTGCGAATAATCCCTGTCAGGATTTTATCTAATACGAATAGTGAGAAGATATCCAAATAATAGAAGTACTTTACACATAAGTTTAGTCGTATTAATATAAGCCGACAAATTCAATAATCTGCTCGAATGCTCACATATCGAACTTGTATCATGAATAGGATCATGTTTTTTTTAATACGGCCATATGAAACTCACCGTCACGAACACAATTATTAGATAACAAAGCATCGATATTCTGCTTTATTTAGTTTTCGTAGCGTTAGATAGTTTTGATCAGCTGTTTCTCCAAAGTATCGTTTGACGATAGCGACGGGCTATTATTTCTGTTACGGACAAATATCAAATGGGTAAAATAAAATAGAATTGTTTTCCTTTGTTATTACTTTCTTGTACTAATGATATACTAGAAAACGGCTACATTGTTCGCTAACAAGAAAACCCCTAATGTTATAATAACAAAACATAAAAAAATGTTATCCAAAACGATTTATTCATTTTCGGAAAATTTTCTTGAAAGAAGTCGTTCATTGATTATAATACGGTAATCTAAGAATGTTCCCGGAGGGCCAAGGTTTTACTCAACATTCGTTTTGGATCATATTTCATTTAATAAACTTCATCTTTCTAATAATGGTATCTAGACGAAAGCAATTAAGAGACATCATCTTATCTCGTGTATAGGTCATGATGCTATCTAATCCTCAGGAGGCCAAGCTAGCTTTTCTGCAATTCATAATTGTTGAACCACATATGATGTGTTCGTTCTAGCAGAGTTTTTAGAGCATAAAAGAATAATTGTTGACTTGAAATGGAAATTCTCCTACATCATGGTTTGCAGCACTCGCTCTTCAATCTAAAAATCTTGTTTGCGACTGTAATGATCATCGTTGAGTATTGTTTATTTAGGCACTCGCTACTCATGGTATATTAAACGTCATACAAGTAATGCTTGTAAGTGAAAAATAGAATTAGTTAAGAATGAAATAAATCTACTGCCTAAAACCTAAACTAGAGTTTGGATGATGTAACAACAAAACAAGCCGCACTGGATGTATTTGCATCTATAGTTGAATGTAATCCATCTACTGTACGTGAATACATGCTGCAAGAAACTCAATCAATACAAGACGACGATGAATTACTACTTAATCTTGTTATTAGCGAAATTCAAAGTGATCCCGATCCAGGTATTAGAAATTTCGGAATGAATGAATAAGCATCTGGTTTTTTTCTGTTGTGTATAGAATTAAGTGGCGCACTTAATTTAATGAACTATCTTAAATTATTAATTGATCCTGAAAATATGATGGCTGTGGTCATAAGTGAAAAAACGGAATTTTTATCATTTTTCTATTTTCGATCAATGTCTGTATTACTCGCTCCACTTATGGCTAATACATCTGATCTTAGATTAACTCGCGATGATTTTCATATTGCTCAATTGCAAAATTTAATACTTGATTTTGTTACATTTTGTATTGAACATCATACATATCATATGAGAAATTTTCTTAACAAAAAAGATTTACTACGACGTGTACTTGTATTATTACAATCTAAACATCAATTTCTTCAACTAAGTAATAAAAAGAAAACAAGTATTTTGTGAAGATTTATACAAATGTTTTTCACTTGTCTGTTTAGGTGCACTGCGGTTCTTGCGAAAAATTGTTGGCCTTAAAGATGAACAGTACAATTTAGCAATTGTTCGCAATAATTATTTTGCACCTATTGTCGATTCATTTAAGGCTAATAAACGACGTTATAATCTATTAAATTCAGCTTTAATTGAATTGTTTGAATTTCTTCGACATGTAAAGATTTCTTCTTTTTTTTCTCTGTAAAATTATGTTATTGATTCTTCTACTTTAGGAAGATGTTAAAATATTAATCAATTATTTTGTTGAAAATTTCTATTCCGAATTTGAATCTGTAAATTATGTCAAAACATTTCATGAGTTAAAAATACGATATGAAGCTCATCGAGATCGGCGAGAACGAATGCTTAGTGATAGGTAAGTTCTCAGAAAGACTCTTTCGAAAGTCGAATTCGAGTGTGTAAACTGACATATAATTCATCGTGATCGATTAATAACAGGAAATACTTGTTGGTGCATAAAGCGATATGAATAGAAGAAGAAGAAGAAGAAAAAAAAGATGAAATTTCAATTATCATTGAGTACTCTTGATAAGTATTATGAAGAGTTAAAAGTAATTTATTCTCACAGGTGATTTATCAATTAGTTCGGTGTTAGAAGAAGTTCATCTCTACCTTGAAAATATCCTTAAAAACATTGTGTTTTTTAGTTCACCGATTGGTTCATCACGTCTACATGATAATTTAAATAATAGTCATCTATTACCAATGCAACATTTTAATCAAACCCAACGTCATCGAAAAGATGATCGTGATCTAGATGCTGAAGAAGAAAATTGGTTTAATGACGATGATGATGAAAATAAAATCTCATTAGTTAACCGTGGTACTGTGTATAATGGTGGCTCGGATGATGAAGACAGTCAACCCGAAACCAGTGGAACAACGAGTGCAATTTCAACGAATGAACCTATTCGATCTCATCATTTTCGCGCAGATCATGATGAGGATGGAATGCCAATGACGACTACCGGAAAAAAATCAAGTAAAATAATATTAATTTTTCTCTCATTTACTAATCTTGATCTGTAATAGGAGCGTCGCGTTCTCAGTACAACAAACCAGTAATCAGTATTCATATTCGACGTTCACCAATATCTTCTGTTGGCCAATTACCTCCATCGTCATCTATAAGTGCTGAAAATGATCCACCAGCAGCACTTCGAGTTGATGTTCCTTCGACAACGACAAATGGTTCTTCAAGTTCATCGTCACCTCGATCCAATGAGCCAACATCGACATATGCTATGGTAAAAATATGATCGTTTTTCTTTCGCGAAAAAATTTCGATATCCTATCCAATTGAATACTAGATTAGAGATCTGACAAAAAGAAAAACATCATATTTTTGTTTATTTAGAGTCCTGGCTTATCGAATATTGCTGATCAATATAATGACGATGAAAATGAACAAGAAGGAGACATTGAAAATGATGTATTTACAAAGTCCAATGAGCTCAATACCAATGGTAATAACAGTGATTCATGTTCATCGACGACACGTAAACGTAAAATTGAACATGATCACGATGATAATAATAATAACAATAATGATGATCACGTATCTTCATCAGTACCGAATGACGATAATGCATCTCTGTTAAATGATAACAATAATACTGAACAAAACAAAGTGTTTAAGCGGAATAATGATGAATCAACAAAGTGAATTTATTTTCGTTCTTCTCAACTCGGGTGTCGTTTAAAAATCCCCAATATACACACACGCTTAAAGACTGGAAGAGATATATAAAATAAATGTTGTTGTTGTTGTTGTTGCTTTTTCTTGAATCGTCCGAGCAAACATTAGTTGATGATGTCTGTTTACGTCCGTGTGCTTGCAAACGATATGTTTTCGTTTTCTCTTTTCTTTTTTGTTTTGTGCCCATTTTGTTTTCTTTTTCCCTTATTCAATCTATCTATCAATGTATATGTACGTATCATCGTCACTTTTGTTTGATTTTTCTTTTCTTGTCTTGTTTCGGTCTCGGATGATAGAAAAAAAAATTGAAAATAAAAAAGATTTGTGAGTTCAGATTCATTTTCTTTTTTTGTGCGCGTGCGTCTATTTGTGTGTGTGTACAGATTGGAAGATATCTAAAAAAAGACAGCAGTCGATATTTTATTGCATGTAGTTGTTCTTGTTGGCTCTACGTTCCTCTTTTGCTGTTCTTGATGTTGTTGTCATTATTGTTTCTTTCGCGCTCTCTCTCTCTCTCTAGTACTGCGTTCGCATTTTGCTTACATGCATTGGAAAAAATATCTTGTAAGAATTTTATATAAATGAAAAGATGAAGAAACTATCAAGTCTAAGTATTTTTATCAAACGCAAACTAAAGTTGGATAAACAAGAGGTTCGGATCTTGGTTTCAGATCATGTCGCTTATGCGAGTAATAACTGTTGGGCTCACCGGTGCCGCAGGCATCTATGGCGGCCTGGTACTTTATCGGTACGTTTCTTTCTAATGTTTTCGAATCCATCGATCATTTCGTTCTCATTCAAAGAGAATATTTTGTCGTTGCACAATATAAAGGCGATGAACAACTATTTGGTAAGACAGCCATTATTACAGGTGCTAATACGGGTATTGGAAAAGAAGTAGCACATGATTTTGCTCGAAGAGGTATGAGTCATAATTGACAGCAATAATAAAAAAATTAAATTTTTATTTTCTATCAAGGTGCTCGCGTTATTATGGCTTGTCGTGATATGAAAAAATGTGAAGAAACACGCGAGAAACTTGTTGCGGATTCGTTTAATACAAATATTGTTTGTCGCGAATGTGATCTGGCTTCGATTGAGTCCATAAAAACGTTTGCTGATGAAATAAATAAAAATGAAAAGTACGTTCATTTATTAATTAATAATGCCGGCGTTATGTGGCATCCATCAAAATTAACGAAAGATGGTTTTGAGCAACACCTCGGTGTTAACTATCTCGGTGTGAGTCGAATAAAAAATGAAAACTTGTAAAACCGAAAAATGTTTATTTCAGGTCATTTTCTTTTAACAAATTTATTAATGGAAAAATTACGTACTTGTTCGCCAAGTCGAGTTGTTAATGTAACATCATCGATGTATAAACGTGGAGTAATTGATTTCGATGATTTAAATATGTCTAAAAAACAATTCAACGCAAAAATAGCTTATGAACAAGCGGCACTTGCGATTGTTTTAGCCACACAAGAATTCTGTCGGCAATATCCAGGTTTAATCCAATGAAAACAAAAATCTTATAAAATCGTACGTCTTTTTCTTTTATTAGGTTCAGGCGTAGTAGCTAATTGTGCTCATCCTGGAATAACTCGAACTGAAATTGCACGTCACACCATCGATAAATCATTTATAAGTCGAATCATCGTTGGGCCCCTTCTAAAAGCGTTTATGAAAACACCAATGCAAGGAGCTCAAGCAGTAATTCAATGCGCTCTTGATCCAAAACTTGACGGCCAATGTGGAAAATACTTCAGGTATTATTACTGTTAGAGATTAATAACATATCGACTTAAAAAAATATGTTTCCGTGGCCATTTTTAGTGATATGAAAGAAGAGCCAATTGCACCAAATGCTACTGATGCAAAAGAAGCCAAACGTTTATGGTTAATTAGTCAACGATGGGCGCGTTTAGTTTAATAAAATAGAAATTGTGTTGTTTTTTCTTATTGTTCTATTTGTTATAAAAAAAAAAGAGAACCACTGAAATTTTTCTTTTGACATAATTTAAGATAATATATACCTAGGCGCCAATTATTTTAGTAGCAATTACAAAATCAGCTAGTTAAAACATATATATTTGTAAATAATAATAATAATAACAATAACAGATGAAAACTAAATCGTTATCGCGACAAACAGATGATAATAATAATAATGGAAAAAAAGTGAAGAGACCGTTCTTTATTAAATATATTTATCAACCAGACTTTATCTGGTATACGGTTGGTGTCATTGTTCGAATTCTTTGGACACTAGTTTATTCGCAACAAGGTTATATTCATCCAGTAAGGAATGAAGATGTACATATAAAATATACATAAGAATTCCTTATTCTAGGATGAATTTTTTCAAGGTCCAGAAGTTGTTTTTGGTACGTATAAGTGATTATATCTTAAATAATTAATAGAATTTGGACTAGAGAAAATTGTCTCTGAATACTAATAAAACAAATATTTTCAAAAGCTCGAAACTAATTGTATCTTGTACTAAAATTTATTTATTAACTGACGCTCTAAATGAAATAATGACGTCTAAGACATTCTTGAAACGTTTTTTCACTAGACGATATATTTCAAACAAATTTAACACGAACACATGAATTTCATCCGGCAGCACCTCTTCGTTCCGTAGCTATTCTATATTTACTCTACGGTCTTCCTATATCAATTCTTTCGTGGTTATCAACAATTCTGCATTGGTCGTCGATACCATTTCATCTAAAACTTATTTTTCCACGTTTTGCGATCCTTCTACTATCATTATGTTCAGATATTCTTTTTTATCGTATGATTAAAGTTTCTCACTCTAATTTTAATTCTAAACAATATGGAATAATTATGAATTATTATGGTATAGCTCATGTCACGCTTGTTTTTTTTACCCGTACATTATCAAATTCATTTGAAGCTTTTCTTTTTCTTGCTCTTATTTACCTTGTCAATGTTAATATGTCATCGTTATTATCAATAATTACAAATTCATCGAATAAGACTAAATATAATGTGCAATCAATTCATATTAATTTAAATACAATTGTAACTTCATCGTTAATTGGCTTTATTTGTGCTTTGGGTATATTTAATCGTCCGACGTTTCCAGCTTTTGCTCTAGTTCCGATTGTTTATTGGTTAGCAAATATAATCCCACTGATGAATCATTCATTTCGATTTCAATTATTATTCGGTCGAATAATATCGTTTATAATTGGAACTTTCATTTTAGCATCATGTTTAATTATTCTCTTTGATTCCTATTATTACAATAATGGATTTTCATTTATTATGGATCTAAAAAATCGTCTTATTATTTGTCCGTTAAATTTTATCGTCTATAATATTGATTCAAAAAACTTAGATCAACATGGTTTACATCCACCTTGGCTTCATTTTATTGTCAATGCAACAATTTTATATGGTCCACTTCATTTATATGTTGTTTTATGGGGTTTATTTCATGTATCGAATATAAGACAATTCGGACAATCCATTATTGAGCGAATTTTAAAGATTTTTCGTAAAAGATCAGTCGCAATTGAGAAATCAGGTATTGATCTACAACTAAAAATGACGGAAATCTTCCTGCAGATAAATCACTTTTCAAATCGAGACTAGAGTTTAAATATATGCTGCAGGATTCATAAATAATTAATAGAAAGCGTTTTTCTCCGACTTGAGATTAAACAATACAACAGAATGTAGATAAATTCCTAACTATTCTCGGATTTTTCAAATAAATCTTGCATTCAATCGTTTTCTTTTACTGATGATAATATGTCAATCGGACTGTCAATCATTTCTCTATAAAGGAAAAGATTATGAAATTGATCATACTCTCAATTCCAAAATTTTCTCGATTAACTTATAATTACACTTAGTAGATAAGCCGCAGTGTTATCACTGTTACAGTGTGTATTTCCATGATGTATGGTAAATCAGCTGATATGAAAAATGTTCTGATTTCATGATAGGCGCATGTCGATGTCAATAAATTACCATTAAAATATTTCCTTAAGAAAATAACATCGAAGTGCAACAATAAGCTAAGTAAATCAACTCTTTTCAAGGTATTCGTAACTCATTTATGTCTAAATAATGTACATAGTCTCGATTTAAAAGCAATCTATCATTTGTAGGCATTCTCACGCTTGTGCTTTTATCTATTTTCAATCAACTAAATTTTTGTTTGTTTTAGAACAATCAATCTCACCTTTTCTAATCTATCTTTATTTGATACCATTTATTCCATTATCGACATTTCCTCACCAAGAAGCTCGATTTCTTGTTCCACTTATTTTTCCATTAATACTTTTCATCGTACCTGTATTAATCACAAAAAATCTTCATACACTTTTATTTCGTATATGGTTAGCATTTAATATGTTCATATGCATAATCTATGGTCACCTACATCAAGGTGGTCTTTTGCCTGCTCTAAAATATATTCATGATTATCCTGTTGTGTCATCCAATGTAATACCAATTGTAACCAATCCGAATAAAAAAATTCTTATTACTTATCATACATATATGCCTCCGGGTTATTTGGTTACATCTATGTCAAAATCAGAATATGACCATAAACTACAAACAATAGTAATTGATCTTAAGGGTGCAAGACGTGAAGAACTCGATTTAACAATCGAACGAATATTTCATGAATATTCAATGCATAATAATCAAGTGTTTGTTCTTCTACCGAATATTTCTCAAACTTATCTTATTGAGTTGAAACAAGCAAAATATTCATTTAAACTTATAAAACAGTTTGCACCTCATCTAGATTTAGATCATGGCTTTGAAGAATTAATTCATTTTAAAGATCAACAAAAACAATATACAATATGGGATAGATTTAAGCTTGATCTATATCAAGTAACACGTAATTTAATGTAATCAAAACTTTGATTTTGTTGAAATTTCTCTTTTTTTTGTATGAATAAATTTTGTTGTGTTATTCTCATCTGAAAAAGAAAATTTCTATCATGCTCTGTTGGTTTATCCGATTTCAATCGGTCTATTGGATAAACGGTTAAATTGAATTATACGAGTAAATTTTAATATTAAATAAATACTCCCGTATACGGATGATTAAATTTTACAAAAAAATGGATGAAAGAGAAGACAGAGAGAAAAAAAGGAAATTTCAGGAAGTGTTCATTTTACAACCATTTCCCTTTGCGGTCGATACTTAAAAGCATTTAAGTTTTCCATTACATGAAATATAGTATGTAAGTTAGTTTACTCATAAAAAGAAGAAAAAAAACTTCTTTGAGGTCTCGTCTTTAGGCAATAGTAGTGACTCGTTTACAAGCTGATCAATAGATGAGGTCGATCGAACTATGCTTCCTTTTTCCCCTCCCCTTATTCTCTCATTCCGAACGCGATAAAGAGAGAGAGAGAGAGAGAGAGAGATCGAGGCGAGTGAACAAACATTCCTTTCAACTGCCATTCGACTAGAACAAACATAACTAGTAAACAGGTAGTAGGTACTATGACCATCAGACGCCATAGGGAACGTGTTCGTTCGTTCTCTCTCTCTCTCTCTCTATGTCTCCTTCTCTATGCAACTTATAATTGTTAATATTCTTATCTAAACAGTGCCGCTTACAATTTTTTTTTACTAGGCATACGTTTGTCGACTGATTTTACAAGTGGCAGCATTTTTAATTCGTTGTCATTATATGGCCTCAAATCTCGTTCTTTTTCTCTCTCTCTTTCTCTATTCAAAGTAGCGCAATCGGATCAATATGCAAAGAGAGCATGCGAAATAAATCGAGTGGGTATATTATTAGTATCGCTCGAATGAGTCTTTGTCAACAAATATTTATGTATTTCAATGTGTAAATTCAAGTAGGAAAGAGAGAAAATTGTACATATATACATGTGTATATATACATATATATATATATACTTCTGATTGTGAGGGTTCCTTATACACAAATCCGTTTGGAATAAACCCGTTGTGTCGTATTTTGCGTAGGCGTTCTTGCAAGGATTGGCACGTCTACTGTGTAGAGAATTTCCTTGTATAACGCACTATGCAAGTACCACTCGGATTAAACATCGTACTAATTGTAAGTATAAATTTTTGACATAACTATATAAAATTTGATATTAATAGTCCAATTAGTTATTATTTGAAACCTATAGGACCATTTAAAATCATTTTTTTAGTTATAATTACGCTTTTTTTCATCTAGTCAATTCATTTAGAGTAAGCTTCGAAGGAAACAACGTCATCAATTATTTCTTTTTCTTGTTTTTTCTAGTAACTTAATGATTTTTTTTCTTAGTTTGCTATCTAATAATTTTGCCTGTAATTTTATCTTTGTTTTCTAGTTCACTTAATAAATCATTTCTAACTTGATACTCATGTAACTATTTTATAAATCTTCAAATCTGCATTTGATTTGATTCATATCTTTAATAAGTGTACGGCGAACATCAAACGAGTAACATTTGAAAACAACAAACGTATATGGCGCACTATCATTGTACATATTTTTACATAATTCAAGGTAGAAATGGATGTCACCGGAAAAAAACGCAATAAATTGTTTTTCATCATTCAACAGTCGCCTTGATCGACTATTGACAAAACATAAAATAAAACTATCGATGTCAATAAATACTTGTATATGCGCCAGTAAAAGATACATTTTCATTTTCATTCGCAGCAGCACTGATTGCAAAGAAATAATTCTGTGAATTATGAACCCTTCTGCAAAGGGCTGGGACAAGTATATGCAGCTGAAGTGATGTTTGATCAAATTTTAAAGAAATATTTCGTAATAACTAATTTCAAAAATGAAAATTGATTATTTATCTTACAGCCAAACGAAATATATGGCTTAAATTATATTTCGACCGTACCACGATTAGAAAGAGGAAGTTGATGACTCAGTAGACCGATTGAAAGTGGTTTTTTTTGCTAAACATAACAGAATTTCAAAATTATGAAACACGAACGGTGAACTGTAGACAAAATAATGGTTTTCTTCATTGGAAGAGTAACATCTCGTACATTTCGTTTTCTCAGGTAGCGATAATCAGTGTTTTTATTCGAACTGTAAGATTGTTTTTAGTGGAAAAATGAATAGAAATAAATTGAGTTCAATAAAAATGATTAGACACTAAAAAAAATATACGCAGAATTTAAACACGTATCAAACGTACTTGAATATCGTCTTTAAAAAGAAAATGAATGAAGATTTTGAATAAATAATTCTATTCGACTGGAAACTTTATATTTTTTCAGATTTGTTACCGAAAACGCACACGTTGTTTGTCTTTTCTATTTTCAAATTATTACGACTAAGAAAAATGTCAAGCACTTCTTTATTTATTGTCAAGTATATAAAAGCTATTTTTATTTTTAAAAATCATGCTGTTTAAGTTTAATCTTTCTCATCAAAGCTGTGCTTTTGATAGATCTAAATTAAGTTACTCACGATGAAGCGCAAGAAAGGCATCTATATATCTTTTTAGTATTGTTTTGCATGATAAAAGGCGACCTCTTTATAATTAATGACTTGGATTGGTTGTTGTTAAACAATTAATAGGCTTCAAGTATGTTCGTCAGTCAGCTTTTTTTCCTGCAGCAGAGAAAAATCAGAAATACCATGCGATGAACTTTGGATTTTCGAATTTTTGGGATTTATAATAGTTTTTACCGTGTTTTCGAATTTTTATCTTGCCTACTATTACTAATTAACAAATGATGATAGATGGACTCGTAATCGTAGAATAATATAGGCGGAAAAAACATTCTCCGACAAAAAAATCTCCAGTCGGTAATCAATATGTTGATTAGAATGCCAAAACTAAGACAGGATTTTCATAGTTAATTATGAAAAGCGGAAGACTACTGGCAAAAAATAAGTTAGTAAACGAAATATATTTATTTAATAATAATAAAATCTGTTTCTTAGGTATCAATATTCGTGATAAGCATAATCTATCTATAGCTTAATATTTAAACCGTGTTAGTAAGTAAATGATATTTTAAATATTAATGCATTTATCAATCTTTAGTAGTTATTTACCACTTTAAATAATAATAAATGGATTAAATCGAAGAATGCATGTTCACAATATTAACAGAACGTCAACCGGTGCTTGTCCTAATTGATTTCTTTTTGACAATATTAAATATAATGGAGCTTATAGAAAAAACTTCGAAATACGCTAATCAATATGTAATAGAACACAGAAAAGATCATCACTAATCCTATGCGATTTTTTATAAAAATATTTAAATTACATAATCTTTATACATTTTAAGGGTTACACATCCCGAATGATTTTTCTTAGAGGATATTATAAATGTTTCTAGTAGTAGACTTAAGGGAAGAAATATCGTTATATTGCATTTTCCAACGCCCAATTATTATATTGTTTCTTTTTATAAATCATGATTAACTCTTCGGCTACCCCAGCGATACATATAAATGTCATGAGCTTTAGCATCATACTGTAATCATCTATAGTGCATAGGTTTTCGATATTTTAGCATCGAAAGACCTTTCTACATGATATTTTTAGTTGTGAGTTATGTGAGACTTGAAGAAGTGTAAAAAAAACGTTTTGTATGAAGGTACTCTTTTTGGTCGGCGAATAAACCCTTAATAGGAAAATAATGAAAAATAAAATTTGTCCTGACCAATATAGCTACAGTTTTCTGAAGATAGGGATGCATATTGAAAGTTAGTGAAGCGTACTGTGTATATAATTAATAACAGAGAGTGAGAAACACCTTGTTTTGACTATTGAGTGATGTTAATTTCCATAGTTATGACCTTTCAGTGAGTGACATTAGAATCGATTGGTATAGAAACAAATATTAAAATTTCGTTTATGAATTTTCAGATAGATATGTCTCATATTGTCTCCTTACGTAGTGCATCATTGCGTGCACTACGTTCGAGTTCAACCATTGTTGCTGCATCAAAATGTACAACATCTCCTCATCGATCATGTCAACCTCTACGGAAATTTTCATATTCAATTCTTTCAACATCACCCGATCAAAACTCGACAATAGGCAATAATAAAAATAAAAAACGCGTAAGAATATACTTTTTATTATTTTGAGTGTCAAAAATAGAGGAAGCAATATTTTACTTATAATGCTCTCAATAGAAATAAATATTATCGGAAAATTATTTTTTCTAAAATAAACTTTTTAGATTCTTGCTTTCACAAAAGAAATTATAGTCTAGACAATTTTTCAATCACCTTTAGGTGAGAGATAGTTCCGTGGGGTAATCAAAACTTCTTTAATAGAAATCATATATCTAACAGAATTCTTTTTATTCACATTTATATATAAATAGAAAAATAGAGCATAATTTTAATATCGCGAAGAATATTTGTCTACGGATGTATAATTAACAAAAAGCAAAAGGTCACTGAGAGTTTTCGCGCTCTTCAAAGAAGAAAAAGCCAAACAAATAACTACAATGAAACTCCTTCGAGGATTCTCAGATGTGTGATCACTAGAAAAATTCTTTTTTGACAAAAATCATATTGTTAATGCGAAGCAGAAGCATTTTTGTAGTCCGTCGCGAGTTTTCTTTAATGCGATACGAAGCATGAAGCATTTCTGTAGTGCGTCGCGAGTTTTTTTTTCTTTTTTACTTGCGATCGTACGCATTGCATCTCGTTGTTTTGTGACAGAATGATCTCGAGAACCGAAAACTCATTGAAACGGAAGATGAAAGTATCGAGATCGAACTTCTGATATATTTTTTCTATTCTTTAATCTGATATTCTGTTCACTCACAAATGTGGCTCCAAAATGACGAAAATGAAAGAAATTTGTTGCGAGATAATTAAAGTGACGTCATGAACATATGTTAGCCACTATTGTCTCTTCATTTACAGCTGATCTAAGATAATTAATCGATCAATCGAATTCGATCGTTAAGAATGTATCGCTAAGGAAGAATAGAGTTTTTTCAGCGATGAATTTCATCATGCCGACATAGAATGCATTCAAGATTTCTCTGAATTGAAGATTTTCGTGAAGATCCGATTTGATCTTCGCATCACATTCGTATTCAAGTGCAACTCGGATACCATCTTGTTTATAAAAGGTCTAATTTCTATGCATTTCTATTGATCGGACGGAAATGAACTTATTCTCATGAGATCGATGGCTTACTCAATTTGTATAAATAACCTATTGTAATCTTTTCTTTAGACTCATTCTGCTCGTACAATTTCTATCGATTCTGTTCCTGATTCAGTCTATAGATTTAATCGTCGAATTCACACGAGTCCAGTATTTTGTATGTTATCATTTGTATTGAAATTCAATACTATTCTCTATATTTTCTAATTAGTCGATTCGGTTGATGTGAGAGCACCACCATTTCCTGAATCGGTGAAAGAAGGAACTATTCGTTTATTGAAGAAAGTTGGAGACAAAGTAAGCGTCGATGAAGCAATAGCTGAAATCGAAACAGACAAAGCAAATTTAAGTATCAATGCACCGGAAGCCGGTACAATTGAAGCATATCTTGTTGCTGATAGTGATAACGTTACATCCGGTGTTCACGTAGCCAAGCTTAATACCAGTGCTGATGCGAAGCCAGTATCAGGTTTGCTTCTTTATTAAAAAAAAACAGATTCACCAATCTTTTTCTCTTAGAAAGTAAAACCGACGCACCGATTGGCAAAGTCGAAACTAAATCAGGACAGTCAATAGAAAAACCATCAGCAGATCCAGCTGCACATATATCATTAAATGAACTATCACCATCAGCAGGTGCAATACGCGATACTTCAGCACCACAAAAACCAATTGCACATCCTATAAAAACATACGCTAAAATTGATCCACACAATGTTACTGGCACACGATTAGAAACACGTGTTAAGATGTCAAGAATGCGTTTGAAAATATCTGAACGCCTTAAAGAAGCACAAAACACCTGTGCTATGTTAACGACTTTCAATGAAATCGATATGAGGTTCGACAAAGCAACATTGGTTTGCAATTTATTCTCATGATTATTTTTAGTAATGCTGTCGAATTTCGTAAAAAATATGCAGACCAATTTCTCAAACGTCACAATATTAAATTAGGATTTATGTCCGCATTTGTTAAAGCATCTGCATGTGCACTTACAGATAGTCCGATTGTTAATGCAGGTAATAAATAATGTAATGCAAATAATAAATGATTTCATAGTCGTTTTTTTCTTCTTTGCATTCAAGTTATTGACGGAAATGAAATCGTCTATCGCGATTATGTTGATATCAGCGTTGCTGTTGCTTCGCCAAAAGTAATTTATTGAAATGAAGAAGAAAACAAAAACTCGTGTCATATTAAAAACACGCGAATGTTTTCTTTAGGGTTTGGTTGTACCAGTCATTCGCAATGTAGAAAAAATGAACTACGCAGATATTGAACGTGCAATTAATGAATACGGTGAACAGGTAAACAAAAATTCATTCATTATCCATACTGAAGTAGAAGTCATTGAATTTTGAAGAGAAAAAAGAGTGAATAAAATACGATTGATCTTCATTAGTGCAAATGAATAAAGGTAGACGTGAACTCGGAAGCATCTAATTTTTGACAGAAACAAGAGACTTTTCATCTTATCATGCTCATAGAAATATGACAATTACTTGTCACCATAAGAAATTATTTCCGGCAAATCGAACCTTGTCTCATCAGCACCGTTGAGTTAATCTAAATTTGAACAAGACATTTGTCTAGCCAAAATATATCTTTTTCGTAACACTTCAAATGATCGCAAATTTTGTTTATATATTTTGTTTTCTCTAGGCAAAGAAAGGTACCCTACCTATTGAAGATATGGACGGGGGAACATTCACAATAAGGTAAATAAATTTTTTGACATTCATTTAATAGAAAATTTATTGCAGTAATGGAGGAGTATTCGGCTCGTTATTTGGCACGCCGATTATCAACCTCCCACAGTCAGCTATTCTTGGTATGCATGGAATATTTGATAGGCCTGTTGCTATCAATGGCAAAGTATGTAACAGTTGCGTTTATTTTACATGTTTTGTATTATTTTTATTTTTATTATTAGATGGAAATTCGTCCGATGATGTATGTGGCTCTTACATACGATCATCGTATTATTGATGGCCGTGATGCTGTTCTATTTCTTCGAAAAATTAAGCAATATGTTGAAGATTCCCGTACCATGTTTCTCGATATATAAACATCTAGTTATTATTTGTTTTATTCTCTCCTCGGTTTTGTTGCAATATGTTCAGCTTTTCAAGTTCATACAAACAGTCTCTATATTAATATCCTATCCTAGCAAGTACTCACTGATCTGCCTCTTAATATAGTATTATATTTGCATAAGTATTTTTTTTTGCATTTAACCCCTACAGAAGAACACAAAAGATTATAAAAATATTCTTTTATCTTTGTTTTACTTGTTAATGATTAATCGAAGGTGTACGAAACGAAGACAGAGAGAGAGAACACGAAAAAAAGAGAAAATGAGAAGAGGTTGTAATATGATATAGATAGAATGTTGCTGGTCATTGATTAAGTTTTACGTGTGAACGGACATTCATTCGATTGCCTTGAAGCAAGGAGTGAAAGCACACGTATACAATTGTTGTGATTTCATCTTTTTTCTTCTATCGTTCTCTTTCCTTTTCTTCTATTGTGGTCTCTACTGGATACATATTGAGCATTGTGTACATAGGAGAAAATAAGACTACAGAGAGAGAGAGAGAGAGAGAGAGAGAGAGAAATGTTGATCATCTGTTCTGTTGCCTGTCATTGCTGGAGGGGGGGTTATAAGAGTAATATTCGATTTCCTCTCTTATTCTCTCTATTCTCTAAAACACCTGATGTCGATGCTTAATGATAGTTAGTCAGTTGTCGTCGAAATTAAGTCAGTGTCATCAGCTGGATTGTACCTATTATGTCTGGTCGCCATTATTATTATCATCGGTGTTTCTCATTGAAGAGAACGGGCGAATTTGCTCAACATTGGTTTCGTGAACGAACAGCGTCCTTATCGCGTGGACATCAATCTCTCAAACGTGATACTTCATCTACTATTGATATCAGCCAGAAGGTAGTTTTGTTGATTGTTGAATGATTGACGTGTTCGATATGGATATTTCTATACATAGTTGTTGATAAATAATTAAAAAAAGAAAAGAAAAAAACAAATTTTTAAAATTATTTCTATTTGTAGAACTTTGGCCAGAGAATGGCTAAGAAAAATTATGATCTTCTCTTTAAATTATTACTGATTGGTGATAGTGGCGTTGGAAAGGTAAGACATTTACAATATAATGCAATAAATTGTTTTGTTTTTGTTTCGTAGACATGTATTTTATTTCGATTTTCGGATGATTCATTTAATGCTTCGTTTATTTCCACAATCGGTATCGATTTTAAAATAAAAACTATCGAACTTAATGGTCGAAAGATCAAATTACAGATATGGTAAGATGATCATTCATATCTCTTAGTTACAACAAAAAAGAAAAACGAAAAGAAAGAAAGAAGTGTTTGTTAAATCTCGCAACAACAAAACAGTTCTATACAATAGAGTCATGTACTTTCTACGTTAATCTTTAAACAAATAATCACATATTTAGCGATTAGGAAGGAAGAAATAACAATAGTTGTGTTCACAAATATATGTATCGAAAACAAAATATATAACGATGATTATATTTATCTTGATAGATTATCTTACTCAATATTGCAAAACGAAATTTCATAGATTGAAACTCTTACAACGAACTTTTTTTCTTTTGTATTTAAAATATTTATGTGCACTATTATAGGGATACTGCTGGCCAAGAACGATTTCATACCATTACTAGTAAGATTTCATAGTGATTCATGTTTATATAAATATTTATTTTTCAAAAAATATAATTTTAGCGTCGTACTATCGTGGAGCATCCGGAATCATGCTTGTCTATGATGTCACACAAGCTAGATCCTTCGAAAACATCAATAAGTGGCTGCGTAATATTGATGATCATGCATCCGATGATGTTGTTAAAATGATTATCGGGAATAAATGTGACATGGAAGATAAGCGTTGTATAGCTCGAGCACGTGGCGAAGCATTGGCACGTGAACATTCTATACCGTTTCTTGAGACATCAGCGAAAAATAATGTTAATATAGAAAAAGCTTTTTTCGAAATATCAAGGCTGATATTAAGTAAAACTCCATTGAATCCACCAGATCAAACAAATGGAAATTCTGTTGGTGTATTACATGGAAATAAACCAACAAACCAATCGAACTGTATGAATTGCATGTAAACAAGTTGAATGGAAGTATCAATGCATCAGTCAACATAGAGAGAAAATTTATTTGTCGCTAACGTCGCATTTCCTTCCCCCCTTTATTTCTGTTGTTAATCGTATTCTCTTTCTCTTTAAATAGGCGTGATCGCATGTGTAATTTTTTTTCGTTTTTTTGTTGGACGGCATTTGGATATATTAATATTTAAACCAAAAATAATAATGCATTCTCGAGGAGGGATGGAAGAGTAAATTGAAATATTAAATATTTTTACTATAACACTGGCATCTATTCACAATTCAAACAGAAATTCTAACAATAAGTAGTATTGTTTGTTATAATACAGTTAACATCCGGTTCTAATTCTCATGGTGCCAACCATTACGTTCTATTATATATGTTTTTTTTCCTTTGAATAGAGCGCCGATTAAGTTTACATTATACTCATAAATAAAGCATTACTGAATCTCGCCTATATTATTCTTAATCATATCAGAGGACAATCTCAATGATTTGAAAACAGATTATATTATGTAAATATAAACATATTCACAGACAAAAAAAACAGCATATTAATAGATCGGTGTGACTTGTACCATGGATCGACGGAAATAAAGCTTAATAATATTTCTGATATCCCGATCGAGTATAATTGTAACAATTTTTTCTATAGCTACTGTAAACGACATTGAGATAATACCCATGCCATATAGAAATCGAACATTCGTTAATATATAAAGCACGATTGGAATTGCGCCTAATGTGTATATAGCAAATAGAATCATAATATTATATAAAACTTGAAGATCACGTTTTGCTCGATGTCGTCTTGTCAATATGAATACTCGGCATCTTGGATATTTAATACAAACATAAATATACATATGTATAGCAAATATTAATAAAGCTGGTATTAAATAATAGGCGACAATCGTATAGATTACATGTGAAGTAAATTTTTTCGGTACCCAACAGAGAGAAAATGGTCGATGTCTAATATGATCAGTAAGAATTGCCGGTAATGGTATTAATATAACTACGAACCACTGAAGAAGGATGAGAATAAAATGAGTTCTAAATGAAGTTATCCGTGGATATCGAGTCGATAGAATTGAAATGAAAAATCTTGATATGGCTTGAGTTAAATACGAATACACGACGGCTACAACAGCCATGTAACCAAAATATCCACGCCATCGACATGATACGTCATTGATTTCCCATTTTATGCACAAGAGAAAAATATAATTAACAGATTGAACTACACAATAGAATATCGACGAAATCGACGTGTTACAGATTAATAAATGTGTGACTGTATGTAATCGTCTCATGCATCCAACTAAGATTAATATTCCACACGCAATTACAAACGCTATTAGAATGCCAAATAGTGACAGAGGAATAACTATATTATAAGTTTTGAATTCTTCTAATTCATCCATCGTTGTCGAATGGGTTCGTTTGAACTGAGTTTTTAAAAGATGATCTTACGAAGAAAAAAACAATTGTTACGCAATGTGGAAAATGAATTTCATTGTCTTGATTGCAGAGGTTTAACCATTATATATATATATATCGGCTTTTATGTATAATACGCACTTAGTTGTTGGTAGAAGATTTATTTTCTCGAAACTATCGAACATATTTTTATCGATATTTATTATTTATTAGTTTATATGTTTTGCGCCGATGAAATCTATTCATTCACATATCTTGTCGAGGCATATTTCGAATAAATAAAATTTTATTGGTAATAAATTAGTTGCGTTGTATCTAGCATAGAGTTAGAATCAATAACAAGACGTATATTTGCATTGCGAGGTGACAAAAGTAGAACAATGTTTGAATCTATGAAATGTAATTATAGATTGCTTTCATTATGATTAAATTACATGAGATTGATCAATGCTGATGGCTTGTAGAATTGTATGAACGACTCATACGTAGGAGTATAACTTCACTTCATCATTTTTTTTAGAATTGAAACTTAATGGAGATTTTAATTAAGTCTAAAAGTCATACTATTTCCATCCGATTCTTTTTTTTAGACCAACAATTCTTTGTAAAAATTAGTCGGATTTAATAAATACATCTGTGATGCTGAATTTTTTTATGTTTTAAATAATTGTAATAAGAAAAAAAATTATTAATACGATTCAATGGCAGAAAAACATCATTTACTGCTATTCGTAATAGTCAACAATAAAATTTAAATATTCACAAAAATATAACTGATTGTCATAGAAAACGATTTAATTCTCTCAAACATGATGCATTTTAGGCAACGTACATTTCAATAATCCATCATATGTTTCATCTTTCAGCACTTGTATTGGATGATTTGTATGTTTTTCTTGACCGTTCAAATGAGAATCAAATGAAAACCATGCATCATCACCGGTAAGACCATCGTCGGATGAAGTTAGTGATATAAGACGTAATCGAGATGCTGTATTCTCATCTATTTTGTTATCTAGAGATGCTTGTACACTAACATCACAAACTTTAACTATTCGATGACAATCTGAACATGTAAATTGATTCGACGGATAACGATGAACACTATTCGATTTGAAGAGTGCTTCAGCAGCGAAGCGAAGACCTTCATTAGTTGTTGAAATTGAGGACATATTTTGTGTATTGTTGGATGAAGTAACAGGCATCGTAGTTAGAAATCTAGGCGGTGCAACAATGGTTGGTGGGAATGTTGGTATTAAGACACTTCGTTCCAATATAGTAGATTGATTTGAGGCTGTCTGAAATAAATTTAAAAAAAATTCATTGAAGATTCTCACAAACCGTATCGGAGAGAATTATGGTTGAGAGAGGGTTTAGTATGTTAACTTGCACAATCCATTTAAAATTGAGCGTTGGACTAGTCAGTATAAGCATACTATGTAAGTTATTGTAAAAGACGTGCTCGAACTGCCTAAGCAACTCATTGAAAATCGGTACTCACTTGACATACGTGTCGAATATCTCAATTCCTGTATACTATAAACAAACTTCCAATATACGTATTTCTCTATAGTTCGTATTGTGATGCGGACAATTTTTTCCCCATAAGATAACGAGTTGAATAGTATAATGGGTATTCTTTTTTACAGCACTGCTTGGAAAAACATTCGGATTGCTCTGTTCGAATCGAGTTAGAGTTAAGTACCAATGATATTGTAACGAGCTACTTCTTAGGCGACCCTAATACAATGCACCGGAATATCTTAACGTAGTTGTCGTAATTTTGAATTTGCCGATTGAATAATACTAATCAGTTTTGAATTAAATTCTCAACTGACTTTCACCAAAGAATCCCTACGGCACAACAATTGAGTTCCTCTCGGAAAATGGATATGCAAATTTCTCATGTTCAAACTAAGTTTTTCGTTTCATGATCTCTAAAACTTCCAGCCTACCGAATCAAATCTGTTTTTTATTTGTTCCTGAAGTTGTCCTGATTGCGTTGAAATAAATTCATTTGGATGTCGATGCAAAAGTCGAACAGCTAAATTGCAATCATCTTTATATCGTTGTTTATCAATTTGTAATTCATTAACGGTTTGTTGTAGAAATGAAATATGTTGTTTAGCATCATTTAATGATTGTTCTAATTGAGTTTTTTCATTTGAATATGTGTCAACAATTGATAGGACTCGTTCTTCTAATAAACTATTGTGCACTTGTAATTGTCCATGTACGTCAACTAATTTCAAATAACGTTCACGCATTAATTCAACTTCACGTTTGAGTGAATCGACTTGTTCAGAATTATTATTCATCTTTGAATAAATAAGAATTTTTATTTATTTATTCTATTAAATCTACTACATATTCATTTTTATTCAATATCTGTCTGTAATCGATTGACAAAAAAAAGAAATGTTATGCTTTTTCTTTTAACAAAAAATTCATCGTGAGCAAATCGTTCGAATAATTTCCATAAAACAAAAACAAAATAATTATAAATCTATCTGACTCTTCGATGTTAAATCAGAGAACTACAAATAAAAATTTTTCTTGAAAGATCTTAAATACGATGTTAAATACAAAAAAAATAATGAAAATGAGAAATATCGAGATGAAGTTTAATATCATTTAAATAGCAAAAGAGAGAAAACAAACGAGCTCGATCGTATGTTGGTATCTGACGAGCATGTTCTTATAAAATACTATTCATTAAAAAAAAATCAGAAGAAACAAATTACAGACAGAAAAAGCTCACCAGGATGAAATAGGTATTAATATGTGCTTTTTTTTCAAATTAATTAAATTCTTATCACGTAATCTGGATGTTTTTAGTTTGAAAAAAAATAATCACAAACTATTTGCGCAAGCGCGGATGACATTAGCTCATTGTAATAACCAAAATGTATAATGTACAGCAACAGCAAATAATATTTACATAGTTATATACAACATAAATACCGATAGTTAACTTAAAAATACCAAAAAAATATTTTGCTTTCTTGCTTCGTTTTTACATTGATGATTCAAAAATATTGTGGATCTGTTCGATGAACGACAGTTCGAGTGGAACAGTATATTCATATACGCCTATTGGGATTTCATGTTTGCTTAACGGATGCCATTGCCAGCCAAGGACTTGTCCTATCTAAAATAAATAATAATACGTTATTCATACGAATCTCTATGGTATTATATAATGCATTCGTTAGGTTCTTCACTCGGATTACTGTATCGACCTACTCTGTTCTTCTATCAATACGAAATGAAAACTTCTATGGCTCGTATAAAATACAATTATAGCGTTGAAACTTGAGAAGGCCTTTTAAGGTTATCAGAAACTTGATGGAGCAAAAACTCATTTTAGACTCCACAAACATTGTTTCAACTTACAATTGTTTGAATACTATTTGTACAAATTCCATATTGTATGAAAGCATCATTTCCATCTTCGTCCTCAACGAATTGACGATTCATTTGTAAATGTCCATACTGTAATGTCATGACACAGTCAGCACAGACATTTAATCGACGTAGCTGTGGGCGTAGTTTAGCAATAGCAAGTAAATTAACTTCTAATACTTCGTAACCTAAAACGCAAAAGATTAAGAATAACGATAGGAAACTAAAACGACTGAGAAAATTACCCAAAATTGTAAGTGAAGTAAGTTTTTTACATTGCCAAGCTAATAAAACAAGTGGATCTGGTTCAGCACGAAATAAATTATGATAACGAAGTGCTGGCTCTGTGACACTATCAATAACATCGAGACATTCTAATGTTGAACGATAATGAACAGATAAATAACATAATAAATCAACATTAAGTGATGAACAAAAATACATTCTAAATATGGAATTAATTCAAGATTTTTGAAAAATTAGTTGAAAAAAATCTATACCTCAAATGAGACAATGGCATCCCCGGACGAAGTACACGGGAATATTTTCGAAATGTTTCATGTGCATTTAACATATGTACAGCGACTCTTAAATTTGGCATAATACTAGCTATCGAATGCCAAACAGTTTCATCGATAGGTTGTGTATCCGACCGAAATTCGCAGACATGCACAATTAATCTAAAAATTAGAAATTATTTTATTTTTCAAGAAAAAAAAGGTCATACCGTTTTAACGATGCTGATTGTTGTACTAAACAGTGTAATAATTCATTTGTGAAGTATGTGGCATCAATGCTTAATGTATTTAATGAAGAGAATGGAAGAAAGGACTGACTTGATAAATATATATCTAAAGAAGAAAAAAAATCATCATCAAAAGTTACTTTAAGCTCTATTCAATCCGTTCTGAATGAGATTTTACATAGGAATTAACCCTCGCTCTCTGTCATAACTTTTCCTAAGATATATGTCCTAGATTAGCAGCAGTAATTTTCTTTTTTCTATATTTCAATCTCATCGACATTGAATTGGTAGCATCTGCAATATGACATTTTAGACTGATGTCAAATAACAAAAAAACAAATCGTTGAGCTGCATATAGATCTAACTTTCCCGAGGCATAGCTATGTGTTCTTTCGTTCTGTGATTCTAAAATTAGCCTTACTCCGATCTTGATAACATGACATGTACGAGTACCATAAACAAAGCTCTGATTGGTTAGACATACGGGAAATTGATTGTTTTTGTCCCAAATCACGAAACAACAGATGTCTATGTCTAGACGTAGGCGTTCTGTTGTCTAACGCCCACATTTATGTTATCGAAGGATTTACATTGTTTTATTTTTTTGTAAATCACTTCGACTTTTTAAATAAAGGTTGTCTCGAGTATTCTTATAGAAATGAGTGTGAGTTACTCCGCATTCTTTTTCTTTTCTGTTGAATTAATAAAAGGTTAAAATATGTCTCGAAGTGAAAGTCGATAATTAAAAGGAATTTTCAGCATTTATTGTCTTTCTACTTTTCTTGAAAATTCTATTCGAGCGGAAAAAATATTGAGTCGATTATTAATTTTAACTTACCAGCTATAGAATGTGTTTCACTACTTTTAATTGACGCTAAATGAAGTTGCTGAATAGATTGAGATTGCTTTTGTGCTAAAACGTGAACTATTTCTTCGATGCGAAATAAACTTTCGAACCAACAACCAAATGAAATTATTTCCATAGCTTGATTTGATTCAACAATTTGTTCGAGTAGATGATAAATCCTAAAAAAAAGCCCGTTAAACTTTTGTTTTTGAAAAGAAAAAAATTCCTACTTATCACAAAGTGGTATAAATGGTTGTTCATTTTCTGCTAATGCACAACGTGTACTGGTTGGACGAAATATTAAAATTTTAATTTGCCTATTTGTACATGAAAGTGTATCAAGTATCTGTAAAATATTTTTTATTATGTTAATGTCGGTTGGATCAAAACGTATTTCTATGTAGCGTGTTATACTGAGAAAATTATTTGTTAAATAACGAAAAGATTGAATATCATTATGACGATCAATGAGATTTAAACGAAGACATCGATATGGAATAGATGACCATAATTTTGGATGATATAATACATTGCGCCATGATGAGCATGTTGATGAAGCTGTTAGAAGATCGTTGTGTTTTAAATAAGAAAAAATTTCGACAAGAACTATTTGGGGTAATTCAGAATAATCATACGAAAATACCATAATCAGTATTGTGAGTTAGAGCAAAAAAAAAGTCAATGAAAATAAGTTTTATATGTTATTTATATATAAAGTAAGAGGAACTGTTGTTTGTGAGTCATGACAAAAATACAGAGAGAAAAGAAAAAAATGAAATTACACGCGCGACCTTGATAGGGTAGATCAGCTGAGTACAGCAATCAACGACAATAGATGTCACTTATCAATGGTCGAACTATTTCATTGGTCTATTTTTATTTTGCTTCGATTTCTTGTCCTAATCGGTACTATTAATATAATAAAGCATAGAATTTTACGAGAATTATTCATTCTAGCTTACCATAATTTAAAGGATCTACTTGGCTTGCAAAATGTCTCGAAGGGAGCATTAAAACTGAATGGATTGTTGCATATCAAGAGAGTCAGACAACATGTTAAATGATGTCTTGTCAAGCGAACAAATGTGCGTTGAGATATAATCTTTTCACAATATATAAAGCATTGAAATAAAACTTGTTTTTTTTAAATGTGTTACGAATATAGTAGCTACGTAGCTCTCTATTACAACAGAACACGATAAAGCTATGCTCCTTTATATAAAAAACTTTGAACATGCCATTCATTCAATGCTCATTTCGAATACACACTTGTCCCGTAGAAATATCAACTAAATCTAATGACATAAATCAGAAATATTCCTCTCACGAGTAACTCGTAAAATCAACACTGTTCTAATCGTTATCATAGTGTGATACAAAATCATTTATGACATTTGAAAAATGTTATTTTCTATAAAGACTATTAAAGAAATCATTATAGTCAAAGTTCGTTGGTGGGCCAAACGTACCCATAACATTGCCGTTAGCTTTCTAATACAAAGACATGTGATCATTAGCAAGACAATAGTCTATTGCTTATTCACAAAAGAAATTAATTCATATAAGCAATTTTTTTTTGAATATATTTAGGCAAGAATAGACTACTGTGATTTGCATAGTTGACATAAAGAAACAAAATCGCTGCGATATTTTTATGAAGACTTTTCTGAAGAAAATGGCTGCTACTTTCAATTAGTGCACTAATTATATTTGGACTATTAAATGGTCCAACTCAAATGCTCACTGGGCTGATTGCAAAGTCGTCTTAGTTCTCTTTCAGGATACGTTGTTTTTTCTCAAAAATTAGGTGTGATATTTGCAAAGGCAATATATTACAATCGAACTAGTTACAACTCCTGCGAGCCTAAGAACAGTATCTCGGAACCAATTGAAATCATAATATTGATATCGAATAATGTTTTCTATATATGATCTTGATTTTAATTAATGAAAAGCCTAGTTTTCAAAAAACTGTTTTGGATAATTCTCTGCAATACTCCATCCGATTCTTATACATCGATGTATTATTCGTCTGGATGAAATGTCAACAATTATCAAAGCTAAACACTTCTGTTTATTAATGTACGGAACGGAAATACGTTACTTTTCTTTCTTACGCAGAAACGATACAAAAATAGCACAAGAAAGCTTGTCAAGACCGAGACCAAATAAAGAAGAAATTGTGTCCGACGTATTTATCTTATAAATCATATCGAACAAAAACTAAGTTCACAGAGATAGTACACTCGTCAAAGTAATCTTGATCCTAAATTTTATCGAATTTTATAAACACGTTTATGTAGTCCCAGTAACCAATAAAGATTTAATTTATTAGTTATATTTTATCGAAAATTTTTTTAAAAATGTATTTAATAAAAGATCATTCTTGTACGAAAAAGTGAGTGAAAATCTAGTATTTTCCTTTCGTTCTTTACAACTCCATCAACTAGAGAGATTTCATTGGCGTGCTCTCCTATTTCCCCCTTTTTTTTAGGGTAAATCTGATAAGAGCAAGAAAAGCTAAAGCTTGAAAAATTCTTCTCTTGTTGTTTTCTTATTCTTCTATTTATATTCATGGTTGAGTTGAAGTAAAGGAAACAAAACAGTAAATCTCTTGTTTTATTTCTTCTAGATTTCGTTGTGCTGTTAATTCACCAGTGGATATTAACAATAGTGGAAAACCTGCAAAAAAGCTGAGTGAAAGTCTATTTATCTATTCCTCAACGTAAGACATTCACTATGAAAATCAAGTTTTTGCTTTGTGTTTTTCAATTCATCGTTTAGTATGCGTCAATATTTATCTGCTGATAAAGAAAAAGAATTAATTGAAACTGCTAATACTCTCATGGCTAAAGGCAAAGGTTTACTAGCTGCCGATGAGTCTACAGGTAGACGAAATGAAAAATATTCTATTTAATAAAATATTTCTTAGCTTCAATGTTAAAACGTTTTCAATCGATTGCTCTTGAAAATAATGAAGAAAATCGTCGTCTTTATCGTCAATTATTATTTACCGGTTCAAAGGATCTTGCTGATTATATATCTGGTGTTATTTTCTTTCATGAAACATTCTATCAATGTGATAATAATGGGAAACCATTTCGAGAAATATTAAAAGAAAAAGGCATCATTCCAGGTATTAAAGTTGATAAAGGTCTCGTACCCTTGGCAGGTACCAATGGAGAAAATACAACACAAGGTCTTGATAGTTTAAGCGAACGATGTGCACAATACTATCGAGATGGAGCGCGTTTTGCTAAATGGCGTATGTGCTCATCAACGAGTCGTGCACCTTATAACTTTTTTTGTTGTAGGATGTGCGTTGAAAATTGGCGATGATTTACCATCGGAATTATGTATTCGTGAAACATCCAATGTATTAGCACGTTATGCATCTATTTGTCAACAAGTAATAAGAAAATTTTCTTTTTTCTGCGGATTTCGAACGGACTGATAGTGAAAAAATATGCTACGAAAAGAGCTACGATGAAATAATCGTCTTGAAGTTAGTAAGGGAATGCGATAAAAGAAAATTGTTTTTCTTCTAATTATAGAATGGCATTGTTCCAATTGTTGAACCAGAAGTAGGATTTAATCGATTTTGAAAGACATTTATTTATAATTGACATATTCTAGGTCTTACCAGATGGTGATCATGATTTGGGAACATCTCAATATATTACTGAAAAAGTCCTGGCTGCGACATATAAAGCGCTGAGTGAACATCATGTTTTCTTAGAAGGAACACTTTTGAAACCAAATATGGTTACAGCTGGTTTGTTAAAAGATTTCCTTGTAATAAAGAAAAAAAAACGACGGATTTGAAAACAATAGGATTTGATTGTAAGAAAAAATATAAACCAGAAGATATAGCTCGAGCAACAGTGACAGCATTACAAAGAACCGTTCCACCTGCTGTGCCAGGCATCTGTTTCTTATCCGGTACGATTTGTCTGCTAATTAGTATAGGAATATGTCATTGCAAATTTTTCCGTTCTCAGGTGGTCAATCAGAAGAAGAAGCATCAATTAATTTGAACGCAATCAATCAATATTCAGGCAAAAAACCATGGGCATTAACATTCAGTTATGGACGAGCACTTCAAGCTAGTGTTCTTACTCTATGGACTGGCAAATCTGAAAATGTTTCGGCAGCACAAAATCAACTTCTTAAACGTGCTCAAGTAAACTTGAATATCTGAGAAGTTTCTTTTTTATCGCATGATTTTTCTACGTGAATGTTGTAGGCTCATGGTGCTGCTGCAAAAGGTGAATATAAAGGTGGTGCTGGTGGTACAATCGGTGGCCAATCATTATTTGAAGCTAATCGAAATTATTAAACACTTGCGAAATATTTATTTTCCTACTTAACTTTTCTATCGTTTCAAATGGTGCGTCTTGCGTTGTCTAGTAAGCGAAGTATCAAAAAATCGTCTAGCTCGTGGAGTTTTCGTTTTTTGCATTTGAATTTATTTGTTAAATATTTATGTACGAATCAATTCGAGTCAGCAGCAGGTTTTTATTCTATTTTTTAAATCAATATAAAAATGGAGAGACACAAAATCATCCTATAAATTCATGTTGCTCTTAACGAACAATTGCATTTACATTAGTAGAAATATAAAAATTTTCAAAAAGGCACAAATTTCTTCACCGTTGAATTTGAAAAACACGGCCAATTAACAAAAATATTTCATTTGATGATTTCGTTTTTCTCTTCCTATTAACTAAAATCCGTCTGATTTCTTTATTTCCAATGCAAGATAATCATACACCGAGGTGATGTTTCTCAATCTGACTTTAACATTTTTCTCTCAATTTCTGTTTGAGAGTTGCCAAAAAATTTCTGTTGCTCACATTAAAATCTATAAAGCTTTGTTCTCTTTGGAAATGAAAGCGACCAGTTCTTTTTACAAAAAACGTTGCACCATCCGTTATTTCACATTATTCTATCAAAAGAGTAACAGAATTTGTTAAATGATAATACTCTTCCAATGAAACAATGCTCGTTGTAATGGTGACAAGTTTATTTGGTGTTAAAACGTGAAAATGATAATTTCTCTATGTTGTACTAATGCGATGACTTGCCCATCTGACACCCATTCTCGTTTTTCTCTCTCTTTTTTTTTCGTCTTCTCCTCTACATATGACGGCAAGACTAAATGACTAGTGTGCTCTTTTTTTCCTAATAGTTTTGTCTCTAATCGATTAGACACTTTAAACATTGAGGCATTTTGTTTTTTTCATCTGCTCATGAACGACATATCCTCACAACGATCTCGTTATTCAATGAAACTGATCGGTGGGGTATTTCATTCATTAGCATCATAAAAAATCATCATCGATACGAAGGTAAAAGCGTAAATTATATTTCCTTAATACATTAGCACACTGTGCAATATTTTTTTTTTGAAAAATTGATTCATTTATTTATTTTCTCTTTCTTTTTTGAAAATAAAATCAAAAACATGTATCATCTCTTGGTTCACATTTAAATGCAGAAGCAAATTCTGGCATGTGGAGAAGTGCAGTATTTAATGCTAATCGTTCATCATACACACCTAATTGTGTTCGTAATATTTGTAATAAATCTGCACGTTGATAACATTGTGTTTGAGCATAGGCAAGAAAAAATGTTTGTTCACTTGTTAGATTTGTAGCAGGCATAGTCAATGATTTTAAATCATCCTTATCTTTGAATGCCATATATGCAAAACGAAGAGCACCAATATGTCGAAGAGTTGTTGGAGAAAATGGTTCACCGGCAAGTTGAACTAACACTTCTATGCCATAGATATTAAATGAAAGCGTTTTTATTTCACGTACATAATAATCAGTTATACATTGGCGACTTTTATTATATGCGTTGGCTGTTTGTACTGACCACCAATCAGGTATTAGTGTTCCAGTAGCTGAATATACACGACCTAAAGACGATGGAATATTCTTTTGTTATAGTTTAGATTGGATAAATTCAATTACCTTCTGGTCCATCGATACTAGAGAAAAGTTTTTCTGCAAGTAGAACACCTAATGAACCCATATTCATAGCCCTATGAAAATTTTAGATAAAGAAAGCATCATTTTATTGTTTCAACTGAACTAAAGTGGAAATATTCATTAAGAAAAATGAATTTGATCGAGTTTCCGTGCGCTCAACTGTAAAACAATCGATCTAGTAGTTTCAAAATACTCTTGTTCTTGCGAATAAAATCAAAAATTATTACCATGGCCATTCAGTATTAACAAGTGGTTCATTCATAACACTTGCAATAACAAATAGTCGATTAAATATTGCAATATAATCATAGAGCCGATTTGTTCGTGTTTCAAAAAAATCCCAATGGTCAAGTTGGCCGGGATTTTGCAGTGAATTTCCGATAGCCCAACTACGAAATTGATGATAACTATATGCATTTTCCAAATGAGATTTATCACTGACAGCAAACTAAAGATAGAACGTTCATTTCAAATAAAGATTCTATTCAAGAGTAAATACATACTCGTGCATAATATTCGTCAAGACGTGAATCATTCGAAGCAATACTAGCATAACCAATAGCAACTGTGAGTGCATCGATTTTTTCTCGTGCTACTCTCTTTGTTATTTCATCAGTCATCCATGTTGCTTTTGCGTTAACATAATTGATAAATGCAGTTTTTAAAGCATCAAACAGTTTTTGAACCTAAAATTTAATGAATAAAAGAAAAATTTGATTGAGAAAAAAGTGTTTTTTGTTTGTTTTTATATACAGTTTCAATAGTGTCCATACGTGCAGGTGAGTCCATCGTATATAAACGTTGAATAGCAAGCGGAAATCTTCGTTCCACTTCACGTGTACAATAAGCTTCGTTTGTTGCATGTATTGCATAGTTATAATATTTATCACGAAATACTCGATAGGCATGAATATAACTATATGAAAGATCTTCGATATATGATTGAACAAGTCTCCATCGCATATAATTATGAATACGTCGAGCATATTCCGGACTAAGTTTTGAAAGCAAACATCAATAAATAGAAGAAATCAATCGAAAAATGATATTATTCTATACTCATCATTTTTTGCTAATAATTCAAATGCATCATCAAAATACATTTGATTTGCAAGGTAAACAAGTGTTACACCTGATACTAAAGTTGGATCGCCTAATTCGTGAGTCATTAATTCAACAAAATCAAACTAAAAAAACGAGATTTCTATCTTGTATAGTAATATTCAATTTTTCTATTACTGAATATCGGTCTGACATTGCTTTAAAAGTTATTGACACTGGCCGATCACCGTTGTCGATACTACGTTGGCGACTCTAGAAAATATGGTTCCAAACAATCAGTTAAATAGTTTTCTGTTATAGACATACTATGGCTAAGCGTGTTTCAATATCCATTATATCATCAATAATTGTATAAATACGATCAAAAAGATTTCCATCCTTGATTTCATCATCTTGAGCAAGAGCAGTTAATATGTCCAACATATATGCTTTATAAGCAGAACGACGCTAAAACATTCAAATTCATTTATAAAAATGACGCTACTATTTCTCGTTACAAACAGATGAAATGCATTTTTTTGCTCGGAAATAGGTCTCTTTTTTGGTACATAAACTGTTAGATATTTTATTCCGAAAACAAAATATTGCAGTGAGAGAGAGAGAGAGAGAGAGAGAGAGAGAGAGTCTATAAGGAAAGATGTTCAATACAACTTACTCTATTTGCATTATCATCAATGCCAATATAATCATTTACTTCTAGTGTTAAACCCGATGGGTACACCTACAAGATAACAATCGAAAAATATACTTTTTTTCTATGATCAATTGTATACTTCAAGACGTTTAGCATTTGAATTTGTATCATCGAATTTGACTCCTAAGCCAAATATAACACTAGCACCTAGAAGAGATATTTTATGAAAAACAAATGAATTCAAGGATTTGTTGTTTTACCAAGATCCCCGTGAATATGTGACATTTGTTTAGGAACAGTTTGAGTTTTTAATAAAAATTCTTGACTAGCACCTTCGGCACTATTATCAAAAAGAAACCAACCATCGATTGTATCATTATCTTTTATTAAATCTACCATTGCTTTACCACTATCACCATTACGTGCATAATCATCAACACATTCTGTATAATAGGTCTAAATAACACGATGAAGAATTTCATTTTTTTTCTCATAAAATAATTAGTAAAATGCAAACTTTAACTTTCCATTCCCAACTTATTGGAGATCCACGAGAAACAGGCGAATCAAGAAGACGTTCAATATCTGCATTACGCCGATTAATGATATCCCCAAGTACGGTGCGTTCGGTTTCAAATGATTCGATTGGATGAGTTTGCTGCCAAACACCACATGCATATTTGTAAAAATCTGTACAACGATCAGCAGACGCTGCCTTATCCAATGATCTTAGTTGATGCGTTGCTGCTGAGAGACATCCTCGATTCTGACAGTATTGATTGACATCGCTACTACCATTGTCATTGTTATTTTTTTTATGATTTGTCGCTTGAACAATAACAGTAATTAAAAGTGCCGTGGAGAGTAGACCAAGAAATATTAATCCAGCACCAAAGTGGTTCCTGTTTATTTTACGTCCGAAAATTATCAATTCACTGCTCATTCTTTTTTTTTTGTTTTATTACTATTCGTCCTACCGTCTCTTTATTCTACTGATAGGAAGACAACATTAAATATGGCTTTGCTAACAGAAGAGATAACGTTTAAGTGAATATATTTTTTTGACTTTTTATTTACGAGCCTTTTTGTTTATCTATCATACAGATAACAAGAAATGTTTCATTTCAAAGTCTTTACATACTTCATTACAAGTATTAAATATCTACTCGACATTTTTTTGATATTAAATGAGTTCTACATCTTTGTGAGAAAATAACTTGAGAAGAACGCGCGCCATTAAGAAGTTGTTTGGCTACCAAAAACTACCTTCTATGGTCACGAAATGAATCTTTCCATAAAAATCAATTCTATTAGATTTACCCAGAAAAAGAAAAGAAATTTTATTTTAAACAATAAAAAAAGATGATGTTCTATTTATTCAAGTTCCATTCCGCAACAGCGCGGTCTTGCTGCTCCACCTGAGATCCAACAATCAAAGCAGATATTTAATGCCACAGAATCAGTGAATCCTGATGCTGTTCCTGTTCCTGTTGGTTTTGGTCGAGGCTGTCTACAAACAACACATTGAATGGAATGCGGATAACCACCTGAACCATGTTTTTGACAAAGACGAGCTTCACGCTTAAAAGGATTTCCTTGCGACAGATTTCCTCCCATAATCATGTTTGTACAGATTAAACATGAACTTTTAGCCATTGTAAATGGCCCTAATTTAAATTGCATGGCACAAACATTACATAAATAAGCACGTTGATTAAGCATATCGTCGGTAAAAGGCAACATCCTAGTACAACGACGTCTCTAAATAGAGCAAAAACATAACAATATAGTACTCATTATTCTATTCTATAATGGAACTCGTTTCAGAAATAAATATTTTTACGCGTAAATATGCATATCGGTCCATTCGATCAACACCACGTGATTGTGATGAACGTAAATATTTAACTAGTTCGCTGTACATCTGTGCTTTTTCATAATGATATGGTACACGACGAGCAGCAAAATCTTTAATCGTTTGATTTTTTAAATAAAAATCAGCCATGAAACCATGCAGCGAACGTAATTCATCTGTATTTTCTTTGAAACAACGTTTTTGTAAAATCTATTAAAAAATAAAAGCATATTATCTCCACGAATATCCTATAAAAATATAAACCTGTTCAAGTGATGCATGTCGATAAATAATAAGCTGATGGCCATGTATCCATGTTGTATCAAGAAATGTTTTCAACTGGCGTCGTAATGTTGACCATATCATTCGATCGATCAGAGTTTTATCCTTTTCACCGCTAGTTTTATTCATATACTGTTGAAGCATATTCACTATATCAGATTCAAGTATGCCAACATTTGATATGATTAATAATTTGAAAAACTAAGAAAAACAATATTTAAGTTATTTTAAATTCCGATGAAAATTTGACGTACAGCATCAACAAGTGGTTTACTATCAACAACTGTATAGACTTCATTTAGTAATAGATTAAGTAGGTCTTCAATTCTTTGCGGATATTTTGCAAGGCGTTTTGTTACAAGTGAATAATCACCAAATTGACGAAGATCTTCGCATATATAAGATAAATAGAGAGCATGTTCACCACCTGGATTGTTTACAAGTATGCCTTTTTGTTCAGGCTCAAGAGTCTATTTAATAATATTAATACAAAATGAGTGTTTTCACAAGCAAATAGCATTCTCTTCTTGTACTATTTTAACTTAGGGAATTCTTCTATGCAGATGTGCAAGGACTCTTAATTTATTACATGTTATCGTCTATAGAGATACTTCAGTATCAATGTCATCAAGCCGTAAATATATGCAATTTAAGGTAGACTCGACATTTAAATGCAACGTACAATAAAAGAGCATACAAAACGTCACATGCATAAATAAGAATAATAAAAATTCTTCTACGATTAAATAATGAGACCGATATTAACAGTCTATTGGCAGATTTTTTTATGGCTTACAATAAAAATTAACAAAGAGCGACTATACGAGACAGACCGATCGAAGTCTCTAAGGAAATCGTTTCATTAAAATTCTTCATCATGAAATCAAGATCAAAATATTCAACTCAAAAACCGTCGATATCTATATATTTAACATAATAACCTTTCTGTCCATTGATAGCAAAGAAAATAAAGTCATCTACCATTCTTTTTATTTTTCTCATTTGCATCATATAAACTAATCTTTAAAGTATATCAAGAACGACTAATAGTTTCTTCTGTGCAACATGTAAAAACGTAAATGGCAAATCTTTTGTCAAGCATATGTTATTATCAATAAAAACACTTTCTAACTTACTAATATATCAATCAAATGGATGAAGAAACCGCAAAAAATTCTCAGAGCAATTTTTCAGTGGACATAAATAATTTCAATCGTAATACAGAATTCGGTAGTCGTCCAAACAAATCAATTGATTATAGTGATATTTCTGAAAAAATGATTGATTTTACTCGACCAACGCCAAAAATGACTACACCGACTGCTATTCGCTTAAGTACCATAGACGAAGATGAAGATGATAAAGTTGGATTAGCAAAACTTAATAATAATTTTGAAAATTATCTCACTAAAGTCAAAATTCTAGCCAACATCAATATTGATCTTCGTCAAGAGATTGTTAATGTTTTACAAAGCAATGCGGAAGAAGAAAAGTCTAATTCGTTAGAGATTAAATTCAATCATTTACGCCAAGAATTAAATGATGAATTAAAACGATTAGTATCGATCTATGTACGTTTACAACGTGCTGATTACGATAAAAAATATTATTATCATAAAATTCGATCATTTTCAAATTCGGATCAACTTCAAATAGTGACACAACAACTTGATTCGAGTGTATATGAATTAAATCTATTAAAACAACAATATGTGCAACAAGAAGAAAATTTACAAGTAAAATAACTTCGTAAAGACTTAGTCTTTTTGCCCGGATAGATTATCGAGTGAAAGTTTCTTATCATTACAAAACTTCAAATATACGAGCAGTTCATTTTGTTTAGACATGCAAAAACCAATACAATGATTATATGAAGAGATTAATTGAATACGCAAACGATTACAATAAGATAGCTTATGAACGCGCACAAACGGAAAATTCTCTTTATACTCTTAATGAACAGTTAATATTCGAACAGGAATACAACAATCAATGTATACAAGAATTGAGAAGTTTAGAAAAAATCCAACAAGATTTAAATGATCATTTCAATAAAACTGAATTTGATAATATAATTTCTAAAATACGGTTTGTATTTATCATTTACAATGAAACTTTCGGTTCTAGCTTTTTTTCTCTGCACTTCTTTCAGTCAAGACTATCAACAGTATAACCAAATTCAATTATCGGAATTAGAAGGTTACTATAAAATAAAACTTGATTTAGTTCAATACAAATTTCATGACAGCGTCAAAGAAAATAATGCCGAAGAAATACAACAATTGCAAGAACAAAACAAATCGCTTCAACAAAAATTAAGTAAGTTTCTTTTTCTTTCTCTGCAAAAAATCCCCTTTGCTTTTCTTTTCAAGCTCAACTCGACAATAATTTTCAACATGTCATCGAACGAAATCGACAACAATACGAATTATTAAATGATGATCATTATGATTTAGAAGTAGAAATCTCTGAAATAGAATCCTTAATATTACAATCAAGGAATAGTGCCATAACACTTTCGTCTGAAATAAATACCTATCGATGTTTACTCACTAATCTCGCTCCATCATTTCAACAGCCAATTAAATCTTCGACACATAAACAAAAACCGGACAATTTTACAGTTCATTATAAAAATGGATTACTGTGTGTTCGAATTTAGTATTAGCATGTCTTGTTGCTTTTTCTCTTCAAAACTTACTTTATTAAAACGATTAAAAAATAATTCAATGTATGCTTGACGTTGTTCACTTGTGAATGGCTCCAGTTGAAGTTCATAGTGAGAATAATTACAGATTGATTCATATAATTTTGATTTTGTTTCACAACTTATTACAATATATGTATGCTCAGTCATTAATTCCGAAAGACTATTAAATGGAAATTCTTGTCCATAGAGGCGAGTTTGATGAACATCACCCTAGGAAATAGTTTCTTCTTAATAGATGAGATCGGCGTGCATATTTACTTTATCTAATCCATCAACAACAATAAAAAGTGGAATCGATAAAAGTTCAATAGCATCTGGTAAAAACGAGTCATCGGTTATTTTAAGTCGCTCATTTGTTCGCGGAGAAATGATGTTATTGTCGGCTAAATAAATACAAAAAGAAAATAAGATGTTATTTATATTTCTCATTTTGACTTATATTTACCGAGATATTTATCTAATTTTTGTTTTAAACTAGTCAACATAAAATGACTAGCTTGAGCATGAAATGCGCCATCGAAAAAGTAATAAAACAGCAAAAATTTGCTTTGCTGTGTCTCCTATTAGATATACGTATTGAAATAGTGAAACATGTCGATTTAAAAGATTTACTTCGATGGTTAACACGAATTTCCCAAGTAGCATTGTTTTTCCATCACCTGATCGACCTGTTAAAGCCATTAAAGGTTGAGCATTTTTCTTATTTGAAGGTTCTCCTAAGAAATTTTGCTAAAACATGATTTGCTTTTCAGTTTAGTTACCATCGATTAATGAAAAATCTTTGTGATCTCCAGTGATGTATTTGAGTAAAGATGCGAATTCTTTAGGTCGATCAACAAAAATTTGAGTTTTATTAAGAAGAAATGTGTTAATTTGTTGTTGTTCTAGAAATTTGATGAATAGAAGCGAGTTTTTCTCGACGATCCGTCAAATTTACCTGGATCCGATCGATTAGTGTTATTAAAATTACTTGGATACCATTTTTTAATAGCTTCAATTAAAAATTTTTTCGTTTGCTCTTCAAAGTCGTTTAAACCATCAATTTTGACCTTAAATAAAAATTTATTTAGAAAAGCAAAGATTCACGATTGTCTTCTTCCTACACGTTCACGTCCACTAGATGAATCGAGACCATCGTAAAGGCAATCATAATGAACAATTTGTTCGGGAGCAACAATTCGATGTAATTGATTTCGTAATTCTTGTATTTGATTTTGATTGTATTCATCTTTATCTTGAAATCTATCTGTGTATTTATCTGGAATGCTTTTAAGAATATTTTCTGAGTTTCGTATTAAAAATAATGCATTTGGATTTTGCGTACGCAACGCGCCATGAATAAATTCCATCAATGTTATCGATGCTCCTTCAATCCAATGGTATCGTTTTGTTATATTCGTTGGTAATTCATCGAGCCTTGGAACCCAACCGTACCTGATGAGAACAAAAAACAATTATATTTTTTTTTCATCTAACTGTGGAAAATAATGACGCACTTATCACTGACGAGACCAATAAAAAAAGGTTGGCCATTATCGTCAAAGCAGCGATCAAGTTCTTCAAGACACGTTAATATTGTTTGTTCAGTTGTTGAATCTTTTGGAACCTGAGTTAAGATAAATATATTAATATTTATTGCAGCAAAATTTTATTAATTCTTTTTTTAGAATAATTTTACTTACACCCCAACGAAGATCACAATCGATTATTTGAAGACCTGCTGGTTCCATTTCATCACGTAACGCAGGAAACACCTTTCATTTCAAGATAAAAACAACGAACAATGCAGTAATATACATGATAAATATTTCTTTTACTTTTTTAATAAGCACTTCTCGTTCGTTAAAAAAATCTGTAAATGTCGATGAAACAAATATTCGTACAACTTTATTCGGTGCATTTTGATTTCCATGATCATCATTGTGTTCTGAAGTTTGATTGGCAATGTGCTGATGTAGTTTATTCCAAAAGTCGTCGACACCTATTGGTGACGATGATTCATATTTTAAATCGATGTTGGTAGCACTTAAGGATGAACTAGGTGCGCGGCTGTCTTTTTCCAATGGACGAATTGGTTGTGTAATTGGGGGTAATTTACGAAAATTCTTACGAATATGAACTGTAGCTCGAAATGGAAAACGTTGGTGTGATTTAGTTGGATGAGACATTACTAAAGACAAGAAAAAAATAAGAAGGACTAAATGGCGACAGAAAGAAGAAAAAAAATTACCTCATGTAATTCTTCTGTTGTTAACAACCGGAGAGAAAAGAAAAATTTTGTCAACCTAGCAACTTTTTTTTCTATTTTTTTTTACAGAATTTCATACTATATAACGAAAGCTAATTTCACAATAAGATTCAGCGTGTGTGAAAGAAAGTTTTTTGATTAAAATATATCGAATGTGTGAGTTAAATATGAGACATATAGAATTTCGTTGTCAATTTAAAAGATGAAATGAGCATCATAATTTCTCAGTTGATGAAATCAATGCCCATATCATTTGTGGATATGTATTACAACTGTCGCTGTGTGTAACTTTTCATTTCAAAGTATGGTTTCGCATCAGATCTATGTAAAGGAAAGCCTACATTTTATATTCTCTAACTGATCAAACACTAGCGAAAATGCTGCTGTCGTATTACGAGTTTTTGAAACCAATTTTGTTAACTACTTCGTTTGGCTTAGTACAAACGGTTGTGTTCATGCAAAGAGTTCTATATTATTTCTATTAGAACAAGACATTCACAGCAAGATGAGATCTTGTCTGCTTATGATATAGTTTTTGCTGAATAAATATCATAATAAATACAATAATAGATGATATGATTATGATTTATAACTATATGAATCGTAAGAATGGGATTAGAATCGAATATTTGTTCAGAATTATGAGCGTATTAATTCGGAAGCACTGCCAAAATCGATTTCATGATTTTTATGTGTATTTTGTTTGCTATACGAGAATGTAAGATCAAATCATAGCATGCTACAGCTATTTTTCAAGGGAATTCCGCCAAGACTGAGATTTATTTAATCTTTTATACTTTTTGAAAGAAGTTAGCATCTATTTTGTTTATATTTATATTCTAAGTTATTAAAAGTATTAATTAATCAACTTGACTGTTGACTTCGTCTCAATTTTATTAAATAAACTGAATAAAGTAGAAGTATACCGCATGCAGATCGCTATTGTTTGAAAAACAATCGGTAACTATCATCTACTATATCGTTGGATAAATTTAAGGTGTCATCTGAAATGATAGCAATGTCCTTTGTCTAATGCTAATTATGTTACTAAATTCAGTTTGGGAGACATTTTTGTAGCTAAAAATATGATATTATCTTTGTTTTTGAAATATCTATAAATACATTCGAATAAGAACATCCTACGAATAACTTACTAACTCTATTAAAATCTATAGATTTAGTCTGATACTATTGATAAGTTTAAGGGAATCATATTATGATTTCGTGTCAATCTTTCAAATTTGTAACCACAAATATCTATGAAAACTATACAAAATATATAATTTTATCAGATAGTAATATATTCAGTGTACCCTACTTTGGTCGAAAGTAAAAATATCGAAACATTACAAATTATTATTATGTGTATAAAAGCAGATTTAATACTTTTTGCCAACGAAATACGTTTTATTCATCGATTACATCGAAATTTTGGTTGAAAATCATCATCGAATTTTATAAAGAGCTATACTTTAGCCGCAAATGTTCTTCTATCTATTTCTTTTTCTTTTGTATCAACAACTAGTGATAAACCAGAAATTGCATTTGACGAGTTTATCAACAGGATATATGAGTGTCATTGCAGGGCAAGGAGGAAAAGGCGGATTCCTGGTTCCGGGTTCCCAGGCTTCCCATGGGATTTCGGGATCCTCGGAATTTTTATAATAACAAATGACATTTCAGAATTTCATATTTAACCTCTACAATCCTCACTCTAGTCCTGAAAATCTGATAGAACTCAGTGTCAATGCTTCATTGCTTTACCAAATGGCTTGAAAAGCTACACACAACTATTGAGAAAAATCATTTCCTAGACGAACGTTTTTTTTTCATATGCTTGACCTGTTCAGATATCAAGCGTATGGAAGAAAGAATTTCATTAATGTCGCGATTAAAAGCACTAGATATAATTCCTCAGGTCAGAATTATAGCCAGGAGAAAAATATTCGGTCTGGAAAGTGATTGGAACTCCAAACTACGCTTTTTTACATAGATTTTTTTTCTTATAGGCATGGAATGCGCAACCCTCAAGATTTGCCCACAGCACATGACACTCTTGCTCCAAATGCTCATGTATTTCATGCGCATGCCCCAAGATAGTTCACTAGGGTTATCTATTTTAAAATTCTAGGCACTTAACCTAATTAGACTGGTATCGAGTCCGTTTTGGCAATACGACAGTTTAACCCAGGTCGAACATTCCGGCCATCGGATCCCGTAGGATACTCCAGAAAATCTGCGGGAAAGTCACCATATCCTGCAGGAAAACACGGAAAATTGCTGGAACCCGGAAGCAGTATTCCGGTCAAAAATACGGCAGGGCTTTTCCGGCGGATTCCTGCCAAACTCTGGTGCTTTCCGGCAGGAATTGATCGGAAATCACCGGAAAAATCCGAAAATTTTCCAACCGGAACACTGCTTCCACAAAATCAACGGAACTAACCAGAACCGGTCGTTTCCAGGCCGGACTGCTCGACCTGGGTAGTGATCAACAATCCATTGTATAAAAATAATAAATTCGGTGTTACTATTGATAGAAATTCTACTTTATCTGATTCAATTCATTCAAGGAGAAATTTGTATCTATTCATGAGAAGATGATCTCCTTGAGATTTCTGTTTTCTATATAAATGCGTGTACACGAAAGCACAACTTCCAATTTTTTCGCTTTCTCGTTGTAGTAAAATACTTTTCAGCTAACTGTTTTAAATATCAAAAAAAATTTTGTGCAGGTTTCAAATCTTTCTAAAATCTTGAAGCAATATATAATCTCAATCAGTCAGCTAAGCATAATGAACATCAACTTTTGGTCGAAGAATTTAGCTCGTACCGATTGGATTAGGTTCTTTCGTTTGTTTCAAATATTCAATTTGAATAGGTCGTCTAGCTTAGCTTATAATGGACACTGTATCTTAATAGTAGATTCATTTGCATTGTATATCTACATTTTCTTTATGTGATTCTACGTCTATAAATATCGACGCATTTGACTATTTACATGCATTTGCAACGTCGATGGGTTTGGCGAAATACATTTGTGATTCTCTTTTTTTATGACTCTTTTTCAGTTTTCAGATTATCAACATCCATTACGTAATGCACTATGGCAAATACTCGCTTATCAAATCATCCGATTCCTATCGATTTCTCGTCAGTCCGTCATGAAAACTTCAAGAAGGTAAATTCTCTTAGTGCATGATTTCGACACAATTTTTCTTGATGAAAAGAAGGACTGGTATCTCTTGTCTTTCTCGCGGGAACGATTAAGAAATGGACATACCATGGAACTTGCTGTTGCTGCGCTAAATACGATTATTGGTATTTTATCTGGAAATTCATATTATCATAATCAAAGCCACTATTTAATTGGTGAAATTGGTACATATAGAATTTGGAAAAAGCTTTGTGCATATGCATACTTATTATTGTAATGTTTAGAATTGCCCTAAGCCATTTTTGAAATATTCAGCATATTAATACCTTACTGATAGTTGTCTTCCATTAATTTATTACGTAGAATAGCATTGTAGAAAAGTCTTTAAAGAATAAACTATAAAATACAAATTACAATTTTGTATTTTTTATAAGTATATTTTATGTTTATTGCTAATGATATGTTTCTCTTTTTAGTTTCCAATAAAAGTTCAATTTGTCGAGAAGTATCATTAGCATTACAAACAGTTATTAGATTATTTCCTCGCCGTTATAGTGGTAACAAACGAGATGTATCAGAATTCGATGATACTAAGCAAAGTGATAAAAAAAGAGTATCGCGTGATGACGAATATTATATGATAGTATCAAATATTACGGAAGTAGGTGCCATAAAAAATTTCTCCAAAGTTGACACAATGTTACTTCATGCCGATGGTGATGTCACATTGCATAAATTAGTTTATTACGAGCAAGGGAGGAGTGAAACCTCTGGTGGTGTAAGCTTAGTTTGTGATGCTTCGGACGGCATGCACGGTGGGTTTGTGATAGAAACTGGTGTTACATAGCTTAAAATTAATCGTCCAGTAGCATTATTCAATGTCTATTGCCAGTACAAAAACCAAAATGGCTTCCATGATTCAACGATATTATGAGACAAAGGAACCATATGGTGTTTATGGACGAGTTTTCTTTACCTGGTGTTCTAGCGTTTCAGATTTACCGCTAGCTAAAACACAAAGTTATACGAATATTGCATCATTGGCACACTTTGCATATGCAACAGCAAGCTTATTCCGAAACCAATATGAATTTCGTTATCTAGCTCATACTTCTGATTTTCATAACAAGCATAAAGAGAGTACGCTTTTGTTTACTGTTTTCTTTACAGAAAAAAACCTCATTGTAAAATTATAAATACTAATCATAATTACATTTTTATTTTATTTTATTAGAATTTGATCGTGAACCTCGTCTAATAGAAGAGTTGGAGAAAAAGAATATTACAACACTACCAACATATTCTGATTCTTTAAATCACTCGGATATTCAAACCAACGGTATTGATGATGGAAAGGACGACGATAATGTTTCACCATTTAAACTTTTGCAAGCATTACTGGCCGATTGGTGGAAAGCATCAAACACCACAGAACATCATTTAAAAGGTATTCGTCGTAAGGTGGTTCAAAATCTATCAAAGTCTATTTGGTCTATCAAAATCATTCGTGTGATTTTCCAATTGATGAGTATTCATTTGGATAAAATTGATCAAAAATAAGGTGAAGAAATAACATCTAATTCAGTCTGTATCGATACATCTTTTCAAATCGGCATTCAAACATCGGTGAAACAATTTTTAACTACCGAATGTGAGCAAGGTGACAATTGTACTTGGATAATGTGGTCGAACAAAGTCGACATCCTTGCTGACTATAATGGGCATTTAAGACAGATGTCAGTTATATCGACACAGTTTTAACTCTCAAGCCATTACCAGATATTGTTATTGACCGAATTGGAAAAAAATGCGATCTTATAGGTAAGCTATTTTGATCACACTAAGCAATTTTGGAGTCTTACATTCATATTTTTGTAAAATACAATTTTCGAAATTCGTATAAATCCGAAAAGCAATTCTCTTGATGCACAGATTTTGATTATCGATTGATTTTAAAATGTGCTGACGTTTTTATATAAAATAGTATTATAATATTCAATTACTGCAACTTTATTTTAGATCGCCAGAAGAAGTCAAAATCGAAAAGGCTATGGTGACACCCACGCATTTATATTAAATATCAAAAATAAAAACTATCGATTATCAATGTAAGTAAATCATGAAATGAATTGTCCAAAAAACAAGAGACTATTGGATTGATAAAAATATTCACAGTACAAATTATAAATTATAATATTATGCCAATCTACGGTATGTTACAATAATGCAAATAGCTTGTTTAAAAATAATAATAACATGTTCTGCCAGAAAACATGATTCAGTTGATGGTGGCATCAGTAGTATTTGCTTAATCTTAATTTTATTTCTATTTTTCTGTCTTTTATTCAATAGTTAATATGTTACCTTCTGAAACTACATGGAAGGAATGTTTTTTTAAATAGGAAAAGAAAGAATTTTAGTTAAAGTATGTTTTTAATATATCGATGATACCCTGTTTGATTTCATTGTCTGTCAGACTTCGCATTAGTAATGATCAACTGCATCATCGCCACGAAATCCGCCGTAGATTCCAGAAGTACTGCCAGCTGAAGCACTTTGAGTAATGACGCGCGATCTTGTGGGTGAATAACTTCTATTACCATGCACAGTACGTTCTGTATTGACAACTCGTTGAGTTCCTTCATAACTAGTTCCAGTTGGCTGATCAAAATCAACAATATTTCCGCGCTTATGTGTAACTATTAAAGACGACGATGACGGAGCTGACTACAATAAAACAAAATTCACATAGTTTGCCTTTTGAAGGGATGTTTTTTTTTAATTAAATTTACTATATCTTCAACAACACCTGCATTACGAGCCTCATGCACAAGTGTTGTTGAATCCAAAAGAGATCTACCATAACGAGCGGTATAAGCTTCAGGATCTTCTTGGGTAACACCAAGTTGTTCAACTTTTCGGACTATACGCATTTGAACGTTATCATAAGCATGAATAGTAATAGATGGTGCTGGATATTCTTTAATAGGATGAGGGCGTTGAACTATTGTAGGACGCTCAGGTGGTGGTCCATAGGGAAGCCATCGTTCGATTATAATATCGCCTACGAAGCAACGAAATAACAATTTGAATTAAAAACAAGCAAAAAGAATAATCCAGATAGTTGTTTTTACCTTTTTTTTCCGGAGGAGGTGGAAAACGTTCGACAACAACTGATCTTGGTGGAACAGGTATAGCAGGTAGATAACGAATAGCTGTAAAAAAAAATGCATGAACTAATCTAATCTATGTTATTTAAATTTCCGTTTTTTTCACTTGTTTCACTAGAACAACCACGTACCACTGGCGGTGGTCGTTCACGTAAGATAAGTGGAGGCTCTTGAAAAGTTTTTGTTGGCTGTTCATGTATGATCAGTGGTGGAGGTGGTGGGGGTTGTTCTGGGCGCACCTCTTTAATAATAAGTGGCTAAAATTATATAAAGAATAGTAAAATTGAATTTGTAAAAACAAATTGTTTCATTACTTCTCCTGGTGGTAGTGGTGGTGGTTGAAGATATCGAACAATAACTCGTTGTTCGCATGTTACTGGACGTTCAGTTTCTGCCCGTCTAATAATTTTTGGATTAATATCCTTAAAAATATGATTCATTGATCTAGCCAGATATCGATTTGTTTCTTCTGAACTGCTAGTGCGAATCACGGAATCATTAATCAAATCTCTAGATGTTATTGTAGATTCATATGATGAAGGAGTGAATCCTTCTGGCGTTGAAATCCAATTACGAAGTTCATTTTTATCAATACTAAATATGTATTTATGTATTTATAATTTGATCTTAACTCTTAATTCATACCGTCCATCTCGATTTGTATCAACTTCTTTATATAACTCGTTAACTTCATCGAAGCGGGCCATTATTCTAAATCGACAAACTAGATACCAAATATTCAATTAAGGATGAAGGACATTTCATAAATACAAATCTCAAACACTTATTCTGTAACATCAAAATTATCTTTGCTCATATTCTTTTCAAGTTGTTGATAAAAAAAAACTAGAAGTATTAATGAAACCAAAAAAAGCATAAATCGTTGTCGCGTTGTTCTTATAAATAGTTCATGAACGTTAGATTAAGACCATGAGAATATTGTAAGAAAGAGTGTGTGAGTGAGGATGGATGTGGCTAAACTGAATATCAAAGTTCACACTCGAACATACTGCAATATGCTAATGGACAGCCGTCATATCGAGTATGAAAAGCGCCCGAACATTACAAATAGCAGCAAGGATTTCTCGGAAAAAACAAATACAGGACTAGAAATTTCCTCTTTTTTCTGTCTTCAAATTTTTAAAATGTCAATTTCTTTTACTAGAGTAAGAGAAAGTAACATAAGTTAGATCGGTATTCCGATCGATTTTGTATGTAATATGAAGATTATTGATTTACAGTTATATTATTGTATTGTAGCTATTTTCTACCGGAACTAACGGTATCTAGAGTTTTAGACGAGATATGTAACAGTAGTACTACTGCAAGTCCTCTCACTACGGAGAATAGTCTTGAAAGCAGCCATAGTAAACCGTAGTGTTTCAAATCCTATCTTGGTATTATTCAAGCTAACAGTCGTGCAGAATACACCCATGTTGCGAATACCGGATCATTTCTTGCGGTAAACCGCGGTATTTATCCTTCCTGTGGTAATGGGCGCCAGTAACCGAACCGGTAAAACCGCGGTAAACCGGTGGTTTTTAGCGCATATTTTTTGCATGCAAAAGTAAAAGAAAAAGAATCTTTAAAACAGCTTAATTGGTGATTTGGAAGACTTTTTCTGTTAAAGATCATAGACGAACCTGTTAAGTGCTGTTTTTAGCGGAAACCGCGGTATTAATTAAAACCGGCGGTTTACCGCGATAAATACTGGATCATTTTTTGCGGTAAACCGCGGTTAACCGTCGATTTTCATGCAGTTTTTATTACATGGGCAGCTTTGAACGGCATTTTTGCAGTGAATCAAATATCGACATTACAGTTATACCTCTCAGGCCGAATTCGTACGGCAGGAAAACACCGGAAATCACTGGAACGTGGAAGCGGTAGTCCGGTCGGAAGTTTCCCGAATGCTTCCTGTGAATTCTCAACGATTTCCTGTTCTTTCATGCAGGAACCGATTGGAAAATCACCGAAAAACAATCGAAAATTTCCTACCGGAATACTGCTTCCGATCCCCGCAGTATCCGTTCACCGGAATCATTGACCTGGGCAATCGTCACGAGACATGGCATCACCTTGTCGTACAGCAAAGTGTTGAATATTGATGTGCATATTGAAGTATCATGCTTCTACTTTGCATAAACATCATGATCGTGAGGCAGCTCTGCTGACTTTCAAGTGATATGCGAATCTGCGGTTTACACCACATTTAAGTGACTACAAAAGTGGAACCGTTTCACACTACGAGAAAAAAATTGTAGTTATCAACGAGCTTTCAAAATCGATGAAAACCGCATTTTTGGTTCAAAAAATTATCCATATATTGATGGAGTAACAGAACAGAGCGAAAGAAACCTCATAGACAGCATAGACCAATAATGAGCTATGACTTTATCTACGGAAGAAACAGAAGAAACGAATAACTCTTGCAACTTATTGAAACTATTAAAATTGAACTTACCTACTTTGTTAGCGTTATCAGCAGCACGAGAAGAAACTGTCTGTATTCTTTTCCTTGATTACACTTGTTACTGATATATATATATATATATTCACTCTTAATAAATGGAAAGGAAAATATTTTCGCTATCATATTACTTATAAGAAGTGGTATAACATACATCCGACTCTTCAAACATAAATGAGGTGGGACGTGGAGACGGGAAGTGGTAAATAAAGGGAAAACCTCATTTCAAGGTTGAGTATAGCCAACAAGATTTTTTGTCGTATAGTGTTACCTGTGGTAGTTTCTGATTACCTAATAAATATTGAAGGGGGAGTGATTGTTGCCATTGCCTAAACATGGGCGTGGGTGGAAGTTATTTTTTTTTGTATTTTGGAAGAAAATGCCATACCAATACCCATACGCAGATATTGCCAGCATAATCAACGAGGATGAACAGTGGCTTTTGAATATCAACAACAATAAAACTAAAATATGATTTCTAGTCATGCTGTTGACCATCATTATCAGACGTTAATAATTAAGTCAATAATTATCAGTATACCGATATTCACTATTTCTTCATGTGTATATTTTTGAACCATGTAAATGAATACAAAAAATAGATTTATTTTATTTTTATTAAATGTACAAAAAAATCTACCGATTTCATTATATTGGCAATTATTCATCCTTATAACTATAATTTTCAATATTTTCACAAATCATGTTTTTTTGAGTTTCTATTATGACGTGAGAATTTCTTATAAAATTCAAAAGAAAACATGAACTAATACTGTAGTGTAGTATGTAAGGATTTCCTTCGATTATGTTAATCTAATTTTTCGAATAATTCAGAACTTCAACTTAGCAAAACGGCTAGCTTTAAATCTCATATATTGAATACTTCCTGAAAATGAAAATCTTCGAGCTAATTACAAGATGTGTTCATATCTTAAAAGAAATGAAAACAAAAACATTTATCCAGAAAGAAATCTAAAATCATGAGCAGTCATAAGAATATTTCCGTTTGAATCCACTTTGAGTTAATGTTTAGATAATCTATCACATCAAAAAGACTCATGAAAATGATCCAAATTCAGACGATTTACAAATACACAATGATAACCTTGTGTTTTAATTGAAGGTATTCTAGTATCAATGTACTGTTTCATGTTTTGTTTTCATATTTTGTTTCTGCAATAAGTTACTAATGTATATCTTACAAAGCAAAGAAAAATATACTCAATTCGTAATTCAATTCATGTTTGATCGCGTAGCTACATTTCATGAATATTCAAATGCCTTTGTTGATCAATCGAAATTAAACCTGGAGATTTTATTTCAAAAAAAAGATAATAACTTATTTACTGCGACAATAACCACCACAAACACTCGCACTCTCAAGACGTTTAAAAAAGAAACTTTATTTTCTCTTCCTGATGATACAATCAATCGATTGATACGAGCGACGAAATTATCGATGGGAATTCTCCTTCTTTGTCTTACGAATTATTCTAGTTTCTTCTTGGAGACACATATACTATGCCTCTTAATTTTACTACGTCGTTTATATTTGAATAAATTAAACATTTAAATTTATTCTGAATTTTCTTAAACTAACCTTGATAGAGCGCTTTATGCAATCTGAGTGCTTATAGATTTAGCTAATATATTTGCCATCGTTCGTCCATCCGATATGATTGTTGACTCTCATTGATACTATTCAATGTTTGTTGTAGATAGTGAATTATCACGAGAATATCCGCGATATGGAGTCAGATTATTAGACTCTAATATAGCAATACATCTTGAAAGTTGTCATCAATCAGCAGTAGATGTCAAATGAGCTGACGGTGCGCCTGTATATATTGAGTACAATAGTCTAAAGAGTAATGGGATACAACATGTGGCAGATAATATTTCTTCTGCTATGTCAAAGAAGAGTCTTACAAATAAGAAATAAACGTGAAACTTGATTATTTATTTTTTTATTATTAAAACTTTATTTGCTCTGTTTTATTACTGTCTAAAAGATATATAATATTTATCGAAAATGTGTTGATATTTGATTTAATGCATTGGCATGCCATCTGGATAAAGGAAGAAAATGTGTAGCGCATTAGATGTGCTTCTTGGTCAAAGCAATTAATTGATTGAAGTTTTACTAAAGCTCTTTTTGTGTGAAATTAAGATTGGCTATAGGAAGTTACGAACCGAAAGGAGATCCATTCACGAGATGATCCCTATATAGTCTATAGCGCATTCGATATCTTTTGTTTACTTTAGACATTAAACAAATAAAAAGAGTAACAAAATTGCAACAAAACGAATTGTATTTCTTATATTTAGAACATTAAACGAGCCATGAATTTAGCTCATTATCAATCTAAGAATAGCGCAGTATCGTACATTTTTGTTTTGTACTTGAACGATAATTTAAATCGTTTAATTGGCCTCGTTTTTCTGCTTTCGTATTATAGAACAGATGATTAATAGTTTTCCTCTTGTGGATGTCCAAGAAGAAAAGAAAAAAAATTCGAGTATCAACTAGTTTTACGCTTGATTGCATTACGTGGCTTGATATGTATACATAGGCGGAGTAAACACAGATACAAACACATTGATTGTTTCTATTCGTCTTACGTCGCTTTCTTTTTCTCTTACTTTCAACGAGTTTCACATATACCTGTCTCGTTAAATTTAATATTCATTAGTGTTGAAAATATTCATTTTCATCAATAAACATGCCAATAGAAGAGAAGTTCACTAATTTTTCTTTTCTTATTACATATAATTGAATCGTTTCTTTTTTGTAAATTGTCAACGATAAAATGTTTTAGTTTCGCGTCGTTTACTGTCATATGTAAGACTCGGTTCATTTCAATGCTTTCGATCACGTGCATAGAAAACCTTGACGATTATTTCTACAAAATAAATATTTCTGTAATTTTCTTCAAGATAATATTTTACTAGAAGATTTTGATCGACCAAATGGGTAATACAGTATTTCGAGAAAGACGTGCTCCTCAAATCCCAGAACCCATGCCGTAAGTCATTTTCTTCTTCTTTTTTTCTCAATGATAAATACGTAGAAATATTTTTCAAATAGATACAATCGTTCATATTATCGTGGTCAACCGGACTTTGTTCCACGATCACGTAAGATTGATTTCCAATCGATTCCTATTAAAGTATAATTTCATCTATCGACTTTTAGATCATTTTGCCACCCATGAAGCACCTTGGAATGTAACACAATGGATCGATCCAATCGAACCTCACCCTAAATTGACTTCCATTCCTGCTTTATTAGTTGTGCGTAAATGAAAAGTCAACGGCAATAACATTTCTTAAAAAACACGTCTTTTTATTTTTTGCCTTAGCAAAGAATCTGTAAATAGAAATGCGTTTTATCATTTATACTTGGTAGATTTAAATACGAGAAACTTTTATTTTAACATCGGTGAAACGTCTGTGAATCTTGTAAACTTACTATTTTAAATAAATTCTTTTTTCGTACAAAGACAATCTATTATGACAGGAGTTGGTGATTTTTATATTGTTTACTCGAAGATTTTCATTTCAGATAACCATAGCTGCGTGCAGTTAATTATCAGTAATCGATGATAACGATATGACACTATCGAAATTATAGTTTAGATCAGTTAGTAAAAAACGGCAATAACATGTTTTTCTATTGAATAAATAACCCATGAACGTAAACAAGTTTTGCTTATCAATCGAAACTAACGAGATATTGTTGATGACATTAGTCATGTCCTTCATACATAAATCTCCTTCAATTGACGGTAAAGCAAGATGTAATAGATGACATTCGATTTGCACACGATCAAACATTTTAGGTATGAACAATGATGGTATCAAATCAGAAAAAGATATGAAGTGACTGTTGTGAAAAATTTTATTTAGAGAATTCTATTATCGAATATAAATAAATAAATTTCTCTCGATCAATAGATCACCTATTGTATGTGACTTTGTCTTCACTACGAGTGAAGTAACGTGAGAAGATTTGATACGATTCCGATATAGCTCTGGTAATCTTGAAGAAACAACATACTATACACCTATTGAATGATATACTGTTTTATTAGAATTTAAAAATGATAAGTATTAACGCGCAAGAATATCTATGCACTGCTTTATTCTCGTCCGTTGGTCTAGATGATGAAAACTTGTAATTTGATAATCTCTATAGGATTGAGTCTAGCTCAGTTCATCGAGACGACGAAAATCATAGTTCGTTTTTGTCTTGTTTTCTCGATAGTGAATGAGTATCTTTTGAATAAAATTATTTTATTTGAATTTTATGTTTAATTCAGTGAAATACGTCGTTAAAATAACTCGAATGCAACTCTTATTAACAAAAGAAACCATCTAAAGAAAATTAATACTAACAATGACGGGGAAAAGTAAATTCATTTGCTCTTTTCTCGATGTTAGTAACAGACAAAAAGGTCAATTTAAGTGCACAAGTTAACTCGAACTGAATAGAAACTGCTTCTTCTCTTGATGAATTAATGAATACGTTCGAGTTATTGCTACCCGACATATGTGAGCATTTGAGAGTTTACCCATGACGAATTTATTTTACCTGTATGGCCTGTTATTTAAACGAAGAGCTGAAGCCAGTAAAATTATAATAAATTGAATTATTTGTGTATTTTGTTTTCTTCATGATTGAAATGAATACGCTTCAATTTCACAATGACAACTAATCTCTTATTTTTTGGACAATAAAATAATACTTGCGCTGCAATAAGCACACAAGTGACTATTCTTTCATTTTAGCAATATGTGAAATCATACAAGCTTCTTATTCAATAGTTTATTTCATTTTTACCTGCGTATATGACTGGAAACAATGAAAATAAATGTATTTTACGGCTGCTCCTATAAATGGATTACAAATAATAATAATAATAATAATTAAAAATCATTCGTGAAAACTAAAAAATGAATGTCACTCCACTACTTTTATTCCCAATGGCCTTTTAAGATTGTAGGAGTATTGAGTTTATCCGAACACGTCATTTCCTAAAAGTTCGTAAAAAGCACGATAGAAGAAAAACTCCATTTGCCATCAAATATTAGTTACCATAATTCATATACAACAAATTATTTTCAGATGCTTCCTTTTTATCATTTATGTTTTATTTCGATCTTTGCAATCAGCATACAAGCAAATCACTTCCGCGGTGGTACAATTACTTGGAAACCGATTAATAACAATGTCTCCGCCAATGCGACAGTTTCTGTCATGATTACTCAAACGTATATATGGACTTGGCCGCTAATAAATTGTACTGATGCTATGATCGCTGCTCAATCACCTCCTATAGATCTTACAGGTAAATCAGGCGATGGAGACCTGCTAATGTGTTATGACAACTGCTCTACATCAGGTGGCTATGTTGGCCATGAAGTGCCTATTACGGGCTACTGCACTGATTTTTCTGCTGCACTTGATGTAACAGTAAGTCAACGATCCGATATAGTCAATCTCACTGTTCGAGCTTTTTTCCTGGTAGAATTCGCTACTAGTGGGAATTGGCAGCTATTAGCACTTGGTAGCTCTACCGGCTGGAGTCTTTCTTCATTGATCGATTTAAATATTAGACCCGACAATGGATTGATTAATACAGCGCCTGTAGCTACATGTATTTCATACATTAGTATACCTGTGAATGTTCAACAAACAATTCAAATTCCAGTTCTTGATGCTGACAATGATATTGTTCGATGTCGTTTTGCAAGTGGAACATCCGAATGTGCAAATGCTTGTCCACCAACATCGTTGCCAACAGGTACAACGCTATCTTCTTCATGCATGCTTACGATCACTGGACCTACTGCTGGAAACTATTATCTTGTTGCAGCTCAGGTTATTTCTATCTGCATGAATCTCTCTATAGTTCTAATGAATTATTATTATATAGGCCGAAGATTTTATAACAAATGCCAGCACCAATCCGATGAGTTCTGTTCCAATCCAGTTTTTAGTTTACGTTTATGCTGCCACCAATTGTACCATTAAACCTCTGCTACTCTCAGACATGGCTAGTGGTGATTGCTTAGGAGCCGAAGTTGGTGTTAGTGTTGTAATGCACTTCACAGCTGTTAACCTTTGCGGTAGCGATAGGGAAATTATTGATATTGCAACTTTATCCTTTCCAACTATAATCAAAAGTGCCGTAGTTCAGAGTCCTACGAATGCATCCATATGGTCAATGGAAATGACATGGATACCATCAGCTATGCAAGTCGGTTCACAAGTTTTGTGCGCAGTCGCCTGTGACAAGTGAGTCGTTTTATTAGATTGATTTCAAAGTAATGATATTTTACTGTTTGTTTTCAATATTTGAAGCGCAAGCGTACAATCAGATCAGTATTGTATAACAATATTTGTTGGTCTCTCAAGTGTTCCGTTATGTCCAGGTGCAACAGCTGGGTAAGATTTTTCATTAGATCTAAAGTACACTTGACTATGCATATTTGATATTTCTCTTTTTCAGACCAACAACAACAACGACGACAACAATCGAAACAACAACAAATATTTTGTTAGTCAATGTACACTAGTGTAATATTCTTTTGTAGTATTTTGTTACTTTAGGAGTGAATCTTCAATAAAACAAATACACGATTCAACTGCTGATATTACAACGATGGAAATGTCTACTTCAACCGATGTTCAAACAAGGTTAGTTAGTCCTCTTTTTCTAATAGAGATTTTTCTTTCTATGCAATTTTTATTACATTATTATGACAATAAGTTCAACTTTGTCTTCAACAACTAGTAAGATCGTTTTTAATACATAAAGGATTGAACGAATGAATAATCTATTGCGTATTTTTCTAGTGAAATCAAACAATACAATAAACTGGGCATTGATTGGCGGTCTATCGGCTTTAGGGTTCTTACTCGCTCTGAGTTTTTGTCTATACTGTTGTTGTCGTTTTTCGCAAGTACTGATTTTCTGAGTGATGGAATTCTATGTTTTAGTATTCTACTGTAGTAGAGTAGGAGCTTTTAGTAAACGTCGAAAAAATGTTCGAGAATTAGAAGGCATTCCGATTTGGGCTCAGCAACGGAGAAAGTCTCATGAGAAACTTCAGAGAGAAGAAAACCAAAAGCAAACCTCTCGCCTACAGCATAGCAGAAGTGCAAACGCGGATTGTGAATCACGAATATCAAGTACTGTCACTCTTACTAGAGTAAATCTTAAAGCGAGATCGTCTGCTGACAATGTGGAAATTATGGGTAGAAAGGATTTATTTACAACTATGTCGGATTATACACTACCATCTGACAATGTACAATCACCTATATCAGATGAAATGTCAAATGAAGATTGCACGAAGGTTTCAGATATTTTGCAAGATTATGATTCTCCAGAGAGCACTTCTCTATTTGGATCACCAACACCAGAAATGGACCCTGCCAGAGTCGTACGAGTTCCTCGTATGTCTAAACCGTCAGTTGTGCCAAATACACAGAGATTTACCATGAGTATTGAATTAGAAGTGACAAATATTTCAAACAACGATCTCAATGATGGCGAAATACAAAAATTCGATCGATGCAGTCAATTGAGAGTACCCGTTACTCGAATCAAACGATTGTGATCCACATATCAGAGCAAAGCTAAGAATCAGCGTATATGTACCATTTCACTGAATACTAGTCAAACTCGAGTAATCATTATTAAAGCAAGACCACTACCGCCATGAATATACAAATATCGAACGTTCTTAATATTTTGCTCGCTTGACTACAAAATATTTGGCTTTTTTGTGATTTAATTGGTTCATAAGATATTTCTCTAAGTAAAATGTTCCAATAACAATCACACAGCATAAAGTCTATTGTTATATTTTTAAAGTTCTTTCGAAGATGTCTCAATTATTTTTACAACGAGGCAAATAAAATGTAGCATTTAGTTTAATTCATTTTTTTATTAGATATCCACAGAGGATTGATCGTATTTTCTGTTCGTCCTTTCAATTGTTATACTAAACGAAAGAAGAGATTATGTTATCAGTTCCTATAAATTGCACATCAGCTCCATCTATATAAATTTTAATTATAGTATATTTGCATAAATTTAATGAATTGACATAATAAAAACTTTCGGAAAGATTTGCAATTAAACTTAATGTCATTGATTATGAACACTTTGTGAAGAGAGGCAAACCATCGATGACTACCAATCATCAAATCCATCGTTCCGGCTATATAATACACTGTGCAACAAGTAATATCCCCACTTCTTGTGTTCGATTCATTTCGAACATTTCCTCCTTCTCCCTTATGAACTTATGCTCGCTCGAATTAGTCGCTGTAGAATCAAGTACAAAACAATAATATCATAGCTAGTAAGTATATTATTTTCGTTTGATACTATTTGTTAATTGGATATGATGACCATAAACCCTCTTTACTGAGACCTTCGTGGTGACTAACAATGTCTGATCCATATTTTCACTCATTACTTTTTTAAAATTTGTTTACTTGTGCTAAATAATTTTTTTTTATATTTCTAGGTTTGATAAAATACAAAGAAAATCAGCTAGTATTTCTCAAATTGAACGAATCGAAAGAAAAATGAAAGATATCGTTGATCAGTCTTCTCCGTTGTATAATTTAGAAATTTTACAAACAGTTATTTAGATTCTCAGGAGAAATTGCAGCAATCGAAAGAAAATGATGAGTAACTATTGATCGTGTTTCACCTGATACAGCTGATTATATTTTTATCAATGCTGATTCTATCGATTTGAAAAATAATATTATTTGAACTGTCCTGGATGAATTTTCTGTTTCGATGATGAATTATAATATCGCATGTATTACTTGAATATAATCATGAGAAAAACTAAGGACTGAGAACAGACACGAATTTGATTTGGGACAGATACGAAAAGAAAAGGAACATGCTAAATTGGAATCTTTTCATTTATATATATATTTGCTTTTGAATCAATTGAATAAGAATATCTGTTGTTTGTATATAAGCCTCCATTATATTTGCTCGCCATCTGTCGAATTTGTTCATTTGCAAAAGAGAATTGTTTTATTGTTGAAATCGAACTTCAACTAGATTGTTTAATTTTTCATGATGAAGGAGCCTATCGGTCAAATATTTTGTCGACGATCATGATGTTTTCGTAAAATATAACTTGTTCAGTAGCTAAAAATTCTCAATGTGCATACCGCAAAAAGGATCTCTTGTTCAAATTTTTCACACATGAAACTAAAAAAGAGAAAAGCTCTTGTTGAAAGATGAAATCGATAATAGATATTTCAGTATTGTATAATGATAGTGAGAAATTGTTTATTATATAGTAAATATGCTATTTTTTTTCATACAAAAGTGGCATTCAACCACGTAATTGTTGCATTGAATTGCGCAATTACGCGATGATGAAAAATCTTATTTTCTCCTCGTCAATTTAGTGAGGTATATTTATTTCGTCAGTGGGTCACATTTTTTCAAAATCCGAATGGCTGAAATGATTACAGAAAATACGCAGATTTTATCTAAAATCGCTACAAGATTTGTATGTATTAGTGATAATCATGATAGTTATGATTTTATTCTTCCAGACGGCGACATATTACTTCATTCGGGTGATATTACGAAGAATGGAACTGCAACGGAAGTTGAAACATTTTTAAATTGGTTGAAAACTCTAAATCAATATCGTTTAAAAATAGTCATTGTTGGTAATCATGAATCAAAGCGATTCTATTCAAAGAAAAGATATAAAATACTACCACTACCTATTGAACAATTAAAAAATGATAAATCATTAATAACCGATTATGGTATTGTTTATCTTCAAGATCAAGCATTTCAAGATCCAGTCACAGGATGGAAATTTTATGGAAGGTAAACATTTACTAGTAAATGTTTTATTGAAAACTCATTTTTGTTTTCTTGAAAAATAGTGGTTTGCTATCTGAATATTATAAAAATTCAGAAGAACTTCGTCGCCATTGGTCTAAAATACCGATCGATACAGATATTCTTCTTACGCATGGTCCACCTCACTCTATTTTAGACATATCCAGTAATGCACATCATCTCGGCTGTAAAGAACTACTTAAACAAGTATCAACTGTTATTCAACCCAAACTTCATCTCTTTGGTCATGTCCATAGAGGATATGGACAATTGAAAAATGAACAGGAATTCGGTAGAACATTGTTTATTAATGCTTCTTTGTGCGATAACCATTTTCGTATTGCTCATGCACCGATAGTAGTCGATTTAAGTAAAGGTGAATAAAAAGAAGTCATCTCTGTAAATATATTCATATTTTTTTTGTAAACAATTTTGCATATTCCTGCTAGAAACTAAAATCGAACAAAGTGTCAGTATAGGGTATACATTATAAATGCCACTAAGATTGGATGTTAGAACATATGGTAGGAATAGGATTCATATCACTACTATTTGTAGTAGTAAAAATAAATGCAAATTGCTAAAAACTTGTATGGAAATGCTTCCATAGGAAATAGCTGCCTACAAATGATAGAATGAATTTCTAATCTATTGATAGACGACATGATTTTTGATTACATCGAAATTTGGGAAACGATACTATTTAGAATAGAATATCACATCGCTAAAGTTGTAGATCGATTGATTGTATTTAAAGTAGCAATAGCGACGTCTTTTCCACACGTTTAGTTCTAATTCTCAGGGACTATTGAATGATAGATCTTATAGTCTGGAATCTGTAATGTCAACAATGTTTTTACTTAATATCATATGTTATATAGTAAACTCATTCAATTAGCATGAGAAAGATCATTTTATAGATTTAATGAAATATTCAAAAGTAACAAGAAGAATCATTTGGTAAGTTTCACAATTCTTTGAAGATTGTATATTCATCATCAAATTGCTCATTCACTTACGAATATATTGTTAAAAGCTGTTCACAAATATGGTTCGGAAATGTTTACTACATAGAGTATAAACACAGAAAGATTTCGCATAATTCAAATAAAACAGCTGCGTTGTTAATTGAGAGAGAAATCTATCAACAACTTCTTGATAAGTCGTCTTTTCCATACCACTTGTGATTACATTGTATGAATAATAACTTAATCGAAGAAACATCAATAAACATAATATTCCAATTTGAAATAGCATCATCTAAAGCGTGAAACGAAAACATCTGTACCAATTGAATAAAGGTGAAAGTCACCTTACTGTGATGAGTTGTGTTTCTCGTCATTGTGCTCGTCGTAGCTGATTATTGACAGGACGTATTCGGCGTTTTGTCATACGAATATGATGGTGTGTACCGAATCCGAAGCAAAGCATAAGAAAATGTGGAATAAATGACGTCCATACTATTGCATATACTACTGTAAAAAATACTATAAGCTCCGCTTAACAAAGCACAAGTTGGTCGTAAATCCGAGAAAACTATAAAATGTACGTAGGACAAAATACATATGGTCAGAGAAAAACTAGTAATCCATTTGGCACGTTTTATAGTAGCAAATGAACGATAGACAAGTTTCGTTGAAGTCGATAAATAACGATCCATGGCGGCTAGAATAATGCAACATGTGGCCATGGCAGGTGAAACATTGATAAGGTATAATCGTATTTTGCAAAAAGCTCGTGATTGATCCTGTAAATAAAATCCAAAATGATCGCTAAGAAATCGAGACATTGTCCCAAAATCAAGTGTTAGCAGATCGAATATAGCTATACCAAGCAAGTAAAATGAGCATGACGTATTTTTTAATTTCAGAGAAGTAAAAGTAATAAAATTACAGAAACACTCAATAGTTCCAATAGTAATAATAATAATTGGGCAATAAAAATTTATTCTGCCACCGATATACGTAAGTTGAAAAGGGTTTGGGTCTGTTTCGGTTGCCATTAGTTTAGACATAAGATGATTTCGTGGAAAAATCTTAACAATTTCTCTCTATTCCCGGTGCTGGAAGGATCTTTCTCGGATCACAGCTTTGCTGCATAATAAAAAAAAAAATCTTAACAATTTCTGTGATTTTTTTTTGTTAACATGTACATTGTATATCCTACCTGTACAGTAAATCACTGTTTTTTTTGGTCGATAGATTAGAATAATGAATGAGTAGCAAGTCCAAGTGCGGAATAGTGTAAAACAGAGCTCAGCGTGGGACGAACATTTTTAGAAAATTTTAAGCAGACAAGAAAGAATCGAAGCCTCTTTCAAGATGATTCTATTATATACTTATTATCTTGATTCATTAAAATTATATTTATTGGCGTAGGTGACCGCTTTCAAATTTTATTCGCATATTTTAAAACATTTTCGGTATATGTTGTTCAATTTACCAAAAATATTTCTACAAATCGAATACAAGCTTTTAAAAGTCATCTCAGACAACGATCTTAATTTTAATGGATAGAGATCGTATGGATATCATAGAATCATACCGAAAGATACTTTGATTCTTTATTGGCTGCTTAAAATTTTCTGAAAATGTTCGTCCCACGGGGAGCTCTGGTGTAAAACTAGTATTCACTTGCTGATCCTATATCTATCACAGCTAACATTATGGGACGATATATTATCGTTCATGTTTTTGAAAGGCTATCTAGAAGAATTATATATTTAAAGCATGTCTTCTGATTAATTGTATGCCGAGCTCTAGTTGACAAAAATGTTTTTCAGACCTTTACATCATATCAAATTTCACCAAAGAAAAGGTTTAAATTGTCTCAATTATTAAAGTTCAAAAAAAGAATAAAAGTATGTTCATATTTTTTAATGACATCTAAGAAAATTGCGTCTCGAGATGTGAATTTAACGCGATGCCAGCGTTGTCATAGAATACAATGTACTTCAATATGATTTGAGATAAAAGAAACATATATCACTGTGTAACATTATTACAATAGGCTTTAGAAAATGTACTAAAAATTAATAAAGGTATTAGAAAAACAAATTGCGAGGTAATAAGCTGCACGAAAGAATACCCCGAGAACAAAGTAAACCAACCGTGACTGCTGTTCGAGGTTTTGCATTTCGTAGTTGATCTATTTGGATAATCCTGAGCGTCAGAAACAGATAAATATTCATTGAAACTATAGTTATACTAACTAATCTACCATCGATATTCTGTGTTCGAACTATTCGCATTATTGTTGATTAACAGAATGACATCATAGGCATATCAAGCTCTACTAATTGATATAAAAGTAGTAGATTTTCATTCTATTCAATTGCAACGCATCAATGATGTCATAGTATCAAAATGCTTCATCTGCTAATTAGTAAATTTTTCTCTCTTCCATTAGGGTGTAGTTGTAAATTGACAATTATAAGTACAGTTTACTACGCTCCTGCATGTTCTGCTAACATGACTTTGTGACGAACACAATGGAGTTTAATTACACATCGAAAATAATTATCTAGATCTTCTCAGTCCCGATCAAGAATATCGAATATAGCCTACGTGTAAAAATTTCGTGCAAAATATATTTTCAACTTTTTTTCACTTTTAGGCTGCAGACGTCAATTGGAATGAGAACTAAAAATGACGTTTTTCCAGAATTTTTCATGTAGCGCATTTTCGATTATTGGCTAAAAGTGCTTTAACTCAAACTGTAAGAAAGTCGCATATACACTAGCCTGTAGACGGAAGACTACCTGTAAAATACATAGTTTGCTTCGGTTCCCATACATCGCTGAAAATCATCCGAATCTATAGTATTTTAAATATCAAAACTTTTTAAAAAACTGTTACCTCGTCTACAAAGCTAACCTTTCGCGAAAATTCTCATCATTGAAAAAGGTTTATTGTGCTTCGCAAGAAAATGTTTTTTTTTGAACTCGTTCTGATATTTGTTTATAGCCAAGTGGCTGTGAACCATGGTCAAGTTCTAAGAATATATTTGGAAAGATTATTGAATTATCAGGCTAGCTGACTTCTTTTGATGGTCGGCAGTAACTTAAAAATGAAAGAAAAGGGTATCCCCCACATTCGTCCCATAATTTGTCCCACGAAATTAGTGCCATCTTCTTTTACCCTAATTCGTCCCAGTTAAAAATTATTTGATTCTTAACTCGTCCCATTCTATATGAGAGTATCAATTAACATGAGAGAAAGTCTGGCTATATTTTATTAATTATCATCCAATAAGAAAATAGAGAAGAGATAAACACACCCACACCCTTCGCTTTACAGTATATTGAAAATACAAATAATTTAGTACTTGCTGATTTCGTTCACTAGTTGTAAATCGAAGCATATCACAAAAACGAGATCAAGTTATGTATAAAAATTATCATATCCTTTTGTCTTTGATTTTATGTATCGCGTAGCTTGATCCACCAATTTATCAAAAATAATAGTGAGATGTCACCATTAAGAGTGTTCTAGTAGTACATATTAGAATTTCCGATCGTTTCCAGGCCATTTTCTATTCTATTGCGTGATTATATTATACATAGATGAACTCTGTTACGATCTTCAATTTAGTTTTAATTGATAAGTAAAGCCTCTTGTAGAATGGAACAATTAGTATTAATGTTGTCACATGGGACGAGTTAAGAATCAAATAATTTTTAACTGGGACGAATTAGGGTAAAAAAAGATGGGACTAATTTCGTGGGACGAATTATGGGACGAATGTGGGGTAAACCAAAGAAAAGTTTTTACGTGCCGGTTATTCACAACATCGCTCTTTATTTCTATTAACATGAGTACAAAATTTATTACGTTTAACAACATAGAAATGTCATTGTTCAACATATTAAAATGGTTGCTTTTAAAAGTTGCTCTGCATATGTCTAGTTTGCAATATTCTATTGGAACGAATAATTGAAGTTTCTTGAAGTTTACCTCGATGATTTGTGCAACAAGAGATTAATCGATGGCAAATCTTTTTAATTCTTCCTATAAATATTGCCCGAAAATATTTGCTGCATAAAGTGTAAACATAAAATGATTTAGCATAATTCAAATAGAATAGTTGCGTTGTTAATTGAGAAAAAAAAAATTCTAATGTACTTTCATAAGTTGTCTTTTCCATACCCATTGCGATTACATTATATGAATAATAAGTTAATCGAAGAAAAATTAAAAAACATGATATACCCACTTCACATAGTGTTATCTACAAGTAAGAATAAACATATAGAAACTGAACAGGACTGAAATTGGCTTACTGTAACAAGTTGTGTTTCGGTACGTTGTATTCGTCTTTGTTGAGTATGAACAGGAAATATTCGGCGTTTTGTTGCATGAATATGATGGTATGTACCGAATCCGAAGCAAAGCATAAGAGAATATGGAATAAATGACGTCCATACTATTGCATATACTACGGTAAAAATATTATAAGATCCGCTTAACAAAGCACAAGTTGGTTTCAAATCTGAAAAGACTATAAAATGTATGTAGGACAAAATACATATGGTCAGAGAAAAACTAGTAATCCATTTGGCACGTTTTATAGTAGCAAATGAACGATAGACAAGTTTCGTTGAAGTCGATAAATAACGATCCATGGCGGCTAGAACAATGCAGCATGTAGCCATGGCAGGTGAAACATTGATAAGATATAATCGTATTTTGCAAAAAGCTCGTGATTGATCCTGTAGATGAAATCCAAAATGATTGCTAAGAAGTCGTGCAAAAGTGCCGAAATAGAGTGTCAGAAGTTCGCATATAGCTGCACCAAGAAAATAAAATGAACATGAATTACTTGTTAGTTTACGAGAAGTAAATGTGATAAAATTGCAAAAACATCCAATAGTTCCGATAGTTATGATAACAATTGGACAATAAAAAGTGATTTTCGCAGTAAGATATATGAGTAGAATTACTCTTGAATCAGAATCCATTTGTGGTGCAGTAAAATTCAGGTGCATTCCAGTGAAGTAAAAGGTTATATTTGATAGAAATAAACTTTTATTTTGCTTTTCTCTGAAATAATCGGTACGGCTTTTCAAGCTTTCTAGTCAGGCACATTAATTAACGCGAATCTCTGCAACTATCGTTTGCGTGGATATAGTTAAGGAAGAATTAGTAGCAGTCTCAAAAGCCATAGGTCAAACAGAATCAGAATTGCGGAAATTCAGAGTGACGAACATTTTTTTATGTAATCACAAATTCTTGAATAGAATTCTCAGTGTACTGCTCTTTCCTTTTTTGTTTCCATCATTAGTTTCTTGTTGTATAAAAATCACAAAATTCGATAAATAAATGCTCGAATAATATTTCACAATCGTTTGAAGGCTAGAACATAAAACATGCTAAGTCAAATTGGTCTAGAGGGATATTTTTCTAAATCTGATCATTGTAGTGATATAGTGTTTTCCAGAGAATCTGACTTGTTCGTATCGAATCATATCGTTTTAGTTGATTTAAAGTTCGCTATGGAATTCTTGCAAACTAATTAATCTATGATTAATAGGAACTATTAATTGTGAAGATTTATAATTTGGATAATAAGGATTTTTTTTCTGTGCAAACTGCAGATTATTTAGAAGTGCCTATTAAAACAGACTTTTCTATCACAATATCAAAATATACTTTCGCTGAACTTCTCAGAATTAACTGGCACAAAATGATTGCACAATCTTCTCTTTTTAGAACATTGATTTGAACTATCAATCGATTTATCACAAAGTTTGTTGGAGTACTTTCTGTTGGTTCATAATTTTGATCTCTAATTTAAACTCATAGGCACAATGCAGTAGCTTTCATATCTAGATGATCAAATTTTTATTTATGAATTTAGCAAGAGACACATGCATATAATTATTTTAATTTAAAAAATCTTCGTAGTTGGAGATTTCCATAAGAAAAAGCCTAAAAAAAAATGAAATTTTTCTATGCCCGAGGACAGAATTGAACTGTCGACCCCTGGTTTACTAGACCAGTGCTCTAGCCACTGAGCCACACGGGCGTGCTTTTTATGTGTTCTGTTCGTGATATTGTTCTCTTCGTTGTTTTCACCAGACATTGTTGAAATGTGCATGCATATGAGTCATCTCGCATCAGCTGTGCACCTTACTCACATCAGCTATAGCATAGTAAGTATCTTCCTTTACGACTATTTGTTTGCTTTCAACATGAATACACAAATTTTACTATATTGAATTTTTGCACTGATGCATTAATATGTTGTTATATAAAGGCAATTTTCCCAAGTAGTAGTCATCGTACATTTATACATGTACGAGTAATGAATGATACTTTGCACTATTGCAAAATTTTTAACAACCAATCAATACAAATTTTACTAATTATTGTCGATAGAAGCGAAGAACAATCACGTAGTATTTTTTTTAAGCGACTTCTTTCCAATAAATATGACTGGTACTTCTGGATGACAAAGTTAATTAATATTTTTACAATGTAGCTTGAATTCGTCTCGTCTGTTTGGACATTATATCAATAATTTGTTTCTTCGTGGCATTTTGATGATATAAATGTGGAGAGGCCGCGTTAAGCAACACTCCGACATAGCCAATATCTATTAGGAAAAGATAAAGATTGTCAAACTATATAAAAATCTATTGCTGATGCAATCGTTCCTATTCTATAAAAAGAAAGCATTGCGTCAGATCAAACGATGGTTTCGTTAGAAAAAAGTCTTCTCAAGAGCGATTGGTTATTTGTCGTAAATATTACCAGGGTACAGAGGTTGTTTTTAAAAAATTATTTGAATTAAAAATAGTTATTTTTTGCTTTGCTCACAGGTGGTTGTGCTTGTTTGTCACTTCTTTGGATTATAAATGCAATATGGTTTTATAAACAAGCCTTTAAAGTGGAACCATATCCTCAACAAGCTGAAATTCGAAAATGTAAATAAAAACAATTGTGATATTTTTTATCTTTTATATAAAATCTTTTTCAGATGTGATTCGAAGTGCAATTGGTGCATTTAATTAATTATTATCGTATCATGGAACATTATTTTTCAATTATTGCGGACAAAAAACTAGGACCTCTTGGAGACTTTTTTAACATTTGCTTCACCACGGGGATATCATTAATTGCCTATTTTTAAATCTGTTTTTGTGTTGTCAGATAAATAAAAGAAGTAATCCCATTTGTATGGCCTCTTTTTTGTTTCTTCTATTTCTAGATAATATGGTGAGTGTTGCTGTTTGAAGATAGAACTACAGAAATTAAAAATAAATAATGTCTAATAGAGTGCAGCAGTTTTTGTTGGTCTTAGTTTAGCTGCAATTGGATTTACTGGTAGGAATAAAATTGTGCTATTGATCGTGTACTGATGTTTCTCTTAAGGGCGTTATTTTGCTCGATATGGGAAATTGATTGTTGAAAGTTTAACGAAAACAAGTGGTTTTGTTGCAGAAGGACTTTCGGTAAATTTGATTCGTTTTCTTATCTATTCTATTGTAAAGTTTATTTTTTCTTCTAGTCGAAATATTATAAAGGTGGTTTCGGTAAGGCTGTATTAAAAAAGAATATTCTATAAGATTTCATTGTTCTTGATTAATAGATACAAAAATGAATCGACGTGAAGCTGCACTTATATTAGGCGTTAGGTATGAGTGAAATATAAATATTTTTTTAAATTATATTGGCTGAGTTGGATTTTTCTTTTAAGTTCAACGACGAGTAAAACACGATTACGCGATGCTTATAGACGATTAATTATTCTTAATCATCCTGATCGAGGTAGAACTTTGCAAAAATTTTAATATTTGATTTGATCATTTTGTTGATAGGTGGGTCCCCGTATATTGCTGCGAAGATTAATGAAGCAAAAGATTTATTCGACAGTGTAGCTAGATAAATATCTTCAGTATTTGATAAAATTTTTCAAATTTTACGTTCTTTTTATGATATACTGTTTTTCATCAAATTTCGAAAGTAGCAACAGGCGCCGCTGAGATATACGCTGAATATTTAATGCTAGTCAGGTGCATTATATAAACACTGTGCAGAAAAAATACTGGATGAGAAATATTGCCACCGAAATGAATGGAAACATAAGATGGTTTTCTGCTATCACTATCATTTTCAACCAGCATGGATTGCAATTTACTTGATAAGATGTGGAGCCCATAAATATCAAAACGAGGTAACAAAAGAGCTGCCGACTCATACGGCACAAGTCTACGAACGACAAAATCAATGGTTATAATTATCAACGCCTCATATATTCTTTCTTCAAAAGTCGTCATGCTAAAGTTTTACATCTGTACGGATAAAATTGCCTAGTGGATATGTAAGCGTATACATACTCCCCACATAGCCTCATCCAAAAACTAATTTATAACTATTGTTCGAGTACGAACAACTTACAGGAAAAATATGAATGATTGTAAAATTCAAAGATATATTTATTCATATTCTTATAACCTTATGTTTAATGTTTCTTATAATTGATACATAACAATACTGAAGATCTCAAAGGAATTCTGAATCTAAACAAACAAATGTTACAACTGATTGATTGCTTTATTTACAAGTATCTGGTATTCCTACTGCGTTCTTTCGGAAACAACTGCTATGAATGAAACATTGTAATTTTTCTTCCAACCTTGATCACACGAACAACTTAATAGCGTTGTCTATCAATCGTCATGCTCTTATTTTGACTCGCTATGAGATAACATTACTTTCTCGTATATGAGTCAGCTGCTATTGATCAATCCGTGCATTTATAGAAGGGAAATTCTTGTTTTTCTGTGTTTGTCACCATATAGACTATATGACTAACAGATGTCAAACACAGCCGGATTCGGATTAGCTAATGTTAGCACTCTATTTGACAATAAAAAATACACAGGTCACTTTTTTGCACTAAAAATATATGTTAGGAAATTCCCCCCGATTCAATACACCGGTGTAAGGCACTCTACGTTAGTAATTTAATGATTTGAATAAAAGGATCATTCCTTCTGCTATTGTTGTTTTATCGCAAAGTATGAGATAACGACGATCAGTTTTCACCTTATTTAAATAGTATTCATGTTTCGCTGAAGCATTTTCATATCTTTTCTTTTCAAAACAAGTTTTTTACGAAACAAAAATTCTGCCGAATTATCCATACGATTTCCAACGCAATTATTGGTAAACATACTTTGCCAAACGCGAGATTAACGTAATAGGATTGCATTCAAACTGATTGTAGTACAATTTTTTATATGATATTGTTTATTTACACAACGCCTGACGTTTGTCATCATACATTTTTAGAAACATATATTAAGTCATAAGGAAAATCGGTTATTTTTGTTAGCACGACTAGGCGAAGTTTTTCTGTTGTATGCAAATAAAAACAACTATGCACAACCAAAACAAGCTGTATTGCATTTTTACTCATTTCTTCATGTCTTCTCATCCTCTCCAGCAATGAATTGCCTAGCAATACAGTGTGCTGCAAATCATGCGCAGTTCTTTTTCTCTTTTCTCATTCATTCAACGCATCGGATATTGTCAGATGAATCATAGAAAACAAATTCATTTTGTTTTCGCTCGACTAATTTCCCTCCCGATTGAATGATTCAGTGCGTAGAATGGACGCGGCAAAAATATTTAGATATAAACTTTGCCGATGATTTTATAGATATTAAATCACGACAATGAACCTTACATCACCGAATCGTCCTTTTAAACTACTACTGATTGGCGACAGCGCCGTCGGAAAGACAAGCCTGATGTTTCGTTTTGCAGGTATGTACTGAACATGTTCTTAAATTAACGTCACCATTTTTTCCCTTGCGGTTAAGGTTAAATTTGTAGGCTCAATAAATATATTCTTATCTATTTTTTTTTCTTTTTATTGACATTCTCTTATCTCTATTTACGTCAGTGATTCAATCTTTGAAAATAATGAAATTTTACAAAAGACGTTTGAACTTTGACCGATAAAAATCTCGACATCATGTCACTCGAATAAATTCAGAAGGTTGTAAAAATCACAGGAGTGATATGTGATTCACCGAAATATTTCTTCACAAATCTTTTCTGAATACTGATTTTTTATTGATAATTCTAGCAACGTCATGCTCAGAATAATCAGTTGTTTGCAATGCGAAATCATGCTTTGTGATGAATACTAACAACAGATTTCATAGAATATTTAATGCTTGACAAGTAATAGTTCATCTAAAGATAACAGTTGCATGGTACAAAGATAAATATTAAATTGTATACTGAGCTCATCTTTCTGTTCGCTGCTGAAATTTTCGTCATAAAACTCAGTTCGAAGTTCATGAAATATTGTTTGATTCATATTTTTTTTTCTATGAAATATTTTGGCATGGAAAGATACGTGCAATCAATTTTCCTGTATACATCCACTTATGTGTCAAAAGGAGCAGTCACAAGCTTCGCTTTATGCGTAATACAGTTTATTTTTATGCAAAAAAAAAGAAACGAGAACAAATATTAAAGTTTGTCACAATCTCTAAATATTTCATACACATATTGACAAAGAGAAAGAAAAAGAAACATTCGATTCAATGTTCTCCAACTATGAAAAAACGTTTCAATGTGTAGCAAAAGCTTTTTCGCCGCTTAGCACACCACTCTAGGCAGTAGATCCGTGATAGATCGTTGTGTCAAAAAGACACAAGTCTAATATTTCTATCGAACATCGTATAGCCTTGTCTTCTGCATACGTCGTTCTTAATGTATTGTCGGCGATGTAGCAGACAGGAAATAAAGGAGGAGCGGCGGACCTAATCAAAAATTAATTATATAATGTTTACTATTGAAAATATTTGCCTTGATAATTTTCCTGAAGAAAAGTAAGCCACAGGATAGAAGAAAACGAATGTTAATACCCGAATTACGAAATATGGTCTTCTCTTATTAGACAATACATTCATTGAAAACTTCATACCAACGATTGGAATTGACTTCAAAGTTACAACAATCAACATACGAAACAAACAAATTAAATTACAGCTATGGGATACAGCTGGCCAAGAGAAATTCTATAATATAACAAGATCTTATTACGTAGGATAAATATATTTTATTTATATTTAAATCTTAGTAAACTGTTTACTTGTTTTTTTTAGCGTAATGCTGATGCGATAGTCCTTGTTTATGATCGTACAGCAGCAAGTTCATTTCAAAATGTAAGCCGTTGGATGAGAAATATCGATGAGAACGCCCCTGATGATGTCCTACGAGTATTAGTTGGAAATAAAAGTGATCTTCATCATTCGATCATTATATCAACGCAAGATGGGAAAAATTTAGCCGGAAAGTACAATATAGACTATTTTGAAACAAGCGCAAAATCAGATACAAATGTCAATGTATCAAAAATGTTTTATGCTTTAACAGAAAAATTGCTTGAGCGACATCGAGTGTTACCTATGATGCCAATCGATAACATTGATATATCAAAGCAATCATCGGACTCAGCTTATGAACGATTTGTGAGTTGTTGTTCAGCTGCAACAACAATGCATAAATGATGCGAACTGATACTTTTTATGAATCATTCTCGTCATTTTTATTTCTATAAAACATAATCAAATATTTCGAGGCGGTCGACTCAACTATTTTACAATTGAGGCCTTAAAATATGCACACATGATTCAAGGAGATATTTTGTTGAATATATTCTTAGCTACAGTTTTTCGTTGTTTTGAAACTGATTTTACTAATATATATATATATATATATAGAAAATATCTATGTTGGATGAATTTTTTCAGGAATAGTCAATGAGAAGGTCTCGAACAAAAATTCTCGTAAACCTTATTCTATGAAATGGAAAAGCTGGAAAACATGACTAGAAGTTTTTCCGCTACCAAGGAAATTCCTCCAAAGTTATCTTACTTTTTCGAAATAACGAGAGTATGCTAAAAAAAAGTTTAACTGCTGAATATTTCTCTTACAACATCTTTTTTTTAACGAAAAACTAATTGATACTACGATGATTTTGATTTTTGGTACAATAGGTCGGTATTTTTACCGCTAAAGGAATACTTTCGTGAGGCATACAACTAATGTTAGCTAAAGAAAAGAAAATTGTTGAACATAGATTTTGTACGAAGCTCAAATCTTTCATGGTCAGAAGACAGGTTTGGGGTGTTTATCTACGACGAAACCACTCGACATCGCGTTTGCCATCTGGAGAGAATGAAAAAAAAATGAAAATTCTATTGATTTTGCATTTTATATATATATTTATCTATCACTTGAAGTAAAAGAAAGCGTGGAATGAAATATTATGTAAGTATGTTGATCCTTCTTCTATTAAATCGCTCTTTGAAAATGTCAACAAAGTACTTTGGAGAAATGAAATAGAAATAACATGAGCCTAGATGTCTTCATAAATTTATTTTATTTTCTATGATTGACATTTCGCTTAATCTTCTTTCAACTATAGAAATAGAATACGGGTTTGACAAGCTCGACATGTTACATGTCTAATATTCGAATCTTGATGACATGAGTCTCAACAACAACAAAAATCTTTTTCTGTTTTTGAATCTTAAGGTCGTAATATAGAAAAATCTGTTTCTCGTTCATTGTAAATATTGATAGTTTTCATTGAACTTCTTTTGGCCTATTTGATGCCATGAGAAACAACTAATTGAGCGCAGACCAGGAAAAAACATCGCTCGCTTCATTTAAACAAGAAACCAAATAGTATGACAATAATGAATCTCACGTTATTTACAAAGTTTTTACATCACAATAAATGTATAAAACTTGAAATAGAGCATACTGTTCAAATCGTTTTTCTTAGGTTTATCTAATCAAGAGAAAGATATGCGCTTATTTTTCTAGTCATGACATCGGTATTGTTGTATTTGATCAGAAATTTAAGATTAATGCAAAATGAGATTATTATTGATCGAGCTTCCAATCGAATCGAACTAATATGTCAATAATTGAGAACATGTTGTTCAACATCCGAAATAGAAATCTCTAACAACTTGAATTGTTCCATGTTGATATGATGGAGGAAATTATGTCCGACAAACAGTCTTGATAAAGCCTCAAGCTATTTCAGAATTTATCTAGTTGTATATGTGAATTCTAATAATCTATAGGATTGGCCTAATCTGGTTTTTGTTCTCCTAGCCAATCTCATAAAATTCAATAGAAACTGAAAACAAAATTCATGCGAAATCTACAGCAGTACTAAGACATCATATCGAACATCTGTGCAGTGTGGCTAAAGTGTTCCGCCGAAACAAGAGAAGATGCGAATGATGAATATCGCTTTCATCATCCATATATGAAATATAAGGGTTCTTTCTCTTGCGGCATTATGAAACAAATTATTTACCATGTTGTAAACAAGATAAAGGTCATTATTATTATTATCTTCGATCAATTCAATGATTACTACAAATATAAGTAAGATTTAACATAAGTAGAGACCATCCAATATGACATTATCAAAGACTCTTTTGTCTGAGAACTTTTACTGTGTCTATGGTTGAAACAAAATGGTCATAGTTTTGAACCTACTTCCACACTACAGTTGCGTCAATAAATTATCTGAAACCTTTTGCTTAAGGAAACAAAATAATGAACAGCCACGTCGGACATCAAATATAAACATTTTGCTCATGTGTATTTCAAGGCGATTGAAAAAAAATCCTTTAACTAACCATATAAAATAGTTGTGTTTTTTAAAAATAACATCTTTTGATCAAACTTAACCAGGGTGTGATTTTTATCGACAATTTTGCATTAGAATTAGAATGCATCGTGTTTTTTTTTACCATTCGATGCCTAACGTACTGCAAAAATTTGTCCGACAGGTACAATTTATCATATCAAAAACGTTTAGGTTCGTGAGCAATTCGACGAACTCTAGCTCAAAAGAATATACTCAAAAAAATGAAGCTTCCATTGATTGTCCGCAACAAATGAAATCGATTAAAATGGGTTTTTATTATTTTTTGACATTTAATGGCAAATCTTTAATGATGCACAAAACTAAATCTTTTATTAACAGCATCTACTAAAAGGGGAAAGGGGCACAAGTAGACATAGATACATAATATATATATATATATATATATGTGTATGTGTGAGATTCTTTGTTTTTTTTTACATACAGCTATGAGAAAAATACTGTGAACTTTGTTAAATGCACAAAACAACACAAAACGATTCAAACTATGTAAATAGACAACACAGACAGCATGAGAACACGGATGACTTAAATGTAGTTTGATTTTCTCATTCTTTGAAATGATTGCGAAGTAATCGAAGAAATTCTTCGCGATTTTCCGGTGTTAATGCTAGAACTTGTTGTAAGAGTTTATTGGGAGAAGCAACATGTGCAAACGTTGAGATATAAACATTTGTAAATAAAGCCATGATTATTTGACAATCGAATCGATCCTAGAAAAGAGAAACAACCTGATGCAGTTTTCAATCAATCAAATATTTTAATCTTACCACGAATCCTCCATGGCCAGGTATTGTTGCAGCAAAATCTTTAATGCGAAAAGCTCGCTTGAATCCGCTTGCAAAAAATCCTCCGAATGGTCCAATACTTGAAGCAAACAATGAGATTATTAATGAATGCAATTGAAATGGATACAGTTCGAGTGTACGCTTAAAGAATGAAAATGGTTTTGGCATCGCATAAATTGTCTTTTGAAACAATGGTAATGGTATACATGACGTTGCTAAACCCATTTTCTCTTCATCATATTCCAACGGGCATACGAAGAATTGATAGCGACTAAATATACCAGCTAATATAAAACCAAAGATTAACGTTGAAACACCACCACCAATAAAACCTTCCCAAGTTTTTTTCGGCGATAATTTTGTTAATGGTGTACGACCGTAAAAGAAGCCAAACATATATGCCATTATGTCATTGCAGATAATTAATGAAACAGGAAAGAGAAACCAGATCATACCTAAATGAATGTAAAACTATGTTTCAATCACATTATGAATTCTATAAGTCACTTTACTTGTCATGCTGCTATAGTCAAAAAACAAAATCGTTCATAAAAATCCCTATGAACTCTTCGTATGCGACTGTACGTTTTATTAGCACGTGTATATTGATCACATGCTTTTATAGTAAATGTCAATGATTAAGTATTCTTAGGCATGTCATCAATGCAAAGACTTCTGGTCAACCGTGCTTCAAATAATATCTTAAATTGATTAATCAGATCGCTATGGCTGACTACCAAGGTCAAACAGATTATTTATATAATCAAAACATCTATTATTGATCTAATATTTTTTCTTTCTAACCAAAACAATGGTGAATACCAATAACTAATTTTCTATGTAATGATTTTTACCTTCGCAAATATTTTGTATCATTTGATGACTCGATGTGACTAGAATCATTAATGTTATATGTGTGTAGCCAAATAAAGTAAATTGTTTAAGATAGTAAGTCTTCTTTAAACTTAATACAAATCCGACAAATCCACTAGTATACAATAGAAAAGCAATCATACGATGATAGGTTACCAATGGTTGCAGAAAGTTATGCTTATTCATCATAAAACCAAAATGATTTATTAAACTTTCGCCATAGAGCCAATAGTTAGAAGTAAATAAGAAATACCATGATAATGTACGGAACCATGGTAAATTGTGAGATTTATAAACTGTATAACCAATATTGATAATTTCTTGAAAACATTTTATTTGTATAAGCAATACAACTAATGACACAACCAACGGTCCCATCGATACTAATTTAGCGAAACCAAGAATCATAACCCATGAAAATATGCCTCGGATAATCCAATTTCGCCAGCGTGGATTAACGCCAATCAATAAACGATCGAAACACATCATGAATTTTTGAATAACTGATTCTTCAATCAGCATATGTGCACCGCTCGGTTGTGATGGTAATGGTTCCATGTCATCATCTTCTGTTGTTACTGCAGCAGCAGCAGCAGCAGCAGCAGCAGCCAATGTCTCTGGTTTTATTGACTGAGATCCATCGGTGTTATTTTCCTGTTCAACATGACGATGGTACATACCCGACACAAGTGGCGAAGAAGAAGAAGAAGACGTTGCAGCATCAGTACTCATTATGAATGTTTAAGGCAAAACAAAAAGATGAGATTACTGATGTGAAATGAATTTTCTTATCTACAAATCAATGAAGATGATTTGACGTGACAAGAAGAAAAACAACAAATACACCACGAGAACTCCTGTTTCTGTCAGCAGACGAAATAGGAGCCAATACAAAATCAGTTTGCAGAATAGATGGCAATAGGGAACGGATGGCTAAAGATATTCTTTCATTATCTCTGTCGTGTCGAAGTTACGCATTTTTGTCGAAGTTTAACTTCGGCACGACATATGCATACGCATATATAAAAGAAACATACCAGGAGATCGAAGAAAAAAATATCTTTAAATCTTTATGAGTGAAATTAATGAAGAAAAAAGAATTCTCCGTATGCATGTGACATGAACTTCATCGTCTGTAGCCGATGGTCTATCGGTAAAGATTAAATTGTTTTGTTTACATTAAAATGTTAGGATCTTACGACTGTAAAGGTCATAGATTGACTCATCTTTCATTCAATACATGTCTGCAATTTGTTTTCGCATTCTGTCGGCAAGATTTTTTTCAGCTGTTGCCTTTTTATTTGGTATGTTACACAAGCAATATCATGATTTCTCTTGATATCTATTATCTTTCGAGAATACTCAAAAGAAAAACGACTATCACTCTCTATTACTCTTTTGATGGAGTAAAGCTGTTGTCAATTTTGCCATGGCAGCAGTTAGTTGATGATAAACTATATCAGTTAATATATTTATTTTTTTTAATAAAATTTTCTCCTTGCCTAAAAGCTTTGAAATGATGTAAGAGAACTTATAGATTACTGCTGAGTGATTAAATCTTAAAAAGTCTTCTTCTATAAACAAACTTACAATAGCATCAATTCTTTTTTTTTTGATTACCGCATACTTTTGCTTGAAAAATAACATTCAAGTCAAGAAAAGTCTGCTTACTATCACCCTCGAACCTGCTTTTGTTTTGATTATGATAAAGTCTTTTTTCATACACACAATGAATCGATTGTAGAGGACACAATTCCATTGGGAAAAAATCGTTCACACTAAGGATTGAATCAAAGAAATAAATCATGCTGTTTAAAGCAACAGTTGCAATAGCTAAACCAGCAGGAAGTGGAATATCACTTAATTTCGATAACTAGAAAATGGTAGGCGAAATATTTTAAAATTCATAAAAGCACTATGTTCGATTTTGATTCCGATAACTATCTTCGTTCATCTAAACAGTCCTCTAATTCAATGAGTATTATAATGAATTTTTGCAAGAAACCTGCAGTCTGAAGTGAAACCCTAAAGGGAATTGTTGTCTTTATCTTACGTTTCGAAAATCTACGTAAGTGCTATGAAATAATTTTTTTTTTGAGTAACATTGATCTCCAACAATATCTAGTTGTTGTTGTTCTTTGATGATAATTATTCTTCGAAAATGAAAATCAATCTACGTTTTCAACAACTGCTTCAACCGATAGAAGACACCACTCTTCGATTTAAAAAAAGACTGATTCAATTATATAACCAGCTGTCTTTATATGCATATTTAATATAAGGAAGAAGGATGAAACAGAATAGTCAAGTTTTCCGGCGCAAACACGAGAAAAAAATAATGAGTGTTAAAACAAAACAAACAGGCATACAAACAAAACAAGCACATCATATCTTTTGTTTCGCTCAATCTAATATACAAAATGTAACAATACCATAAACATACACATATATACTTTATTTACGCAAATAGAAAACAAATACACTCAATATGTTTCGCTTAAAATGCGAAGAACAACATAGATATAGACGAATAATAATAGAGATGAACAAGAATAATAAAACAAAATTTTTTGTTGTTGATGTTGTCGTAGATAATCGCCGAAAGAAAGAAAAAAGAAACAAATAGAATACCGATGATGAGAGACAAAAGAAAAACACCGTTAATCAATAGACAGAAAAGGCCGACCAGATAGATATCTTCATGCTTTTTTCCTATTATCAATTTTGATCTCTAACCATTAAATTTTCAAGTAATTGACGAAAACAATTATCCACAACATTAGCACATTGTGAAAATGCTGAATCAATTGGATTAAATTGTCGACAATTATTAAAAATTTTATTAACATCACGTATAAAATCACATATAGTGCGAAATTTATTATTTAGCACTTTTGTTTTTAATGTTGTAAAATCTTTAAAAGATAGAAATAAAAGTTTGCGGATAGAAGAGAATAAAACGAATTTTTCTGCTCTGTAAAATATTCAGTGAGAATTAAAAGCAAAAGTAACTTCCGATGATATTCCGAGATTTCAGAATTCTATCGCTCAGACCTACAAAATATGTCGATAAGTTAACTGTTAGAATAAGATCAGAAGTTGCCTTTGTTTAGAATTCGACACAAGTTACTGAAATATTTTACAAAGTAAGTTTCATTCGTTGTGCTCTTACCCATAGGATCTTTTATTATTTTGTGATAGTTCGGTACATCTTTCACATCAACCGGTTTTTGAAATGGCCATGACATTTTATGTGCCTATGAGGACAAAAAATAGTTAGAACTTTCATTTTTTTTTCTCTAAATCAACTATTCTTACCAAAAGTTGATCAATCAGATCCAACAATTTCTTTCTCGTTTCACCAGTGATTGATTTGTTTAGAAATTCTTGTTTCTTCTCTGTAGAACATCTTGGACAAACATAAACTTCGAATTTTTCTGCATCTGCAGGGGTTATATTAACACATTTGCCGTGCAACCAATCGGCACATACGTCGCAACCAATATAAAATCTAATTGTAACAAAAAAAAAAGATTATTTTCCTAAATCAGTAAATTGTTTTCTTTTACTTTGATTCATCATATTGGGTTTGACAAATACAATATAAACGTTCTTTAGCTCGCTGCGTTAATATTGCACAATCTTCACAAATAAATTCATTCATTTTTTCTGCAAGACGTGGTGTTAAACCAACACATTTGCCATGCAACCAGCGTGAACAAAATTCACATTGAACAAAAAATTTTTCTTCTAAATCATTATTTCGTTTACAATTACAATCAATATTTTCCGGTTTGAAATCAGTTGATAATTTATTGCTTTTTCTTTGAATAGAAGTATTTATTGTTGTAATTAGTTTAGGTTTGTTTTTTGATATTGTTGATGACGACGAAGATTTACGATTGGTTAGAAGATTTTCATCATTGTCAGATAGATCCGCATGATCAGGCATATTATTACTACGTGGACGACGGGCTTTTTTAGGTGATGGACTATAATCATCGGAGAATTTAGTTGACGCGATCGGGCGTGTTCGTTTTGATATTGCGCTAAAATAAACCATAGAATATTCGATAATAAAAATGTTTTTAGATCACTTTCTTAGTTACTCTATTCTAGAGACTGAATGATCTATGTGAGATAGAACGGGATTGTTATTAGAAACCATACGAATGGTGAAATCAATGTATTTATAGTCGGCTAAAGAGATAGACGGTTATTCTGACATGACTTTCGATCATAACGTAGCGAATAGGAATGGAATTCTGCAGGCATATAATGCATTTTCAATCATATATCTGTGAAAATGTAAATGATGATGTATTGGTTTACATAGTTTTTGTTTTTTAGTGGCATGTTATCAAATACTGCAACACATACGATGTATGGTGTTGTGTAATAGAATACTATAGCTATTTTAGTACATTATCAGCTTGAACTATAGTAGTGTCGTGAACTTCGGACAGATGTGTGAGATTAATTATAGTGGAGCCGAAATGATGAATAGGGATATCGTTTAGATTTTCATTGATCCATTAAAAAAGTGACTAGTAAGGATTTTTCTTGATTAATGATGGTTTCGCCATGTATTTTTCTCATGTGGCCTGACGCTTGTATAGAAAACATTAATGATCTCTTGAGGTGGAGCATGAAAACTTTTCTGATAGAAAAAGAAATGTATTTATGAACAAATCATGTACTCAAATGCCAACACTTGTCTTAAGATGCAATTTAACATTGATCTCCGGTTATACTGAAAGAGTTGATTCTATATAGTAGCTCTTTAGTAAAATTTCTCCCTTGACAATTCTAATATTGACTATAAATTTGTATGCTACCAACATCACTCGAAAAGATAATCTTAGTCGTGTTCGTATTTTCAATGTCGATCGGTCAAGTATATAGATTGGGTACAATCTGATAAAAAAGAATGAACTATAAAAAATAAGCTCTGCATACTAATCTCTGATATCGTCATAGATCCTTTGAACTATCGTTGCAACAACGAATAAAAGAGTTTATTATTTAATAATAATTTTCTATCGATTTCAGTTCACTAAACCATTGGAATCAGTGATTCATTCTTAGTATTTACAATTGCTCCTGATAAAAGATCTTTTTAAATTACCTTTTGATATTCGGTTCAATTGATTTTGGTGTTGCTTGTCGTTTTTGTTTAATTTCATTTCCATTAAGTTTTTTCGCTTTTTTAGCTGGCGGTGACTCATCTTTAGTATTATCTTCATCGGATACGAATTGATCTTGCTTAACATTAGTTGCTTGTTGTTGTTGTTTAAGTATAATTTGTTGCTGTTGTTTAAGACGTTGTATTTGAAATTGTTCTTTAACTAAAACTGCTTTACGTTCGGAACGATTTTTAATGAATTCTTGTCGAAGAATATCAACACGTTCATTTAATAAACGTGTTAGAACAATTTGACGATGTTCAAATTTCGGTACTGTTGTACTATGTTTTTCTAGACGTGTTTTTATTGATTCTTGATGTTGTTCGCGTTCAATTCGACCAATAAGTGATCGAAGAATTGATTCACAGATTTTCATTCTTTAGAGAAACTTAGACATAAAGAAACAAAAAGAAAATAAATAAATAATAATTTACCTGATTCCTTCTTCGGGATCGATTTTAGGTGGTAAAGCTGTTGTCGCTGGTCGTTTAACAGGTGTTTTGGGATTTTTAGTTTCAATAGTCGTAGATGTTGTTTGTGGTGTTGGAACTTGTCGTGGAGTCATTTTTTTACCTGAGTCTTTTATAATCGATGTGGCTTTATTTTCTAATCGTGATTTTGTTGTTGATTTTTCCTCATTTGTTGAAGGTGTTTTACGTACAGTTTTCGGTTTCGGTTGTATCGTTGGCGATGATACAACAGGTAAAGATGTCTGTCTTTCAATAGGTAATGTCGTTTCTATTCTACGCTTATTATTATTATTATTATGTATTTTTAATGATGAACCATTACTATCAAGTGTAACTGTTTCAGATATAGTTGGCAATGAATCATCTTCGCCTCCCATTAGAACACTTGCTGTTGGATCGAACCGTAATAGTGTTTCAGCTGATGCGGCATTTAATTGTTGTTGTTGTTGAACTAAAAGTGAATTTAATAAATCATTTGTTGCTGAAGATAAAGCTGTTGGTGCAGGTGCTATTGGACGTAGGCGACGTTCTTGTGGTGATATCGATGCTTGATGGTGTTGTTGTTGTTGTTGATGAGATTTTATATTTGTTGATGGAGACGATAAATTAGTTATTTGAATCGTACTAACGCGAGGTGTATTCTGTTCTTTCGTTATTCGTTTTATGGTAGAAATAATTCCAGTTGGATTCGGTGGACTTACTGATGATGCTTTTATTATTCTTGATATACCATTTTCATTGACCATCAATTGTTGTTGTGGTTGAGTGTTCGTAGGGACAAGAAGCATTTGTCCATCAGCTAGTCTAACAACGGAAAACGATTTTGTTGCTTGTTGAGGTGTTGATTGATTTGGTGTTGGACTTGTTTTAACAATAACAACTTTTCCACTTTCAGAATTTAATGGCGATTTGGTTTGAATATGTGGTATACGTACAATAAATGGTTTAGAAGATTGTGGAGTTGAAAGTGGATCAGTGATAATTGTCGTTTTTTCTATGATACGCGGATTCATTCTGACTTTAGGTTTTTTTTTTGATACACACACTGTTCGAAATTTAATATTGTCTAACAACGATTCTATGATATGTTAAGTTTTCTCTTAGATAAAAGGACAAGTTTTCTTGTGAGAATGTCCCATCTAGAATAAATATTTGCAGAGATATTATAAATTGTCGAAACAAAAAGAAAAAAAGAACTCTATGTCACTCTTGAGATAAGTTCATGCAAGATAAAAGGTTATGCCTTTATTTATCATCTAATATTTAACAAAGAAACTCCCTAACTAAAAATATAAAACTTACATTCCTATTAGAAGTTAGGTACACACTCAAAACTTTGTTTCTTCATGATACAAACTAGAAAACATGATTTTTCTTTTCTTTCAAAAGCTTAAATTCCTACGATAGATTAGAAAATCAATAGCCTATAGATATAAATCAGAAGAGAAGATTCTCTTATAAACTGTAATATTTCGTAGCAAACAAGATTTAAAGTATAAAACCAAATGAATTATCCATATTATTATCAACCGTTAATAATGAATTTAGATTTTTATCAATATTTTTATTAAGTAAATATCCGTTATTAAAACCAATAAAATACGTAAATAGTTCATATTAAATAATCATTTTTAAAAAGTTTTGTGAGTAAATCTATTGATCATGGACGACTATTAATAATCCCATTGCAACATTGACATAAACATAGTAATGAACATGAAAATCTTAATACTATTGGCTTTTTTTCATCCATGGAAAATAAACGACACTAGTTTTTATATCGATTACAAATATTTGATACTTTTCGATTTATCAATAATCCAAATGTTCATCAGTCCGATGTTAAAATCATTGCATTATAAATGTACTTCATGAACCCTACTTTAATCATGTAACATATAATATTCGATGACTTAACTAACCTGTTTGCTAAAAAGAATCAATAATTTTGTCTTACTTTAAAATAAAGAATCACATAAAAACATAACAAAACTCATAATTTAATCGAATATGACTAATGCTTCATGCTACGATTTGTAATATTTTTCGATTCCATCTAGTAAAAAAATCTCCATATTGCTGCATTCTACCTTCGCTGCAAACGAACGAAAAAAGAAAAGAAATCCGTCGTGCAGAGCGCTTTTAATATAGCCACCATATTAGCAGCGTGGTCTTCTCTTTATTTGAAACCTCTAAATATGTGTCAAGTTTTGACAAATGGGAAATTTTCTTTCATAATAAAATTATTAAGATAAGTTAAAAGTCATGTTTTTTCTATTTTTTACATCATTTAATTAATCAAGTTTATTTCTTAATTTGTATAAGGTGACATCTATAAAATTAATATTCGAGCATATTGCTTATGAAAATTTGATTATTAAATTTTAAGTAAAATTAAAAAAAAAATTCTCATAACTCTTCTATGAGAGGCGAGAAAACGTCGAATAAGATAAAATATGGATACCGTTATGTTCAAAATGAATAGCAGCGAAGACAAAATTTTATTTACCAAAAATAATACAAGGAACATCTTCTTTTTTGCTTCACAATGACAACTGAAAATAAGCCAGATGAATATATAAAACTTCGTGTTGTTGGACAAGATAATAGTATAACATTTTCATGGAGTTTTTCCCTTTTCAAACGATGATTTTTCTCTAGGCGAAGTACATTTCAAAGTTAAAATGACAACTAGTATGGGAAAATTAAAAAAATCATATGCTGAACGACAAGGTAATACTTATTGAATGAAAAAAATACAATCTTTACTTTTACCAATTATTTCAGGTGTCGGTGTGGCAACATTAAGGTAACGATGAAAGTTTTACTTTAGTTCATAAAGGAATTTCGTTGTTTTATCAAGATTTCTTTTCGATGGCAAACGTATTAATGATGATGAAACTCCTAAACAATTAGAAATGGAAGATAATGATACTATTGAAGTTTATCAAGAACAAGTAAATATTGGCTCGGTTTTTTTTTAATGAAATTTATTGTTTTATTTTAGGTTGGTGGTTATTCTTCGTAATTTTCTCATGTAGTTTGTCTCTTATGTCTGTAAATATCAGCAAGCAAAAGAAGTTCGATTGATGATTTTTCTTTCTTTCCTTCTTTCTCTTTTTTTCTTGGTGAATAATAAACAAAAAAAGAAAAAGCAAAATAGTCGATATCCATCCCGATCCTTAAAATGAAGTAATAATACAAAAAAAAAAAAACGACAAGAACAAATAAATGGAAATAAACAAATCAAAGAATTAGTCTTGCTTTTTTTGCTCTTTAGAAAAAATAATAGAGGAAAAGAAAGATCTATTTACAAGCCCGAAGAAATTTTAAAATATCATCATATTCTATGTCATTGTTAACTTCATTTAAATCAGTAATGTGTGGCTACATTGTCTATGACAAACTTTCTGGGTCTCCTGATTCTGATTCTCTATGAGATTGAAGAGCAGACGATGAATGTGAACGACGAAATGATGATGATGGACTTCGATTAAATTGTTGTTGTTGTGTACATATAAGTGTTTGATCTTGTCCATTTACAATGGTTTGATTTTGTTGGCGATTATCCGAACAAAACAAATGTGGCACTTCAAGTTGTAACATACGTTGATAAAATGTGTCTTGACGTAATTCACTTGCTCGTGGTCGATCATGTGATGAATGCGATAATAACCAACGAATCAAACGACACTACAGAGAAAAAAAAGGAAAATTTTACTGTCAAAATTCTACCGAAAAGAAAACGTTTACTTACTATTAATTGATTACGATTATTACCATCAATTTCGAAATCCTTGGGAAATAATGGCGTTTGAAGACGCACATTTGCTAGTTCTTGCATACGCTCCATTTGTGTTGAAAATGGATAAAGAAGTTCGAAAAGAATAATGCCCATTGCATATATATCAACTTTTTGATTGTATGGCTGACGATTGATCTGTGGAAGAATAACAAAGATTCAATATTAGTACAACGTTTTTCATTATCTATATTTTCTACGGCATCCTATGAAATATGGAAAATCGTGTGTTCGGATTTACTCATATATGTCAAACTTGAATTCAATTGAAAATTTGAATTTTCAACTTTTAAACCAATAGCATTCTGAAGAATCGTGACTCACACATATATCGCTATGAGTTGTAAGTTAAAATTTTCTATTTTCAACTGAATTCAAGTTTCAAGTGTAACACTACTGGATTTACTGAGGTGTATATGAAATGAATTCTGATTGGACGTAAAAAGAATCTTGCGTCATTCGGTTCAAAGTCGACAGCGAAATGTTTCTTTTTATGGCAGTTCAGGATCAAAGGTTGTTTTCCTCACATGAAGTAAGTAGCACTGGTTTTAAATTTTATTTACCTGTTCCGGACTCATATAAAGCATAGTACCGCCAAGTTCATTGTTTTCACAAACATCTGTTGTTGTCGTTGCTGATGTTGTTTCAATCATTTGTATTTGATCGAACGTTTCATCATCACGTTTCTTTTTTATGGCTGATTTATCTTCACCAAAAGCTGATACAAGGCCAAAATCACCGATTTTCACTGTATTATCCATTGAAAAAAGAATATTTGATGGTTTCAAATCACGATGAATCTAATAAAAGTAGATTTTAAGGTTTTATTGTTGTTTGTGAAAAAGAAAAGTATTGCTGTTTACCAATTTTTGTGAATGAATATATTCGATACCACGAGTTATCTGATCGAAAATAGACCAAGCTTGATGTCGATCAATAGCTCGTTTCATCAGACGATCACGTAATGATTCCGGTTGACATAATTCCATCACAAAATAAAAATAAGTTGTTGGGATATCTTTTTCATTGATTGTTAATTTCTGTTTTTCATTTGCCGATTTTGTTTGAGTTTGTATAGGAGATGGAGACGATGATGATCGTTGTTCCTCATGTAAAAATATAATTCCATCATCGCTTTCTGTTACTTCTTTATGTGATTGAGTTTTTTCGTTGAACTCATTCGAAGATATGGACGAATCCGATGAATGATCGAATAAAGGTGATGACGACGAAAGAGAACGTTTTGCCATGGTTGTTAACGGACGAACAGATTTGACTGCTTTATTATTATTGTTTGCGTCCAATTGATTATTTGATTGATTTTCCGATGATGATGAAAAGCTCATTTCGGATTTATTATCATCATCCTTATTAATACTATTAGTTGAAAAATCTTCATCGATACGAAGAGGATTCGATGCACGATCAAATGTTATATCAAATAATGATGGAGGTGGATGTGCTGCCATTGATTTAATTGCAGATAGTGGTGCTGTTGCCGATGAAAGTTTTGCTTGATTTACAGATTCACTATCGTTGGCTGATGTTGGAAAAGTACTCATCGAATCTCTGAGAAAAATAGAAAAATCAAACAACGTTGATCAGACATTTCGACTTCAAATATTCAATAAAATAACTGCTTTCATTGCTAGTCTTTCAGAATCGATAGGTTTTGCAGGTACTGACTAAAACCTTGTTATGATTCAGTTGATGTTGAAGATGAATCAAGGGTTAAAAATGACTCATTTGCACCGAGCGACTAAAACATTTGTAAGGTGCTGTTTTTCTCATCGGAAATCTGAGTATCATTTTTAGATTTCAGAATGCTGTTTTGATTGGTTATTTATTCTGATTATGGTCGGAGTATGATTCAGGAGAAAACATTTTTCATGTTACTCACTACTTGTGAACTAAAAATAGTGTGATTTCTTATGAAAAAAATCTCTCAATACTAATCTATATAATATTCTTCAAACACTTTCTGAACAGAAAAACTGAGTCAACAGAGAAAGTAAAAGAGCAGAATTGTTTATTTTTCTATAACGAAATAATTCTTAAAATACCTTGTAGTTATACAATTTCTTGCTAATAATGTTTCATCTACTTTTTCTTGCCATCCAACCGGTGGACTTTCATTCCAAGCATAGTAATATTGTATTAAATTAGGATGATTTAACACAGCCAAATAGCGAATTTCTTTCAATGCACGTTCTTTTCCGGAGGCTCTTGAAAAGTAAAAAAGCATTTTTTCAATTTCAAAGAAAATATTTTGTAACAAAAACTGTTACTTTTTTAATGAAACACGTTTAATGGCCACACGGCGTTCATCTAATTTATTAATTGCTTCAAATACAACACCAAAGCCGCCACGTCCAAGAAAACGAACATGTTCATATTCGAGCGCATATCTAAATGAGATGTATATCGAAAAATAAATCATACACGTGATTTATCTACCTTGATTGAAATACTGGTATTAATGATGGTTGTAATTGAATATATTCGGGTGTCGGTGGTAGACTTATCGTTGCAATTGTACTATTCTCTGTCACCATGGATTCTTGACGTTTATATACAAATTGATTTTGTTTTAAATACAACATTAATATAATGACTGCAGCACCAAGAAAAACGCTTGATATTGTTATAACATTTGTTGGTACGTAGACATTTGAATGAGCATTTAGTTTTGTGGCGAAAGTCAATCTATCATTCTTTTTAATAAGAGAACCACTTGATTCTGTTATATATTCTAGAAAACCTGCTGTATCACATATTTCGTCAGTAGCGGATGGAATTATCTTATGATTTCCTGTTCGATCTCGTCGTAATGCTACTGGATATGTAGTCTCGGACGGTAATAAGCCATGAAGAGGTTGATCATTATTATCAGGTATTTCAGAACCGATGGATAATGTTCGTTTTTGATATGCTTTATGCCAAGATAATACTGGTCGTCTGTTACTATGAGGTCCTGCAATGAAATGCGAGAGATTATTTTTCCAGGTTCAATTAAAGCAGAGATCTATCGATTGTTACCTGTTTTAGCACCGTGAATTAATTTTTTTTGATCACTAGGTGATATAATAACATAGGGTGTTGAATTAAATTCACCGCTGAAAGCTACACGACGTGGTTTTGGTAACGTAGGAAGCGAATCATCGTCATCTAGAAGGATTTTTCCTTAAAAATATTGAACAGATTGTAGTTGGTTTCTTTTTTTTACCTAATTCATCTTCGGAAATATGACTTGATGTTTTTGTTGTTATTTCGAATAAAGATTTTTCATTTAATTCACCATCTTTTAATTCCCATACAGCAGCTATTGGTGAATTAATTACTGACGACCAAGCAAGTTTTCCTGTCCTATCAAAAGCTGATACTAAACCAGTTTGCAATTGATATTCAAAATAGCCTAATAAATGAATAAATAGATTTATTAAGTAGCAGCTGCTATTGTTTTATTTACCAGAAAATGTTCTGTCGTGATCAACTTTTCCGAGAACAACACCAGCTGATTGAGAACGTAGATGAATTAATTGATGATTTGAAACACTTAAATAAAATAACTTTCAATTGAATAAACTAGATAACAACTAAGACGTTGGTCTCTACCTAAAATTCCATTTTTCGTGTCCACTTCGAGCACTTCGTGCTCTTACAGTTTGTGTTGTTCGCTTAACAACTAAAGTCGCTGTAATATCAGTATGCTCTGTTTTTGTTGTTGTACGATTATTATCGACTCTACTTGTTTGTTTCAGATCGTCATTTGAAAATGAATAGATTACCTAAATCAAACATAATAGACTTGATTTTTTTCTTCTCATTTGGCTTATTTCCTACTTGGCCAGTATGTAAATCAAGACCAAGTGTATCAATATGTTTTCCACCTGTTATTGCTAATTCTTCATGAAGACTATAGGATGCCGTAAGTAAATCATCAGCATCGAATGGTAATGGTTCGATATGTCCATCTTCATCATATTTTTCAAAAAGGCCACCAATTAACGACGGAATAAGACGAACTGATCGTGCATCACGCGATATTTCAATTTTACTTAAACTTGAATCAATCAATGGTGCACCGGTATCAGCTGTCCATAATTGGCGACCATTTGCATGTGCATCAATGGCTGTTATTTTACCATCCAAAGAAATCACGTATAAAGTATGACTAAAAATTAAAACAGACATTCTATATTCAACGTATCAAACATAAAAGAATGCTCAATATTTTCGACATCTTACGAATTGCACAATCTATGAGTCGAAACTTTCCATAGTGTTCTACGATATCTGGCTATGAGCTGTCGTTATTTCTCAACAAGTTGACTTACAAATATAGGCTGGCAGAATAAAGCTACGTTTATAAAGTAGCTAATAGATGTCGCATATCGATTGACATAACACTATACTTTTATGCACATAACCTCAATGCTTCAGTAAATCCCGAGTTTGACACAGTACAACAATTCGCACTTGACTAGCTCTATTGTGGGGAAAACAAGATCTCAACAATATCAGGAAAATACTCAAAAAGCTATTTGCTACCGTTCATGATTAATTTTTCTCTTTCATGAATTAACAGAAAAAAATTGAAATTTTCTATTTACATGAGCTCATCAAAACTTGATGGTCGTGGTGGTATTGAAAGTGTTTGCGGTGATAATGTTGTTGTTGTCACTTGAACGTCACGTGAACCACGTATAGTTAATGTTCTTTCAAAATTTTCATTTTGTTGTTTAGCATCGATTTCAATTGATTGAGATACTTGTGGACAAAATGTTAGAAATAGAATAGCTACTGATGGTATAAGCAAAGGCCAAAATCGATTTCGTACGAAAAAAAATAGATGAAAATTGGCATTTTTATAATATTTATGCATGAAAATGATTATTGATGGTGGACATCTAAGAAAGGAAGAAAAAAAAACATCGTCGCAATACCATTTATATAAATATAACTAGGTAAATTTTCTACATTTCGATAATCAATGGCGATATTTACGGTGACTAGCAGATGAGTGACATCGACCACGTTAACTAAAAGAGTAAAATATGGACAGAACAACAGCCAGTGGCACACGTGTAAAACATCTACGCATATAGATGGCTCCGATCATAGCGACACAACTTCAGGAGAAGTAAACCTGCGGCTGACACATAATTAACGAGAGAACGTTCCCAAGTGATTCGTACCGTTTCGATTCATCTTTTGCTGGCTTGTAGGACTCATCATATATATGACATATGTGAAAGGGTTCGTGCCATTGCTACTCGGTTTCAAAGTTATGAGCGAAACAACCGCTTTGATAGATGGTGCTACTATCTTTTCATTAATGTTTCGTTCTTTCGACCTGGTAGCTCAAGCATACTTCTTGAAACTTTTTTCGTTAGAGCAAGTTGAGGAATGTTCGTATTATAAATATCTACGAGGAAAATCGTCCCCTAGTTGAGATATGAAAAGAAGAAAAATATAGCACATAGGAGGTGGCACCATCTATTGTAATACATTTTCCGCTTATAACTTTGAAACCGACCCGCAATGGCACGAATGCTTTCATGTATTTCATATATATGACCGGCCCTACAAGCCAGCAAAAGAGGAATCGAAATGGTACGAATCACTTGAGAATGTTTCCTCGTAAGTAAAAACTTGATTGCATATCAATGAGAAAAGTTATTATTGAAAATACTCTGATATTATTTGTACTGTTAAAAACAGATGCATATCAACACCTTGAAAATCAAATTGGCATCAGTGTATGGCGTTACAAGAACAAAAATTCATTCTTGTTTATTCGTTGTATGCATTGGCTAAAAGAGTTTGACAAAAAAAAATGATTCCATGATTCAATTATAGTAATTGTGCTCGCGTTGAATTCAAGATTCAAGGTAGACAATCTTGAAGCATTACGTTTTCTACGACAAACATGTCAGTAGATATTCTCACAGTGTTGGTTCACGGAAAAAAGTTCCTAATCAATCCAACTCAACATTCATAGGAAGTCCCATGTCGCACATTTTTTTGTCACTACCACCGGTATATTTCGGTATTCATAATAACCGGTCGTAGCGCTAATAAGGCTTCCAGATATCATTTTTTGTCAAATCCCGATTTATTTCGGAAAAAGAATTCGAATTAATCGAAAACAAAACTATTTTAGAATATATTTTGCGAATTATTATTTTTACAGCGACATCTTCAATAAAATATTTATCTCATCATTGGAACTGATATGAGATCTGTGACTACTACAGGCGGCGCAGGCATATCGACATCATTAAAGTCCACCCACACCCAACACGACTCTGTCGGTATTATCAGACTGAACAAAAAAAAATCCGTCGTTTCTATACTATATAAAAGAATGCATCACTTTCATGAAAAACCAGCGATAGAGCGCACATTATAAGGAACTGTGAACCGTCGATATACCGCCAGTTTTTTTCCGGTTTGAATTACATGGGGTATTAATCAAAAGTCTTGAACTCAAATTGTGAGAGAAAATTCTTTCGTTCGTGCATTCAAGTTTTCGTAGAGAATTAAAAAGACGACCTTGAACACTTTCTTCGCCATAATGTGAACATGTGCGTTTTTTCTCACACCGCAGAAAATTCAGAATGGATTATGCAACATAATTACATGAACAGCAACTCAATCGATTCTTGTTCTGATGTAACCAAATTCAAAGAATGAATGTACCACTGAATTGAACTTTTGATGCAAATTATTTCATAGAAAGTGCCATTATTTATTGGAAAAAAAACGAGTACATTCTCACTGGCAATACCACGCGCTTCTCTGTGTGCCAAGTGACTCAGTACCGATACACACAGCATGCTAATGTTTTGGTTGCTACTTGAAATAAACGCATTCTACTTGAAAATAAAGTGAATGTTTTTGTCGAAATTGAAAATTTCAATCTTTTGCTCTGAAGAACGATTAACCATAAGTAGGAAGTAACAAAATTGAATAGAAATGAATTCTATTTCTACGCCTATTTCAGAAATCTTTTCAGGTTAAAATTTTTGAAGATTCACTGACTTTGTCACCGAAATTTCAGCATATTTATCAGTTTCAGTAGAGTTCGCTGTTTATAAAAATCATTTTAGCACAAGTGTTAATATAATATGTAGCCACTAGAAACCGTCAACATGTTCTTCTCTACAGAATAGTATAATCATACATGGCTTTATTGGCTTCAGACCATATTTATACTATATCTAATGTATCTTATGAATCTTTCTTTTTATTTCGAAGTGTTGTAAAATTTTTAATGTTTTCTATAATTTTTATTAAAACAAATTCTTTTCCTTTTCATAAACACTATCCAATTCCTATCGTTTAATATAACGCTTCTTTTTTCAATATCCAGTATAATGCATAAATCTTTTTAAAACAAGAAAAAAACGTATTTGATATATGTTAAAAATTAAATTAATCATATCCTACTATATACATAATACACAATACTTCTTTGGGTTAGCTGCTTGTTCATTATCTTCAGTGCGAGAATACGCACACAAGAGAAATTTTGTGACAAGAAAAAAAACGAAAACTTGAAGTGTACAACTGAAAGAAAGATCAAACATTCTCCATCGTATAAAAATTCAATCGGTCAAATTATCGCCGGGAAGACCCGATGAAGAAAATGGCGGTAATGCAGGAAAAAGTTCTCTAGGTGATGGTGGTGGTGGTATCATTTGGTTTTGAGCAATTTCTAGAAATGGAAATGGTAGAGCATTACCAGAATTCTGATCTATAGAAAATAGAATTCAAGATATTTTTATGATTACGGAAATTTTAATTTTACCATCATTGACATCAATGAGACTATTCACTGATCGACTTCGTACACATTGAAAATCTACATGACGTGATTTTGCTTCTTCTTTTTCCCATGACATACGAAGAAACGGTCTTTGAATATAACTATAAATAGCTAAAAAAATAACCGAAAAAAAGTTATATTTAAAAGAGCGAAGAAATTTAGTCTTACCTTCTGGTCTTGCTCGTGGACGACAACGAACTTTTTCTTTATGCGTCGGATAACCTTCGATACCCATGCGAATTTTTTTCAAACCCCGATCTTTCAGCACCAATTTAGCTACTTCACGATTTTCAATATACTTAAAAAATCTATATATAGCAGTTGAACGTATAACTGAGAAAGCAAAAGACAAAGTTGAATATTTTCTTTAATTTTAAGCTGCTCTATTTTACTTTGAGCTTTATCTTCTTCTTGACACAATTGTGGTGGATAATCATCATCCCATTCAATCAGATCATCATCACATAAAATCACTATTTGACATTCGCGGTCACCGCGCTGCAAAGAAAAAATAATTTCAATCAAAGAAATAGAATAAAAATCTTAATTACTTGAGCAGATTCAACAAGCACGGGGAAAATATCATTTTCAAGAAACATTTCAAATTGTTTTTTTGCACCATCATTAGATAATTCATGCAATAATCCACCTAAAGATAAACATTCAAAATGCAAATCGGAAAAAGATAAAAAGCAGTTTCATACATAAATCTTGACATTGAATTGTTAGTTGATCAAAAGGTATTAGAAAATAATCACATGCTTCACGTAGATCTTGTATACTTATCGAAGGTGGACAGCGGATTGTTCCAATACTATAAAAATCCTAAATAATAAAGATCAATTCCCATTTAGCAAAAAGAAATTTTCAATAAACTTTTCATTTTGCTTACTAATAAACTTCGGAAGATCGTAGCTGATATTCCATTAGCAACTTCATATTCTCCTCGTTCATTAGGTACGAGTGATGTTTCCCATGATATACTGAACATTCTGCCAAGCATCGTATTTGGATGTGCACGAAATAATTGTGGATCGATAACAAATCTTGTTTCGTCAACAACAAGTGTGACACGATCGGAATTATTTGTTGTAGATGTTGTCGATACGATCGTTTGTTCTTGAAGTTTTTTATTCAGTTGAGTTCTACTTGGACTTGAACGATTTTCATCAGTAGTCTTATGACGATAACGATGATGTTGATGAACAGGAGCCCCATTCATAAGAGATGATTGATCATTGGCTGATACTGGAGATGTAGATTTTGATTTATTTTTTATTTTGACTGGTTTTATCGGCTGATTTGGTATTTGTAGTTCAGGACTTGTTGAACCTGAAACGGGAAGAAAAAGGTAATAAGGTACAAAACAAGAAAATGAAGATAGTTACCGCTCGGTACTTTAAGGATTCCATGAGTTGGTTGTTCATATGAACGTCCGACATGTGATGATAATAATCTAACATGATTTGTTTCGTCTAGTAGCAGTTCTTCGTCACTTGTCGATGTTTTTTGTACAAGGCATGGTTTCATTTTGTTATTGACTCGTTTGGTTCTAGAAAAATTAAATCGTTCAAAAGTACAAAATTCGAATGCTCATTCAATTACCCTCGATGCTTAGATGATGGTGAACTTTCGCTGTTATTATTTGAATCTGAACCATTTTTTGCGCAATCAGAATCATCTGTATCTGTACTAACATCATGAGATGTTGAGCTTTTTTTATTCGAAGTTGCCATTATGCCTAAATTTTAGAAGGAACAAAAAATATGTAGACTCGACAATTTTCCTTTCGTTCTACCTGAGATAGTTATAATATAAAATAGGTTTAAGAAAACGAACTGTGTTTCTATCACATGGATAATCTATCAGGAATAATATACTACTAAAGCTTGTTTATGCAATGAGAATATGCTCGAAGTAATGATTAGAATCAGAGAGGAAGATATATATATATATATATATATATAAGTAATGACAATGAAAATGGCAATGTATTTTATTGATCATTAGAAATGACAAATCATGTGAGCGATGTCGCTGTACATCAATGAAAAAACTAGGATAAACTTTTCTATTTTGAATGCGTAGAAAGATTCGAAGAACTTTGCATAGAGAAACTCATGAATTATAAGCAATTTATTTCGTTTTAGTTAGTGATGGTAAAATTTAAGAGAAAACAATTGGCATGTATTTAATGTGATATCTTAAAATGCAGCAATCCATATCTAAATTATATCAATATTGCCTAACTCAATACACTAGTATCTATTCTGGTGAAAGGATACCTTTAAAAAATTGTTTGATCTAATTTTGTAATTCAACATCTTTTAAATCAATTAAATATCCGAAAAAGTTCTGTATTTTATTTCAATATATTATCACTTTTAATAACTGACTATCAATCACAATTAACCGACTTATCTAATCATTTTGAACGTAATCTATAATTGATTAGTACCTATCAATTAATTGAAAGAGTATATATCAGCTGGCAATAACGATACGTGATAAGAACACCCACACCCACACCCTTTAATTATTAATTAGATTTAACTTTGTGTTGTTAGGCAGTCTGACTTAATAAATTAGATATAAATTTATTTTAAAATTAGATATAGATTGCTATATTTTTAGGTATTGGTTTATATTTACCCCAAAACAATTCACGTTTAGACACTTTGTTTTACACGTGTCTAACTAAATGCCATTTTGTTACAAAATTATCGTTCTAACTAGATAGAAATAAGATATTTTCGGTCATAACTAGTGTTCAATTTCGTGACAAAAGATTCCCATGTGTTCAACTGGTTATTCTAGCCGATATTTTCCACATAAATAGTTTCTACAGTGATTAGTATTAGTCTATAGTTTATTATATATCATGTTTTTTAAATCTCTGACATTGTGTTAACGAAAATATTGAATTACGGAGTTTCAATTTATAGTTTTGACCTCAATCAGTGACATTAGTACTAAACGTCAACCTAAAGAAATGTACTTATTCTTCTAGAGATATTGAATAGTGATATATGTTATAAAGAAAAATCTCGATGTTATCCTCATTTGGTATATCGAAAACAATACATCGTTTTTTAGCATGCCATTGTCAGAGTGTCCTTCTCTCCATGAGACGCAGTCATAGGCAAAACTGTAGCTCGAGATTTGTTGTCATGCGATTTTATCATTAATATCACATGTCAAAGATAAAAATCTCGGTAATGCAATACTAACTGATGAACGATAGTAGTACATGGGGACGAGCCTCTACAGGCCTCTACTAGTCGTTCTATCGATAGGAAAACTATCATTTCTATCGACTGGTCACGCTGGACGAAATTTCTTCAGTAGAAAAAAAAACAAAGCAACTATTCAGGTGTAATATTTTAATACTTACTGAAATAAATTTTGTCGAATGATTAAACAAAAAAATATATATGGAAATTGATTGTATGCGATGTTATGTAACTTACAGCGGCCAAAAATAGAATAAATTTGATAATATGAACTCAATTGCGTATTAGAAACAGTGTCAATAGAAAATTTTCATGTCTTCTGGCATTTAATCTATAAACTAAAAATAATTGCACGGAAAAAATACTAATATTATCATAACGCCAAAAACAAAAAACAATACTATATCAATATAAAACTATATGCTTTTTTTGGATTAGAAAGAAAATAGCATTAATTTTTTTTTGATCTTTCAAAAATCTTCAATTTCTAAAGAAAATTAACGATGATAATCACTCGTATTTTATTGTAATTTCAAAATCTGTATTCTACCATAAACATAGAGAATAATATTAAAGTCAAACTGCTGGTTCATCATCACTAAAAAGAAGTCACCTGATACTCATTATCTCGTGTTATTAAAATATACATGAAATGGATAAATAAGAAACATATTTTATCTTTTGGGTACCAGCTGTAATACATCATATCATTTATCTCGATATTCTACTTACTGAATTGAATATTCTTCTAAAAATACAAATCATAAATTTGATCTAAACGAATTCTAGGAACATTAAGATTTTTCTTGCTACCTGCTGTCTCATTTTTGCCGTAGCTTTGGCTCTTATACATCTAGTTCTTCAAGAAAATCTAGGTATTTCTTTTGAAGCAGAATAATAAGATATCTGTTATTGGATGCTTTAACTAAGCTATCTTCTTACGAGGTAGAACATATCTTTATATAAAAAAAAACAGACATGATAGAGAAAGGAAAGAGAATGTGTTATAATTAACAGATACAAGCAAAAAAAGAATTTTTTTCATCTTCCTTTCAATTATTGGCATGCGCTTAGAAATAAAAATTTTCGAAAAAAAGAAGCGAAACGTTTAATTATCTACATTGAAATAATTATTTCTTTTAGACCATGGAAATATGATTTATTTTTGTTACACGATTGGATTGACTTTCACTTCTGAAATAACGATGATTCAGTTTATCATGATAAACTTCTTGCCAAATATCAGCAAGACATACACTGGAATGAAATCGATAGAAAATTGACAATGGAGATGTAAATGCTTGAACTATGGACCATGTTTGAGTATTATAATATTCATTTTGTATTGGATTGAGTTTAACTTTTTTTGCGGATAACGAATCATGCATCCATATAGCTAAATAATAAAACATTTAATCAAATAATGGATAAAAATATTTTCGTACAGAAACATTAGTATCTTCAATAACATGTTTACAAGATATGACTAATATAATATTCATATTTACTAATCTACTATGAATATGAGAAAGTCGTTATGCAAATGTTAGCTATGCTTGTAGACATCTGGTATAATATATATATATATATATATTGTAAGAGATGTTAGGCCTTTTGTTCTGGTTTGATGCAAATACGTTCACTCCGAGTCAAACAGATGTTACGACAGACAAGAAAGAACAGCTATTTCTTTCAGTCGGAAAATAATAAGGCTTGTCTTATGAATGCTATCAATTTACTTTGACATATTTCAAATTCGTATATTGGATCAATACAATGACATGTAATTCTATCGCTACTTTCTTCTTCTTCTTCTTCTTCTTCTTCTTCTTCTATACAAAATAAGAATAAATAGTTGCTTACCAAGATTGATTAATAATAATGCAGTGATTAATTCTCGTCCGGGTTTTTTTCGAATTTCACTTTTTGAAATGGGTCGTCGTTTTAATGTATCCAAAATAAAACCCGATTGTAGAAATGTTTGAATAATCGATAGAAAACTTATTGCTATTTCAATAAATCTTGGCAGTTGAATTGAATACGATTCAATAAAAATCGATGCAAATAAACCAAAAAATGAATAAGCAAAATCACCAACTGTTGTTACTAAAATTAATATTTGATCAAATACATCGACATGTGCTTGTCGATCATAGTAAAGTTTTGTTGTATAAAAAAATGATATACAAACAACCAGTAATGCAGCAAGAAGTAAAACAAGTTCAGTTAGATGTGTTATTTGAATTGTTAATGATGAATTAAGAATATAAACTGGTATAAGTGTAAGTATAGCTAATATAAAAACAATGCCACCAAGAAGTAAACCACGTGATGCACGAGAACAATCTACGGTGAATATATGACGATCACCAAAATGCGTAAACGATCGATTTTCCGTTTTGCCAACATTACGCCACATTATGTAAAATACAGTTACACATATAAGACTATATTCAATGAAACATGGATATAGATAAACACTCATTGTTGTTTCGATCTTTTCAATGAATTCAAGCGTATCAGTTGTAGTCGTATGTGAACTATCGGAAGAAGAAATTTCGCTAACTGCAACAGCAGCAACAGCAGAGAATTTTTTGAAACAATTTATCATGCCAAATGATGTACATGAAATAGGTATTCGTTCGCCTTTACGAAAATAAAAATAGACATGATAAAAGGAAGCGTTGTTGAGGTTATGTTTTTTTCACCTAGGTAAATTAATATCTTTTGTCTATCGTATGAAATTAAGTTACAAGATAAATTTGATTCGTATATAATAATAATGTTTTTTCAGTTTCAAAATATAAAACTTACTAATACAAAGAAAGGTCAGTTTTTTGGTTTGTTTTGTGTCATTTTATTGCTCATGCAAAAAAGTGCGATTCAATAAATTTTGTCTTCATCAGTACGTTTGACCTTCTATCGGTTGATGAAAGCCAAATAAATTTTTACTACACTCAAAAGAAATACGTAGTTAAGCATTTTTCCACATAAAATTCACTTAACAATGCACAGCTTGTTAATGATAGGAGAAATAAATCATTTTCTCTAATTACAACGAAAGTATATCATTATTCTCAAGATTCGGCTTACGTCGAGAATATTTAGAACTCTTAAAATAATGTCTAATGATATTATGCATCGCTATATTATTTAAATACCTGATTTTAACAAGGTCGTTGTCATTGTTTTGGTTGTACTCAGAATCATCGGTACATTTGCTGGCCTGATACTAGTCGAATGTTTACGTAATTCATGTAATGTTTCAATTGTGATAGCTAAGAAAAATATCAAAGTCAATAAGAATCAACTAATCATTTTTCTACCTTCAAACCAAGTACAAAAATTAGCAATAATTATATGAATAAGACCAATGCGAGCCATTAAATGGTTCCGATCAATAACAATCTACAAGCAGACAAAACAAAATTTTAAATCGAAAAAACAAAAAAATACACATTTTACTACTTACATTTCCATATCGAAATAAAAACATATATTGTACACAATGGAAAATAAAGCGAAATATAAAATTAATTAGTTTTGTTACAAAAACAGCTTGAGAATAACTGATCAAAAGGAGCGCATTGTTTTGTGAATGTGTTCGTATTATTTCAATAGTTTTTGCTAATTGAATAGTATTCAAAATGAGACTACCCATACATAGTACTAAACAACGAAAGAGCGCTTGAAATCAATTTTCGTTTATCGGAAAAATTTCAAACACTTACATCCAGCTCCGATTCTCATAAATAAACCACTAGTATTTTGCATATCCGGAAAATACGATATACTCTGGGGACAGCGTGCAACTATATCCATATATTCTGCTTGATCATGAGCCGATGATGTTATTTTTGTCCATTGTCGACGAAATTTTAATATATCAAACGTACACCATATCATCCAAACGATTGAAACAAGATAAATATATGTATATACAATCTGAAAATAAGTTATAAAAAAACAAAGTTGCAAGTGCAATCCTTGTAGGATTACAAATGTGAAACACGATCTAACTATTGTTGCTAATTGTCTAAAAGCTGGTCTTTTCTATGCGCAGTGGATCAGTCTGCAACTTCAAAAATGAAATACTTCATACATAATCTTTGATAGGTCCTTGGAGCCGTCTATCGCGATTCGGAATGAGCCCAAAGTGTCACCGACCGTGATCGGCAGAGTTTGGTGCGTCTCTCTTGAGGACGGGTTTAAACTCTCACCCGTTATAAGTCAATACTCGTTTAGATCGCGTTTCACAAGACACCATTTGCAAACAAACATACGTGCATTGTTATTCGAAGATTATTTTGATCTTCTCGTATAGCTAAGACAAGGACCATACATAGAATAAATATGACAATTAATATGCCTATTTCCAATAGAAAATCTGATAACGGAAGTGTTCGTTTTCGTGGATAAGTTGATTCTTGTTGAAGATTTGGCAATGCTAAAACTGATGGTGGTAGTGGTGGTCTTCTTTCCGGAGTACTAAGCTCCTCTTGTGATTGTCGTTCAATATCATTTATTTCGTAATCATCAATAATTGATGATGCACATTGACTACTATCATGATCATCAACTATTTGTCTTCGATTATCGATGATTGCTAAGCCGATATCATCGGAATTTTCATGTCTCGAACACAATCGACTATTCATCATTGGAGTTTGGATTTCTCTATAGGTAATCGTAGGTGAGTTCTTAATAGAAACGAATTCCGAGTCTGGATTTATTCTATTTATGTATGAATTTGAAAGTCGTCTTTGATTTTGATTATATCGAGGACACGTTATTGTTGCTGTTGACGCTGGCGGTAATGTTAGCGTTTCATTTGTACTTGAAATACATTTACTGATTGTTGAACTTAGAGTTGATGACGAAGGAGTATTGTGATTTAATTTCGTTAGTTTAGATGACGAAGAATCGTTTCTTCTTGCAAGCATATTAAATTTCCTAATAATATCACGAACAGACGAATACGATAAACCGATACCATTATTATTTAATATTCGTTCAGCCATTCTATTTCGTGCGAACGTCGACAAAGAAATAAAACAAACGAAAAATGTACTGCACAACAGGTGAGAAGAGAATAAAAGAAAAATTCTTATCAGTCACCGATACTATTACGATAATATCTCACTTGTTAACACTCGCTGAACACATGATAGACTTGTACTTTTGTTTAATCATCGTTTATTTGTTTTCTTTTAATTGTGACGAGAGAGAGAGATGAACATAAGAGAAAGAATCGTCAGCACAAATTAATTATTAGTCATGATCTTTATCATATTTTAGGTTTTTTGTAATTAAAAAGATAAAACGTTTTCTTAATCCAAGAGATGATTCATCGTCATGATAATTTTTTTATGTCATCAGTCAATTGCTACATGATGAAATTTTTACAATTGTTTGCAGCGATATCGTCCGACAACAGTGTACATACAAATGTGTTTTCGTTGTGATTCAAAAAAAATTATGTTTTGAAAGTGAAATTCAACTAAACCCACCCAACACTTATTACAGCTATGCTTCATTAAAATCGTCACGTGTCAATCAGCGATATCTTAATAAATATACTAATGATTTTTTTCCTACGTCCTTCAATACTTGCAGCAGTTCTAATACTGAAGTCAGCGATTGCGTTATGAAATCGAAAAATGAATATATATATATATATTTATTTCATAATACTACATTAAAAGTCATCAGTTCTTTGAGATTGTCTGTTCGTTTGTTTTGTCATTCGCTCGTACGATCTAAACTATTTCGATCTTTGAAACCGATTTTATCATGATCTATAAGTTCGGTAGTTAGATGTTTATGAGTCCAAGCAGCTGTATCAAAAGCTAAATCGACTAATTGCGTTGCTTTTTTATTTGTTATTCTAATTTCTGGTTCATTTTGCATGAACGACATTAAATCTGATAAATCATACCATGCAATCAATAATGAACCAGGTATTGGATGTCGCATATGTTTGGATCTTGTTTCCATTAGATTTCTTATATAAGCAATAATTGATTGAAATGTTGGCGTATGAACATTTGTTTGACCTATTTGAAAAACAACACGTGAGAGTAAGTCAGTTACAATCATTGTGATATCTTTGCCAAATTGTGTAGCACGACGCGTATCGGATGGATTCAGCTGGAGTAATATAGCACGCATTGTTTTTAAAGTTTCTAATGTATCTGTCACATTGGTGATATCTTTTTGATTTTGATTTATTTTTGACGATGAAGTTTGAGCCATTTTTGCAAGAGATTCTTGTAATGCGAGAAGTTTTTTAATATGAGATTGTTGATTTATTTCGTCAAGATATATAGCTGGATCGATACCCCAGGGAAAAGTCTGATGGCGGGCATTCTTTTGCAATGATTCTTCTACATAAACATTATTAATGACAGTTGACAAATGTTCCTCATCTGTGGAAAGACAATGTTGGCGAAAACAAATTTCAAGAACTACTTACTATTACCAACAGACATATTCATATGAAAATAAATATAGAAAAACAAAATAATAAACTGTTGTTATGGGTAATAATAATAAAACAGGCAAACAATAGCATGGCATTGTTTTGTTATTTGTGTACAAAACTTTTGATTTATTCTAGTTTTATTTCATTTTTAATGAAATTTCGGTGATTAGATAGAAGAATTTCTTAATAAAATATCAAAGCTTGTATTGTTTCATGACATTATTCCGCAAAAAAGATCACCCTTTAGAAACAATAGGAAGATGGTCACAGAGGTTGTTTTCTTTCTCAAATATATCATTAGGAAATTGCATAGAATCCTATGACCCGGATCAATATATGTTGACCCAAAAGAGTACATGCCAAGATGTACAGAATATCACAATCGAATAATACTTTGAGTGCTGTATTTTTAGACTGTTCTATTTATATATTTAGCTATTAGAAAACATATTATACCATGTATCTCTTTGCTAACATTTATTTCTGACTTTGAGTGTACTAATTAATACTGTGAAATGTCAAGAAATATATTAATTGTAAAAGCTGCTGTGTTATCTGTTTGTAGACTTTTCATGAGTTTCGAAAGAATTTTGTTGCTACGTACAATATGCATAGCTAGATATTATTTATCGATTTGAAAAAAAATCGTCTTTGAAAGACTTTATCTATCAAACTTAACGTTGTCATTCCTAATCATATCATATTAAATAATTTATTTATGATTTTATACCATAATATATACGTCATTGTGTTCTATATTTCCAACAAAAAATGAAAAAAGTGGAAAATTTCTAAAAAAAAGAAGCTTTTATTTTAGTAAAATCTTGTTTTTTTTAAACAAGTCGATTCGATATATTGAGTAATTCCTTTTTATTCTTTAAATGTTTTAGAGGAACATCTATTTTAAATACAGTTTCTTTTCACACTGTCAAACGGACTAAATGAAAATAACTGACTATTTTAAGTATAAGTTATTCAAACACAGTGAAATAGTCTTTACAAATGTGTGCATGTCTTTTAAAATCTTGTATTGATATTTATTCGGCTTGTCCAAACGCAACGCTGTGACATTTTGGCAAATTGTTTTGCAATTCTCTCGAAAGACATAAGAGTTAATAAGGTCACTCAAACCTCGTTCGACGCAACTTATCATACTCTATTTGTGTTGAAAGAGTGACCTGGTTTGACTAAACTCGCGCGCTTCTAGACGGATTTTATTACCGCGTAACACTGTGACAAGAAAAGGACCTTTTTTCTAGGACTGCTTATAATACTCTAATTTTTTGACAAATTATTTCTTCAAATTAAATGCTTATAGTACCAGTTTTGTAGAGAATTGAATGGGTTTTCAAGCAGTAAAAAATATTTTTTCTAAACTATTTTCACTCAGATAGAAAATGCAAAAAACAAACATAACGTTGCGACACATTTTTTTGTCGACCAAATTTGAAGCACTTAACATGCTTAAAAATATTTGATGTTTATATATATATTGATCACTGTCCTGCATATATCCTTCTGTAAAAAAAGCAAGTTGCTACATCGGAATACGAGTTCAATAATAGTATAGTAAGTTAGAAACTGTACAAGAGCTTAGACGCTGCCCTGAAGAATGAGAGTAAAAACTGAACAGGCCATTTTGTAGAGAATCAAATTCTGCATCGAATGGTACATTACTTTGCATTTTTGTTTTTAATTTCTTGGTTAGAAAATTGAAATTACGACTTTTGAAAAATTTTAAAACCCGGCTTTCGATATCAAAACCCATTTTTTTTAAGAAGAAAAGTTCAAATTTACAATCAGCGTAAAAAACGGTACCAGAAAATACGCTTAGATCTGTCTACATCGAAAAAACAATTTTAAAACTTGGCCAGCGCAGTAGCGCGTTACGTGGACAAGCCGTATTACATACACGTACGCGTAAGTATGTCGTCTTGTCCAAGCGTCATAGAGTCACGTTCTTAACAGACTTTTTTCTTTATTATCTCGGAAATTGGGTGTGTGGGTGTGGTTGTGGGCGATGGATACGATGGAGGAATGCTCAAATGTGGGCGCGGGTGAAGGGTATTTATGTATTCATATGTCGCATATATCGGAAAGTTAAACTAAAACTAAATCTATTCCTAGATTTAGTTTTAGTTTAACTTTTTCTTTTCTTTTCTCCATTTATATTCGAACTCGAATTAGACAGCTACTCATGCCAAGTGTAATTAATAATTTTTTATTTCATTAAATGAATGATCGAATAGGATAATAAAAATCTTTAAAATAGGCGATAGAAATCAAATTATCTACTGCGCGCATGAAATAAAAGAACCACACAAAATCATAGAGATGAATCAACAGTGTTCTGAATAGTGCTTGTACGTTTCCTGAGAGCGTGCGTCTCTTCCTCAGTGAAATCGAGAAAGACACCCACACACTCGAACTCTTTACTTTATACTCTTACAATTTTATCAATAAATCTCACTATCAAAGTACATTGAAGTGATAATTGTAAACTAAAATTCGTGAAGTCTACTATTGTCTCATTGATTTGCTTTATAATAGCAGAGCAGAATGAGAGAATTATATAATTCGCATGAGAGTGGTTGTGAACAGAAAATTTTCACTCATAATCCTGGCAACAAGACATGCGTAAAACTAATTTCTGTTTAAGAAAAATTATTGATTATGCCCAATCAAATTTTGAAATCTTTTACTATAACTACGGAATACTTTCTAAAACATTGTCTTAAATTTTCAGATCTTTGTGTGAGTTGGTGGGGAATTTGATTTTGCGGCAAAATCAAAATGCTTATACCGCAATACCGCAATAACAATTGCGGTATTGCGGTATTGCGGTATAGTGGTATAGCGGCAGTGCGGTATAGCGGTAGCTAGATGTTACATATCCCTTACAGAGACAAAGCGGCAAGGGGGAGAAGGTACCACCCCCGCGG